AAGAACAAAAGTTAAATTTTTTTGTTTCAATANTGTTTATAAGAACAAAAGTTAAATTTTTTTGTTTCAATAACTAATTCATAATTAAAGTGATTTTAAAATTTTAATTGATTATTTATCATTAAAATTCTTGCCCCATACATCAAATAGTTTTCATTAACATTAATATCACAATATTGATTTGAGATATAACTATATGTATTTACTTGAATTTAAATAGCAGCATCGGTCTTTACAATTAAATTATGTTTCTTATGATATAATATTCATTATGTATCCTACTTATGAAATGGACTACTTTGATAAAATCGTTAAATTCTGCACTAAAGAATATATTGTCAGATAATTGCAAAAATTTATTCTTTTTTTTTTACTGTCAAATAATGAATAATTATATGGTCTCTTTTTTATAAAGATGGAATTCATATTTAAAATTCCATCTTTTATCTTTTATAAAATAATTAATAATATCATTTTATACATCAAATGGCGGTAATAACTGTTTAGCTTTAAAAAATCGATCAATTTCAAATGAGTTTTATAACATACATGATTTAAAATAAAAATACATGAAAACAATTTTTTTTTAATAATTTATTTTTAAAAAGTAATTGTCAAAAATTATAATCCATTATTTTTTTATCAAAATAATCACTATGTTAAAAAAAATTTGAGCATTAACAATAATTTATTAAAATACATAAAATATGTTATGTCTAAATATTTTGCATGTTACAAGCATAACTGATTTACTTTAAAGAACTATTTTAACTTGGTTGTGAGGGATAAGTGGGGATAGGTATAGATGATATCTGACAGTGATTAAAATCAGTTTAAAAAAAATGTTTCAATGAAAATCTATAGATAATTTAAATTTAAGTGTTTAATTTTTAAAAGAAATTATTGAATTATTCCAAAAGCAACATGAACTACTACTATTTCCTTATTTATATCCTGATTACAAGTTTTATGATTTAAAATTATATTGCACACAAAAATACTTAGTATAGTAATTATATTAAGTATCAAATTGATATTTTATAATTTAGTATTGTAATTTTTACAGATAAATTTAAAGAGTTATGTAGTTGTTGTACACAGAATGACTTTTTTCATATTAGATACAAAATTACTCTTAAAATAATTAATTTTAATAAGAAAATTCTTTTTGATATATTTTATTTTATATATTTCTTGATTTATTAATTATTAAGTTTTTTTTATTTCATCCCTTAAACCTTATAAGGGTGTTAACTATATTTTTTTTAATGGCAACATACATATTTAACTAGCTAATAAAATAAACCATATAATTAAGAAAATGACTAGTCAAAAATAATTTTTCAAATAGTACATCATTAGATATTAACATTTTTTTATTTAGAATGGAGAAAGAGCACCAAAAAGTAATTTGTCATAATAAAAATAGCATAAAAAATACTACACCTAAATTCTATACTTTAAAATGGTTATAATTTCTGAAATTATGGGTCAAAAGAAGTCATTTTTGGACCACTCATTTTTATTTTAAAAGCTAGTTTAATATGTATATTGCCATAATAAATTTAAGGTAACACCCTTATAAGGTATAAAGGATGAATCTTTCATAAATATTAGTTTTTCATGAATGAACTTAATCGTTTGAAAATCTTAAGAATCAGATAATTTTTCCAACAAAATAAAGTATTCATCTTCTATAACATCAAATTGTAAGTAACTATACAGAGTATCAATAAGGAATGTTAAATTTGTAGTAAGATGATCAATTTTTCCATTGATTTTATCATCTTTAGATTTTTTTTCAATCCATATTTTATGTAAATTTGTTTGAACTTGTTTAATACGAGATAAAAAAGTAAATAATTTAGAATACTTTTTAATAATATAATCTGTAAATATGAACTGCAGAGGCCACTTTGTTTCAATTGACATTTTAATTTTTGTCCATTTCACATCATCAGATTCAGTGTTCTCTATAGAACTAAATCGAAACATTTTCCAAATTGTTTTAGAAATTTTTAAATTTTCTCCTGTATCTACAAAAGCTAATTGTATAGATTTAATACTATGATCACATCTTAAAGAAAGGCTTCCAAGTTTATTTAAAAAATTTCTATAAAATTCTCCATTTCCAAGCAAATAAAAATCTCTAAATAACTTTAAATGATTGTAAATAGTATTTTCATGAAGTGCAACTTTCATCATGAATTCATCAACTACAAAATAAAACTTTTCAATTACTTCAGTAAATTCAGTTTTAGTGAACAAAGGTAGATTTTCTAAATCAAGTACAGCTTTTATACTATGATCACATCATAAACACGAAATATAATTTTCTTAGCATTATCATTATATTAAGAGAAATTGACTGAATAATAGTGGCTATTATAAGAATCCACCCTGTATTTATTTACCACAATTTATCAAGAGCCATTAGTATCTAGAATATTTTTTTTGGAACGGACAGCCCTCATTTCTATTTAATATACCTATTTAACATTATTAGTTGCAAAAATTCTCCCTGAAAATATATACAATTAAAACTTATATTTTTTTGTAAAAGAGGGTCAAATAGGGTAATTTTCTTCTGCTCTCATAAGGCTATACCATTTGACGTAATATATAAATAAATTATTAAGAATTTATAATTATAACAACACAAAAAATTATTTTTTGGAACATTTTCAAAAATTAGGTTGAAAAAAGATTTTACTTTTTACATGTACGTTTCCAGTTTTGAACCTCTCTGTATAAAGCAAAATAGTCTGATTTAAAAAATAAAGTATGTCAGATGAAAGGGGTATATATAAGTATTTATAAAAAAAATTTTTGTTGAACCATTTATTTTTGAAAAAGTTATTGCAACTTAAAGTTGAAAATATAAAGTCAAAAATTTTAACACAAAAATAGCATGTTTTAAACTACAGCAGCTATTTGCACATAGAAGATAAGTTGTTGAGACAAACATATATATATATATATATTTTTAATTTAGAATATGTAACAAGTATTAATTTCACATATGTCAAAATGATTCAATATTTCCAGAACATTTTCAAATGTTAACTTTTTGTGCAGAAGTTACTATATTGAATCTTCTCCAAAGAAAGATTTTCAAAAAATTTATATCAAATGAAAGGAAAATTTGATGTTTATATAAAAAGATTATTTTGATCCATTCATTTTTCAATGAGTTATGACATTTTAAAAAGTTTTAAAAATATTAAAATTTCAAAGTATAATTCTTAGGGAATATTCCTCATTTACAGAGATTGAGGGGAATTTTTTTCAATTTTAAAGGGCAATGTCTTTAGCGAAATAACATCTGTGATCTGTTGACGTATTTTTTAAATAAAATCAGTTCATTGAAAGCTGAGAAAAAAAGATGACAGACACAAAAAAAAACACATCATAGCAAAATTAATGCCTTCTCAGCCTCGCATCGAAACTAAAATCAGTGAAATATGTTAAAAATATTTTGTTATTAAAATATAAATTCCTAATAAACTTTTATATGCATTAAAAAATGATTTTTGTACAATAAATATTACACAATAGAAAACATTGAAATTCTATTAAATTGATCAATAATTCAATAAATTCTCTTATATTATAATTCATTTATCATCAAATATTCTAAAATAATTAAAACAAAAGTTTTACTATTTAATTAAATTAAATTTAAACCTTCACAATTCGTTAAGATTCCAAACACTTGGTATTTTTTCAAATATATGCAAGAATAAAATTCCATCTTCTAGTAATAATCAATTTTATGGTTGTTTTTCAAACACATAGTAATTATAAAGTACAAACGGTTTTATTTCTATTTTTTACATTACTTAAAATGCGTCAACTTAATATTTTCAAACGCTATGTCATTTCACAAAAAATATATATTGTAAAAAGTATATTATTGTTCCAAGTTTGTTATATTATAAAATAAAAACATATTTTAATAGGAAATCATAAATTCATATTCATATTTATATTTATCAAGATTCCACTATTCAATAACATTAATTTCTAATCATTTTATTATTTACATTTAATTAAATTAAAATTCTACTTCAAAATTTTTGAACTTTTCTATAATAACTCAAATGTTTATATAGTTATTTAAGTGATTATAATAGCTCTAATATTATTATAGTTCTTTAAATGATTACCTAAAGTCTTTAGAAAAATTGTTCGTTCCATTTTATTTCTAATTTTGATTCTAAAAATCTACCCGATGAGCAAATTTTTACTTTAAAATGCCTATGCATAAATTTAAAGGTATTTTTTAGTCATATATAAATATATAATTGTATACCCATATATATGAAAGACTAAAATGTTCACCAGTCAAAATATTGCCACTTGGCGCATCTAATAATATTGACTCTTTGAATTTATGATACCATTTAATATAAATATAATAAGAGTTATTTGATTTAATCCAACTAGGTATTTAAGATATTTATAATTTACACATGGAAATAGAAATTTTTATTTTACTATGCACAGTAATAACAACATAAATCACTAAATAATTTTGCATTTAAAGTTTTCTATTTATAATTCTATACACAAGATATTATTCACACTACTTTCCTCTAAGAGTGCTCATTATATTTACAAACTTTACCAATCTAATTGCAGTTATAAAATTCACCCTTAAACAATAATATAGGATGAAAAAGATTTCATAACTAAAAATATTTTTTCTATTTGAAAAGGTAAAACTAGTCATTGATAAATAAGATCTATGTAAAGATTACATATAAGTAAATAATGTGAACAAGAAACCAAAAGAAAAGTAACATTTTATTAAAATATCTCAATAATTGACGTGATATATAATCTAATCAATAACGGGGTGATATTAAAAAAAATTAACAGACATTATCGCAATTCAAGATACAAGAAAAAAGTATCAAAGATGGGAAAAGCCCACCACTAATAATTATTTTCCTACTCATGAGTAAAATTACTAATTATTAATGATCATCGCTTACCATCAGTTCGTTTGATTTTTATGTCCATAGCTAATTTTAAGTTGATGCCTTCAAAATAACCGTCTTCGACTTGCATTTTGTTAATTTTATACGTTAGATATAGGAACACAAAAATTTATAAAGATAATAAATAGCCGAATGGCAATTTAACGAAACAAAAATATTATTGAGGAATTTCACACAAACGATACCTATAAAACCGTTAAGTAGTGATAACCAACGGACGACATATGAGAATAGCGGCAGCGAACAAAGGCCAACGGATCCATACCACGTTGTGTGTAGTCTTTGACTCCGTTGTTAAGAAAACTCGCACGAGTTAATTTTAAAAATAACAATTATTGATACAAATGTACATCCTATGTTATAACAGTATAGAGTGTAAAATCTCCCAACAGAATATAAAAAAATTACGAAAAATGATCCAAGTGCGATTTCACTGAACGTCGATTGGTTTTTGAACGGTTTTTTTCACATCTCCTTTCTCACACACACTGTGCAACACAAATAAAGCGGTGGGGGGAAATAACGATCACTATCTTCTAAAAATTCAAAAAGCCCTATGGTACGTTGCATACAAGGTCTGCCAAGCGGTTAACTGCATTCATTACGACCTGCGCAATCTATTTTACCTATTGTACATCAAATTTTACAATTTTAGTAAGTATAAGTCACTTTATTTGGAGTTAAGCTAATAAATAAATACTGTTGTCTTCGTGTATTCTTTAATTTTTAGCGGGTTAAATTGTTTAAAAAAATTTAAGAATTACTCATTGAAGCAAGTTTCATGTAATCTACTACAATAAAAAAATTGAAGTAAATAACTGCTGCATTTTATTATCAATATTTTTTCAGAACTGTATGAATAGTTCTATATTATAAGTTTTTTTTAATATTCCTAACAAAATTTAAATACACATTTCTATAAACATTAATTAAATACAAATAAGATGTACAAACATTATTATAACATTAATATGTTTCAGTACTGAATTTGATACTATAAATAAAATGATTAAATAAGTGTTGATGTTTTTTATTTGGCAATTAAAAGAAAATCATGAAAAACAAGATTTTAAAATTATTGATATAATGGCATATTAAAATATAACGGGATATAATCCGATCTAAAAAACAAGTGTGTCAGATAAAAGGGATATATACAAATTTATTATAAAAAAATAATAATATTGATCCATACATTTTTCAAAAAGTTATAGCAATATAAATTAAAAAATATAAAATCAAGATTTTTTTCATGAAAATCGTACATTTTTCTTTAACTTTGATGTCCGTTTTCACCACGAAGACAAGTCCAAAGGTCAAATTTTTTTTCAGAATAAAGTATATTCCATAAGCTTTCATTTAAGATGTATTTAAAAGTCTATCCGGAACATTTTCAAAAGTTAAGCTGGAAAAGTTAATTTTTTATGAAAAAGTTGCCTTATTGAAACCCTCCCTATGGGCAGGTAAAGGGCAAATGTTCACAAAAATATATCAAATGATAGTGGAATATCTAAGTTATCTAAAAAAAAAAAAATTATATTAATTTGTTCATTTTTAAAAAAGTTATGACAGTTTAAAAAAAAAAAATTGAAATATGTCGAAAATTACCGATTTTTAAAATTGTAATATTTTGGGGGATTTCACCCATTTACGGGGTATGAAGTAATTCTTTTCAATTTTTGAGGGTAATGTCTTCGACTAGATACAATTTGTGATCTTTTGACGTAAAATAACACATCATATTAAAAAAATACCTTCTCAGCTTCGCATCGAAGCTATAAGTTCGTTATTAAATTTGTTTTAAACGCTAATTTAATAGCAAACTTTTCTTAAAGACTTACCTTACCTTACTATACCATGCATAGCTATATAAATGATAACAGTTAGAAAGACATTGTCAGGGCTGCACTGTTGTTAAATTAGTGAATCATATTGCATGCGTGATATCACAGATTACATTATCAAGTATAGTGTAATTTAATATAATCTAAGCGCTTATTAATTGAGCTTTAATTCAGTATTTTTTTAAGCATAGCCTGAACATTTCTCATCGTCAAAATAGTTTTAATGAAAATTAATTAAAAGCTATATTTTTTTATTATGATCAATAGTGTTTTTGCAATAAACTTTTTATTTTATTTTAGGGTGTACACTGATTTACCCTTCAATATAAATAATACATAAGTATTATTTTTCTAGAGTACAAGTTAATTAAATAAATCGTTATTAGGTATACACCATATACCCCTTTAATACCATTGAACATGATAATAGTTGAAGGTAGGGCACACCTCCAGAAATTCATCTGTAAAAACACTATTGCTTATAAAATATGATTATAAATAAGAATTAGTTTCTAAGAAAGATCCTTTTTTGAAAGCCCAATCACTTAAATCCTTTTTTAAATTTGCAAAAGGAACAATTTTATCAACACATTTTTTAAGGGCAATGGTACAATGTTTATTCTACATAAAATGTCTCCGAAAATAAAATATAATACTCATATTTGTACTTAATTATACAGACAATTCGTATTCAAAATTTTAAAAAATATATTTTCTGAAAAAATCGGATATTTTTGGAGATGAGCTACAATTTACTATTATAAAGGTTATCAAAAAACTAATTAAATTGAAACTAGTTTAATATTTAAGTGTCACGTGAAAATGTTAAACAATTTTACAAACAAGGCAACAGTGTGATAGCACAATAGTATGTAAGTCTTATAAATACTACTACTACCGCATATAATCAGTTATACACACATAATAGAATGATTATACGAGCATGGTTTTACACATACAGTCATACGGCTGTATGGACCGTGTGTGTGAGTGCGATAGCTACCATCATAGAGTTTGCACTGAGACATCTTTCATGAGAGTTGCTGTTATCGTCAGGCGATCAGGGCTTTATTGTAAATATAGCATCTTAATAATCTGTTTTATGAATGTATTATTTATAAAAAAAATACACTTTTTAAAGTAGTGATTTAACATTAATACGCTAAAAAATATCAATTTTTGTTACATTCTTATTTTAAAAAAATTAATATTAAACCAATTATAGTAATATTAAATGAATATTGAATTACATTTTGAAATATTTTAATTAATTAAATAAACAGTTCAATAACTTTAAATAATTAAGTGTCTAATAATGAAAATAAATATTCAATTTTTTTCTCCATTTGTAAAAACAATTGATTACTTTCCGCATAATCAATAAATGACTTGATAGCATCAAATTCTTTATTTTCAAATAAAGCTTTTAAATGAAATATAAACATTTCAGCATTTCCTAAACTATAACATTTAACAGTTGCCAACTTTGTTTCATCGTGAACGGGTTTTTCCTTTGTTGAGTACAATTCTTCGCCGTTTAATACCATTTTTCCTAACGCATTGCACCCTAAATCCAAACATAAGGTATTTAAATAAGATTTAAGGAGATAATCATCAATATCATTCTGGGTTTCAATTATAATTTTTATCTTATAAACAAAATCATCATGTTTTAAATCAAAGAACTTTACAAATTCATTAAGTAATTTTGGCCATTTTCGAATCAAATATTTCTTAGTACTGATTTTTTTTTGTTTTTCAACGTATAAAAAATGTTTCCATGTTAGTCTCAACATAATAACTTTGAAAATGTTAAACAATGAATTGTAGTACATTTGAATACCTTTCAGTTTGTTTTTCCTCCAATCAATATTATGTGCATTTTCATAATTTTCCTGCAATTGCTGCATAGTACTTATATCGGTTGCATTCCAATTAACTTGTACGTTGTACATATTCATAATACGAATTATTTTATGAACGTTCCTTCCGATATCTTTAATTAGAATATTTTTTTTTGTAAACTTCAGGTAGTGTGTAGTAGATAATTCAATATTCTCCAAAATAAATTCATTCATGATTTTTGTTTGTCTGGACATGAAACTACGTATTTCATTTAATGACCGATATTCTAATTGTTTTAATTTCTCTTGATGTATGAGGAATTTGTTACTTTTTGTATAACATTTCATAACTGAAGCCTCAGATTTTAATGTTTCTGTGACATAATCATGAGTATCTTTAAGATAAGTGTTTAGATGTTCAATTGATTTTGATTCTTTTTGATCATTTTGATTTAAATGATAATTAACAATAACTAAATAAATGTTTATTAACCACAGAGAACCTATTTCAATACCTTTGAAATCAAGCAACGTACTCATAATTTTATGAAAAACAATTTTTGTTTTTTCTTGGTTAAATGCACGATTTAATTCAAAATCCGGATGATATATTTCTAATCTAGCTAAATGCATATAGTTCAAAGCAAATGATAAATAAGAACACTTTAAAAGCTGAACATTTTCGACAGACATTAGTTGATTTTTCTTGTATCCAGTGTTTAGTGAATTACCACGATTTACTTGTAATAAAATTATCACCACAGCTACTTTTATTATACAACTAGAATTATTGCTTTGAATTAACATATTAATGAAATAGATATTTGTATATTTTGTAAAAATAATTATCAGATAGTATTAAAAAACGTGAATTTTTAAAAACTAAAACTCTTTAGTCTTAAGATACAACTTTTTAATAGATGTTATTCATTTTTATAATTTCTAGTATAAAATCTATAATTTTTTTCTATTTACTCGGATATTAATATATCAATGACGTACTTTCAATTGAGTAAACATTTATTTTTTAAACCTATTCTGATTGTATCTTCTTCTTTAGATATATACATGGTAATTACTTACCAAGTAATATTTATCAATGTATAAAGTTTGATAAATATTTAGTATGTTCATTTATACTTATTAATGATTAACCATAGAAAATTTAACCACAGATATATGAAACTTTTTATATAATGCGTGACGCTACAAACGACAATATCTATGAAAGAAATTTAAACCAAAAAAATGGTTTTTAATATTTTCATATGTCAATCTATTTGTTTTTAATCAATGGTTCCGCCATATCCCGCCAAAATTATTTTGATAGTAAAACAATCAAATTGTTGTTCGGTAGTTCTTACGTATATTTTATATGAATCATAAATTATGATTTAAATGATAAAAAACTTTTATTGGAAAGTATTCTTAGTATAAGTTTTAAACAATTACAAAATAATAGCTTTTTCTAATTTGGATAACATATTTAAGACATTGCATTTGTCTTCGTCCTTCAATGAGTGTTCCAGTCACTGGAAACTGAAATGCATAACAAGAAAAAAGGGAAAGAAGATTTGATTCCTGAAATTTTATATCATCTTCTTGGTTATGATTCTAATATTCTTAAAAATGCTGGAGACAGTCATTGTACTATTTGGGATGCTGAATGTAATATAATCAATGTTGAAGACCGTAAGCTATTATCAAGATTCAATTCATTGGCTGAAAATTATAAAGTTCTGAGTAAATTTGTTGCATCTAACAATAGTTTAAATAATACATACAATATAGCATGTCAAGAAAAACAGGGATTGTATATTAAAGCATTTAAAAATGGAATTTTTGAAGCTACTCACGATTATCGTAAATGCATTAATGAAATTCAGAAAGATTTTACTAATAATAAGAATAACAAATGCATATTATTTGAAATTCTCAGAAAAGTTGAAAAGCATAAACCTTTATTAATTACTTTGAATGATCTTGTAGAAAAAATTACTTTATCACAATTACATGGCGGAGAAATATTAAATCTTATGTATGATGTAGTTAATTCAAAATTTGTTGATGATAGATTACAGCTTACATTAATATTCAAGAAGTGTTTACAGGTATAATATTATATAAATGTTTACAAATTTCTTTTTAATATAAAAGCATTAGAATTTTTACTAAATATACTATTAATTTTGTAAAAAATTTAATTTAATTTTAGTTTGTTATATTATAAAAAATATAAAATTTTATTCTTTGAAAAATATTTTTTCTTAGTTAATAATGATAAATTTTAAATACTTAATTTTTGGTAAATAGCTTTCATTTATTTATTAATTTCTCTGTTTAAAAATGTATCACTTATATCATATTTCATTTAATGTTAGTATAAATTTTTAATTTTAAATTAAGCATATTTAATCATTTTTTCAGGTGTTAATTATGCAGTTGAAAACTATTTTATCTCATGGAGTGATTTTTGATCCATTGAAAGAATTTTTTATAGCTGAAGAATGTATTGGAAAAACAATGAAATTTAAGAAGTTTTTTTTAGTACCAAAATTAATGCCTTCTTTTGTGTCCTTATCAGTTGCTAACAAAATAATTTGTATGGGTGAAGTAATTAATAGTTTACAATTTACACAAAGACAATTTTCTACCATACAATATAAAAGTACTGCTCATGAACTTTATGGATCAAAAAAAAATTTACTTTTTTGTAATTTACTTGATTTAGAAAATCTACCTTTGTTCACTAAAACTGAATTTACTGAAGTAATTGAAAAGTTTTATTTTGTAGTTGATGAATTCATGATGAAAGTTGCACTTCATGAAAATACTATTTACAATCATTTAAAGTTATTTAGAGATTTTTATTTGCTTGGAAATGGAGAATTTTATAGAAATTTTTTAAATAAACTTGGAAGCCTTTCTTTAAGATGTGATCATAGTATTAAATCTATACAATTAGCTTTTGTAGATACAGGAGAAAATTTAAAAATTTCTAAAACAATTTGGAAAATGTTTCGATTTAGTTCTATAGAGAACACTGAATCTGATGATGTGAAATGGACAAAAATTAAAATGTCAATTGAAACAAAGTGGCCTCTGCAGTTCATATTTACAGATTATGTTATAAAAAATTATTCTAAGTTATTTACTTTTTTATCTCGTATTAAACAAGTACAAACAAATTTACATAAAATATGGATTGAAAAAAAATCTAAAGATGATAAAATCAATGGAAAAATTGATCATCTTACTACAAATTTAACATTCCTTATTGATACTCTGTATAGTTACTTACAACTTGATGTTATAGAAGATGAATACTTTATTTTGTTGGAAAAATTATCTGATTCTCAAGATTTTCAAACGATTAAGTTCATTCATGATAAATTTCAAACTAATATTATGAAAGATTCATTTTTATTTATGGAAGATGTATACATGGCATTCAACCAAATTCTTGATATGTGTGAAAACTATTATAGGTGCATGACTGATATTACAGCAATTTTAAATCCACAGTACAAAATTTGTATTAATGATTTGAATTTACTTTTTAGCAAAAATCCAAATAAATTAACTACTTTACTTAATAGTATTAGAAATGTTAACATAAGCACTGCGCCAAAATTCAATCAATTCATTACTAGATTAAATTTTAATAATTGGTTTGCTAAAATAATAACAGAAAAATATTAATTATTTAGTTTTATAATTTATTATAAATTGTTGTGGGATATTCGTACAATTTACATGTATCATATACTAATATTTATTGTTTCATAAAAAAATAGACTGTTTTTGTTTAAAAACAATTCGTATGTTTAAGATATTTAAATAAACATATTCAGACTTGTCCAAATGTGTCAGTCTTATAGTGTAAATTTTAAATTACCTATTTTTGCTCATTAATATTTTTTTTTATGATGATTATTTTTTTGAATTGGAATTTCACCCCAAGAAGAATTTTATTTATACTACATATTAATGCTATCATTGGTATGTAAAATTTTAAAATGAGAAGTGCTAAGGACTTAATGTTGATGTTAATGACATCATGATACTACTTTGAATAGTGGACTATTTTTGGAGGAAGGGGTTAGAACATAGTAGTGTCATTTGAATTTTGTCTTGGGGAAGTCTATACATACAAAAAAATTTCACTTTCCTCTTCAAGTAAAAAAATTTTATTTTCGCAATATAATTATTATTACTATGAGTATATGACAACTATTCCCCTCATATTTACACTAATTTTATAACTCCAAAGTATACATTAAGGAGTAACATAAATAACATTAATGATATTCTGTGAACATTTATCAGAACCTGATTACCTGTAACTTTACTATTCAACTACAAAATATATCACATAATAATCTTCTTTTCTGAATGTTTTCCCATATCAAAATTTATGAATTTAAAAGTGTAATATTTAATGTGACATTTACATGTAAGATATCACTCATAAAAATTATAGACAGGACCACATCAAGGAGCGTACCGAGTGGATGTACTCTGTGCGGTACTGAAATATAAAGCAATGTAGATTATAGAATTAAAGATTTTTTTTTGTTGTTCGAATTTATAAGAATAGTGATGCATGTTGTAGTGTTTTAACAAAACGTGTAATATAAAAGTTGTACATCAATACACCCTTTTTTGAAATTATGATACAATTTTTAGCTCAGTTTTTATAGTTTTGGTCATTCATTTTAATAGTAGTTCCTTCACAGATAAAGAAACAATTTTATTACCTATATGTTAATATTAAAGATAAATTTTATTTTCTAAAAAGATTTAAAAAAAATCTTATAAATCACTTAATCTATTGCTATATTTTAAAATTTGTGAATGACTTTTTGCCAGTTAATGCATCTAATTTTTTTTTAAAGTTTGATACCAAAAATTACTTTTGAACAAGATAGCCTAGATATACAAACATTTGTATAGTATTTATAAAAGTGATAATCAAATTAAATTACTAAAAATTTTTTTATTTGTATGGAAATGGGTGATGAAATAGTGATAAAGAAATATAGTACGATTTTGACATAGCTTTCTCTATTTTAAAACTAATATTTGATATATTTAATTCAAATTAACATAAATTGTGTTATATTAAACAAAGAAGAAATGTCAAAACTTTTTATTAGATTATTTTTTAAGTTACATTTAGATAAATGGTACATTCAAGTAAAATCAATTAAATTTAAAAATATAAATAAAAAAGCCTAATATAAATATTAATTAGTCCAGAAAATAATGATAATAGAAGAAATCAAAAAGTAGTGTTAATGTCTTTGTAATCTGTTGGCAGATCTCATTGCTTTTTCCAATTCAAATTGTCGCAAATCTGTTCGTTCTAAAAAGTCTCGTTTTTCTAAGTAACTGTAAAATTAATAGTATTTAAGGATTTCCAAAAAACCATAAAAAAATAAAGCTACTTACCCATCTTTTCCTTTATTAAAAGTTACTAACTCCTCGACAATACCTTCTTCCTTCTTGTAATCATCCCAATCTTGTTTAGATTTTTCTAATACGGTCAATTTATTTTTTTTTTCTAGTTGACTTAACACATTTGTTAGACCACTTGGATTTTTTTTTACAACAGGATATGATGGAATTTTTGTTGAACATTGTTCATTAGGTTGAACATCATTATTTGATTCATTTCTAAAACAAATATTATATATATATAATATTTAATAATATTAATAATTGACAATCAGTTCCTTTTCTAATTTTTTACTACCATCAATTAACTCTATTCCTTATCTTATCCTAAGACTTTCTTGTGCTCTTTTTTTAAACTAATTCTAAGTGCTTTGCATTGTAAATGGTCTATCTTAACTTCAACCTACACCAAATGGTACAAAAAAATATCTCTCATACTCTTTCATCTCTGGTTTCACTACATGAATCTTAATAGAAATTTTGTAGCTATAATTATCGTTTTCGATTTGATCATAATTTGCTACCGCCCATGTTATTTTTTTATATCTTAATTCTTCCTATTGTACTCTTCACATTATGCCTTAAACTGTCCTTCATTCTCTAAATAAAACTGTGTTAACCAATTTTTTATCTCTTCATAAAATTCATACTCTCTCCAATAATCATTGTAAAATGACAATCTATCATAATTATTCATTCTATTATATCATTTCTCCAGTACGTAAATATTATTATTTGAATAAATTTATTTAGTACTTATATTTTATAATAGTCAAGGTATAATATTTGCAAAACTAAAATCTTAATAAATTAAAAAAAAAAACAGTTGAAAATATAAGTGCTAAATCCATTTGAACAATTTCTTTTAAATCATATCTCATTTAAAAGCTATACGACATAATATTGATAATTGTCACAGGAAAATATCATTTAATTGATGTAAAAAAATTTAATTTTCTTAAATTTCAAATTTTTATTAAAAGTTTTGATTTATACTCTTCAATAAGATATTAAAAGGGAAATTAAATAAATAACCAAAAATTCAATTAATAATAATATGTACAGTCAATCAGCTTATAATATGAAATAATTGATAATTATTTGTATTTTACAAATATACACTTATTTTATTTAAGTTATTACAAAGATATTTTAACATTACCTTTTAGATGTTTCTGTATTATCAAACATTTCTTCAAAATCTCTTTTAAGAGATAAATTAGATTTTTTTACATTTTTAATAGGTTCTTTTGGTAAATATTTAACTTCATTTTTGCTTGAGTTATTTATTGATGATTTTTTTGGAGCAGGACGTTGAAAATCTATAATTAAAAGAAATAACTTATTTAATTTTAACTGAAAAAAAGTATAATATGAGCTATATTGTATAAACTATATATATATATTGTTTTATTTTTTTACTATGAGAGTTAAATTTAATAAGTCCTCTCAATGTCCGTCTAAGGGCACCGAACAAGCAGAAAGAAAAATAATTTAAATTAACATTATCTATGTTAATTTCAAATTGACCATGTATCTACAAACCAAATGAAACTTTAAAATATGTTCAATATCTATTTTCTGACAATACTGTTAGTATTAAGATATTGTGGACTATTTTTAGCCAATCTTCGAGTTACCTTTCTAGTTGTTCTGTGCTATGGGTACAATATATATTAATACAAATATCATTAAAAATATATTAACTACAAATAGAGTACCTTCCCACAATGCTTCTAAACGTTTTTTTTCTTCTTCAGATTTTGTTGTAGATACTATATTATCAGTTAGGTTTTTCTCATCAAAATTTTCAATGCCTCTAAAATAATTGTTAAATTAAAAATAAAAAACACTATCTCTTATATAAAGGGGCACTATTAAAATTTCAAGGACACAAGTTTAATTTTTTAATAAAGCATTTTTTAAGTATTAATACAAAGATATTAGTAATTTGCTAGAATAAAAGTAAATACAATAGGTTTTACTAATTTATTAAGTAAAAATTTTTTTATCCTACAAAATAATTGTCTACATATTATGAAATAATTTAAATGGTTTTAGATTAATGGCACAAATAAAGGAGAGCTTGATGAGTCAAGACTTCCAAAAATTTTAAAAATCATATTTCTTCTTCTTCTTCCTTGTCTTAATCCCAACTACTTGCGGTCGGCCATCCTTATCCTAAACTTCCTCTTGACACGATTTCCCACATCATCTACACTCATATCAGCTGTCTTCATATCACATTCAATAGCATCCCTCCATCTCTTTTTTGGTCTTCCTCTACCTCTTCTTCCTTCAACATTCATTTCTATAACTGTTCTTACAGCTTCCAATTCTTCTCTCCTCATAACATGACCAAACCATCTAAGTCTATTTTCTCTCATCTTATCCACGATTGACACTACACCTATTCTCACTCTTATATGCTCGTTTCTTATCCTATCTTCTCTAGTCACTCCACTCATCCATCTAAGCATTCTCATATCTGTTACACTCATTCTCTGCTCTACTTTTTTGTCAACTACCCAACACTCTGAACCATACATTATAGTTGGTCTCACTACAGTTTTATAGAATTTACCTTTCAGCTTACCTCCTTGGTGCACTCCTATTCTTACTCTATAACCTTCTGTTACTCCTCCCTGTCTGTGCCTAAGTAATAATATTGAATACGAGAAAAACACTGCAAATTCTATTAGAGCATTTTCTTCTATATTGGCAATTGTTTAATTTATGTGAAAATGTTGACTTTGTAAATATTTACTTTTCGAATAAAAAAACTATACTATTAGCGCAATTTAAGAGGATTCCCTCTTAACACATAACACATCAGACGCATCTCTCCACTTCACCAACTTGCACTTAATTATGTGTCTTACATCTTTGTCAATACTAACGCTCTTTTGCACAAATGATCCTAAATACTTGAAACTTTCCACCTCTCCAATCACGTCCTCGTCTAAATTGTCACTGATCTCCTCATTTCACCTACCTCGTATTCTTTTTTGTCAAACTCGTACTCTATATACTCTGTTTTACTTCTACTTATTCTTAAACCCTTATCTTCAAGAACTGATCTCCACACTTCCAGCCTTTCTTTAATTTTCTCCTATTAACACTATATCGTCAGCAAACAACAAGCACCATGGCACCTCTCCTCGTATTTCTCAAGTAATTTCATCCATCACTATAGAGAATAAGTAGGGGCTTAAAGCAGAACATTGGTGCACTTCTACTCTTACCTAAAAACCTTCTGTTACTCCTCCTACACTTTTTACCCTGGTACAAGTGCCATCATACATACCTTCTAATATTTACTAATAAATATTTTCTAGAATGGGGAATTAAGATTTAGCATTTTTTTTAAATTTTAAATTTTTTTAATGAACCTAGATAAAAAAATTGATACAATTTTTTTTTTAATCTACTTAACATATATTTTCATCTTTTATGAAAGAAATCTTATAATATCCAAAAAGTCTTAATAGACTGAGTAATTTTTATATATAATTTATAAACATAAAATAAAAACAATTAATTTGAGTAGATATCATAAATACTTTATTTTAGTTTTTTTCCGTGGTAATAGATGCTTTTTAGTTCGTTTTTTTGACTGACTTGATTTATTATATGAAATATCTTCACTATCAATAGAATCATCTGAGTCAACTTCAGATAAGTTTTCTTCTCCGCCTAAAATAGTTTAAGTTAAAAAAAATAATTATAATTACAAATATTCTTCATTAAAATAAAATATAATTTAAAATTAGAATAATTATATTTTAATTCTGTTTTTTAAAAAGTGACTAATCCTAATTTTAATATATTATTATGATTATGTAAATCTACATTAAATTAATTACTTAATAAAATCTCAATGTTATTTTGAAGTGGCATTTATAATTATTATTATACACTTTTAATGATACAATGATACACTTTTAGTTTTAAATATTCTTAGGTTTTACTGTAGAAAAATATTTACCTAGGGGCCTGTAGTCTAAGTCACTACTGTCGTCGCTATCGGAACAATCTTGAAAATTCATACTTCAGTATAACTTAGAATAAAATTAATGGTAAAAGTTAAACATAATTAATGACACATAACAGCAATGTACATACATTAAATTTAGGAAATGACTTGAGCTGACATTTGTAAACATATTTCACCACAAAATCATCTTTAATTCCTATAAAGTTGCAACATGTAGTACAAGACATTAATCACAATTGTACGATTTGAAGATAGCATTACTTTAGTTTAGTTTATGTTATCAGCTACTTGAGCTGATAGCATTTAGTGTGATTATACGCTTGAATACCAAGTATAAACACTGTTATATGAGGCGTTCAATGATGGTCAGTTGCTACAAACAATTTAGAATAATAGAAATCCATTTCATTACTTGTTAAACATTCTATAAATATATCCGTGAAGTATGATATACACAGAATATATTGGAATCTTAAATATTTTATAGTGTATATGTATTCATTTATCATAAGGGTCGGAATAATATTCTTATAAAATAGCCCAAATATGAAGCAATATTCTCTTAAAAATTTATAAAAATTCTTCTATTATTTCAAAAAATCAGTGAAATATAATTGAAATTTGCTAAAAATATTTTCTCTCAAAATCAAAATATACTTTTTAAGTATGAACAAAAATGAATAAGATACTAAATTAATTTTTGCTTTTATTTTCCAAAGAAAAAATTCGTTCTATTTAGGTATACAGTGTGATTCAAATTTTCTTAGAAATTATTGAAATGTTGAAAATGTTGTAAAGAGAAAAATTATTAGCATTAAAAAAACTATAATAAGTCTTCTTTTTTTTCCCGCCTTTATCTCAGCTACTTCTCAGCTGGGTCCGGCCATCCTTATTCCAAACTACAACATGACACGATCTCTCACTTAATTTACACATACATGAACAGTATTCATATTGCATTCAATAAAATCCCTCCATCTTTTTTTTTGATCTTCCTCCAATATTCATCTCTATAACTATTCTTACAGCTTCCGATTCCTCTTTCGTTCCTGAGAGTTCTAACTGATAACTATGGCTGTTGGATACACATCGGTCAAAAGTGCTGTTAAGAAATTGTGTTGTGATTATTTATGCCATCGTTGTGCTACACCGAGTTGTTGTCGGTCTTCTCTCTATGTCTGCATTGTCGCCGCCATCTTAGCGCATATTAGCTATAAGGTCTATGGTGCTTGCAAGCCAGTAGTTTTTTATTCGTTTTGTTGTAAAAGGTCATATTACCTTTGCGATTGTCGCACCCTTTTGCGCTCAGTATACCGCCGTTAGGTTTATATATTTTCTGAGAAACATCATTGTACAGTTTACAGCATATTGTACAAGTTCGTCAGCTATTTGCATTGGACTTCAATTGATCCTTTCAACATTATTATCAGCCGTTTCAATTAGCCGATAAGTATAGTGCTTGTTCGTCTTCTTTTTAAGACTTACTCACATTTATAATTTATTATTTGTTTATATCAGCGCCATTGTGACATTAGTATTAAGTGTCCACCCTATCCACATTGGTGTATATAAGATTTATGATTCATGTATAATACATTTAATTGTTTTGAAAATTCATTCTATATTCATTCATACAGTCCACTCAGCTTATTCTTTTTCCTCGATATAGCCTAACTTAAGTCAAAATAAAACAACGAACGTTAACGAAACCGTGTGAGTACCACCGGGCGCTGCGTTTAATCAATATTAAAAATGAAATCGTCTTAAAATTTTTACCATACGTATAAACTTAATAAATAATACTAAACACTACTGACAATAATAAGAATGAAAATTCAAGTTACGTTTTTTATTGGCAAGTTCTGAATAATATGATGACAAAAATATCTTCCAAAGAGATCAATTTATATAATAATATTTTGTTTAAAGTTATTTTTCTACATTATCAAAAAAACTATCGTCAAAACATTATGATACATATTTTGTATATAGAAACAAATGAAATATTTGTAAAATAAATTATAGTACAGTATACATTATAAATTTTGATAAAGTCAGATATTTTTAGATTTTTATGAAAGAATAGAAAAAATTATAAGAATCAATCTCTAACTGCATGCAATTCCTTTGAAAATATTTATTCTTTAAATAATAATAGCATCTGTGGATTAAAAAAAAAAATACATTATTAATTTAATTATTTTTACTGTTATACCATTTTATAATTACAGTTATTATTCCCATTATCTTTATTTCGGACGCCCAATTGGGTATGAATCATAAACAACTAACTTCACTTTTTGAGGAGATCTATAATATCGATTTAAACCAATCATATCTTCCTAAAAATATGGATACTTTTAAATTTTAACGTTTTTCCATAATTATTCGAACTAATCAATAAACATGTATAATCATTTACATACCAAAACCTCCACGTATATCAATTTTTTAAAATTATTCTAAAGGAAGCGAAAAAATTTTTATTCTAAAAACGCTTAAAATATGCTTAAGTTCTAAATATGTATTTTTTGAAAAAAAAAATTTCAAAATGTCGATTACGTGATTTTACCATGGAGACAGTCATATCATAATGTGCTTACTCTTTTGAAAGTATAGCATTTTCCAACACATGAAATAATCATGCCAAGTTTCTTCTAATTTCCAAAAAATCGTACAACAACTCCTTTAATCGTACGCATTTCCACGAAGACTCCTTCAACAGCCGATACTTGACGCTCTGCCGTGCGATCATTTGTGCAATTTTCTTCGGGTATAATGTCAATAGAGCAAATACTTCGCAAGTCTTCTTGCAAGTCCACACACTACTCAGAAATCACATTAAGTACACTGCCTTCATGACTCTCTTGTTTATTTTGCTGCAGATGTTACTCCGAACTTTGCCGTACGTTCGGTTGTACAATTTTCCTCAGGTGCAATGTCAGGAGTGCATAGATTATGCGCATCTTCTTGTAATTCTTCAGGAATCATGCGGAACTCACTTCTTTCATCAATTAATAATATTTCAAATTTTATTATTAATATTGTTAAACATTAAGTCCAATATGATATTTTTTTGACTCTCTTTTAAAGTACACTTAATTCACTTAATTGATTGTTATTCACTCATTTAATATAATAAAATTTAAATATTATCTAGATATTATACAGATAAAGTATTATTTCATTAACTAATTTAATAAAAAAAGCTTTATAAATAAAAATTTTAAAATAAATAATTATAATTTAGTTACTGTACGTTAATTTATTCAACTATTTCAATTTATAACAATAACAAATTTTCCAATTCATTTAATATGAAAATGATTGTACTAATATATTTTGATAGAATTTTAAAAAACTAGATTTGAAATAAGGACAAAGAATTAATTGAAACTTGATTATATTGATCTGACCCGTGTTATTAATTATAATTAAAATTAATTATTTATAATACCTTTTATTAATTTATAAATATTCAATAAAAAATCTAAATATGATAGTTTCATAAATGTTGGAATCGCTAAATTTCGTATAACTTACAATATGTGAAACATTTATGAGTACAATGCCAGCTTTAGCTTATATATTATTAAGTGATTTAAAAAAAAAATTAAATCTCAAGAAATGTTTATACCCTAAATATACATAATATTGAAAAATATAAAATTTTTACTGAAGTTAATTTGGAGGATTATAGTTCTTAGAAAATTAATGGGATTAATTTAATTGAAAATTGGAATGTGATTACTTTGAATATAAATTTATCACCTCTTCAAAATGTTTAAGCTTTCATAAAAATTTGTAATAATTTAAGTTCCAAATACATTTTTTTTGTTAAATAAATATTTAAATGACATTTTATTGGAGTATATTTTTATAATAAAAAAATCTATGGTTTATAATTACTTTTGTCAATTATTATGATTTTTATAATATTTAAATAAATTTGAGAGTAAATCAGTATAACTTACAATCGATTTAAATAAAAAATAAATATTGATTATAAAAAATATATTAGTGTAGAGCATTGAGAAATATATTCTAATTTGAAAAAACAACCAATGTATCAATGATGCAGTCTGTTTTCATTTCATCCATTTGCAAACGTTATTATCAATGTGTAAGTTGTAAAGTATAAATAATATATTCATGTTTTTTGAATTATACCTACACTTACTACTTAATATATTATATATAATATTTAATTTAATAAATATAACGAATTAGAGATCAGTTTATTTTTTATTTTTTCGTGGTTTACTTATTGTACAATAATATGAATTGAATTTTATGTCATTACATTTCATTCGTGTTAAAATATTTGGTCTAAGAATGTTCCCTTTAAAGATATGTTTTTAACAATACTTCAATGCTTTGATGAGGTGTTTCACAAGAAAATTTAAATTTCTACCATCATCCCTTATGCTTTTAACTTGTATCAACTTCATATTTTCAATAGGCAACCCTATTTTTTTTTACACCATTAGATTTAGTTTAATAAAAAAAATTGTATTTTATTTAATATTAAGCTCTCCGTGGCTCTCTAAAGTTTAGGATTTATTAAGAAAAAAGTATAACAGACTCGAACGTTATAGGTGGTAAATCGATAAGCGCTACCAGCTTTAAGTAATAGACTACGTCCATTGTCAAAGTAAATCGGTAGCTCTTATTACTAGATAAAAAAATAATATAATCGCATTGGAAAAACCACTGAATTTTTTCTTCAAATATCGTAAATTTTAAAGTAGCATATCTTGTTTAAAATTCATAATTAAAATTTTTTTTTTATGACGAACAAAAATACATACAAATAATATGGGGTTGCCATTTGAAAATTTGAAGTTGATACAAGTTCTAAGTATAAGTAATGATGATAAAAATTTAATTTTTCTTGTAAAACAGCTCAACAAAGATCCATAATGATAAAAAAAAATAATTGTTTATAACAATTGTTTTTTTAGATATTATGTGTGACATAGTTCAGTGATCATTCTCTATATAATGTATTTAGAAACAAAAATTTGTGTTGATACATACATTATTCAAAAAGTTATAGCAATTTAAAGTTGAACATTTTAAATCTAAAATTTTAACACAAAAATAGCGTTTTTTAAACTATGGTAGCCGTTTGTACGTTAAAGATAAGTCGTCGGGACAATTTTTTTTTTAATTTATAGTACGTAACATGAGCTTTAATTTGATAAATGTTTAAAGGAGGCAGTATTTCTTAAAAACGTTTTCAAAATTTAAGTTGAAAAAATTACTATCTTGAATCCCCTCTTGTGGACAGGTAAAGGGTCAGATTTTCAAAAATATTCTATCAAATAAATGGGAATAACTTAAAATTTCAATATAAAAAAAGATTATGTTGATTTGTTAATTTTTGAAAAAGTTAAGTTAATTTTAAGAAAAAAATGTCGAAAATAACTGATTTTTAAAATTGTAACTTTTTTGGAGATTTACCCTATTTATGGAGGACGAGGGAAATTTTACCAATTTTTATGGGCAATGTCTTCAACTAGATACGATTTGTGATCTTTTGACGTATCGTTGAGGTAAACCGATCCAGTGAGACCTGAGAAAGTAGTGACAGATATAAAAAAAATAAATAAACACATCATGGTAAAATTAATACCATCTCAATTTCGCATCGAAGCTAAAAATAAATATAATAACCAGAATTTTGTTTTTTTATTTCTTTTAGATACATAATTTTTTAAATTTATCATTTATGAAGTATTTTTTATGTTTATTTCTTATATTTTATAAGAGTGTTTACTTTATTTGTTTATATGACAAATTTAAAAAATTGAAAACATTTTTTTTTAAAGTATAATTTTAAGTAGATCATTATTTATTATTTTAAATTACTACTATACATTTTTGAAATATGATTGCTTATTTTTGAGCTATTTATAGTTTTTTTAAATATCCCCGTAAGTTATGCTCAACTTACTACTTGAGCGCGCTGTTCTTATCACAAATGCGTGGTTCCTATAGTGCTGATTTTCTGTTCGAAATAATAATGATAGCACGATAAAAATTGTCCAATCATTAACACGCTGAATATAACTTGAAGAATTGATAAAAAAAATCTAAATTGAAGGATGTTTATAAATTATCAAGTATAATATATATTATATAAATTCTCGAATTATAATATTTTATATTTTTGAATTCTTATTTAGTTTAGTCTATAATATTCTTTTTAAATTTTGATAGGTAAAATTTTTACTCTTAATGGAATTAAAATCTATTAAAAAAATAATTTCTCATGAAATTCATAAAATTATCTAAAAAAATATTTATGGTGGTGGGTTGTCGCACATAACTTTTATTCCAGTTTTGTTATGAACATTTTTGTTTTAAAATTCAAATGAAATATTAGTACGTATAAACATTTTGACGGTATATTGTATTATAATATTTTATCAAAGTATAAAATAATTTTAAATTCTGGTATTTGCTATAAATACCAGAATTAATACCTGCTATAGGTATTCTGCTATAAATAATTTAAATAAATTGTATTAATACAATAATATTTTAATTGAATTTTAATTTCAAAATGATGCCTTTAAATGATTTTAAAAATCCTGAACTTATACCAATAACAAATGTTATTGGCCTAGCATCTCAAAAACCGCTGGTAACATTCCCAGGTGATTACAATTACCATTATTGTTTTTTAATTATTTACTATCATTTCAAAGTAATTTTATGTGTAGAAATGTGGTATCAAACATTTTTGTGGGCACTATTTTCTTCAACGGTTGTTCATGCAGTGGCTGCTATTATTGCATTTGCAACTCTTCATAAACACAATTTTGGAAAGTAAGTTTATCTTGTAATTTCTATATGGATTTCATGTCTATTAAATTAGAGAATATTTAATAAATCTATATTTTTTAAAACTTCTTAATGTACCTTTTTATAATTTACAACCCTTTGATCTTTCAATAGCCTACAAACTATTGTCTTTAAATGATCTTATAACTTTTATTTCATTGTTACCAATTTACATAAATTAGTTTTAAATGGGATAAGCTATCACTTTTGTCAATAGTAATTGTTTAGATTAATTTTAAAGGGGTTATAATAAATACATAGGTAGAAGAGTTAGAAGTTCCATCCCTAAAATTTTATTAGTATTTAACATACATTAAAAACAATCGTCTTGAAGTTTATGTACTCAAATTAATCATAACTTATTTATTTAAATTTTTGATGTATTATTTCCTTCAATTTTTTGAAACTAAAGTTAACTTAGTCTATAATTTATTTCTTAATGAAATAAACAAATAATAATTTAATATACTATGATTTTTAATTTTTTTTTTTAGATTTTTTCCATTGTTTATCCTATTAGTTGGAATATTTGCTCCTTTAAGCTCAGGAATTGTTAGTAGTGCTATAATAGCATTTGTGTACAGGGCTTCAAGTATTCAAATGCAACCACTTTATGCCATGTTTTGGGGAGTTGGACAAACACTTCTCTCTGCCGCAGTTGGTTTTACAAGAATATTGGCTACTTTATAAATGAAAAAAAAAATCCATATGTATGTACGTGTACATTATGTATATTATGTATCTTATGTTAAAACTTAGAAACTGAGATAAAAAGTTGACTGTTGATTAGGAACCACATCTGATTTTTGAACACCTAAATTATAATTTTCATTGTTACAGATTTATCAATAAATAATTTGAGAATAGTTTTCTTACATTATAATTTTAAAATCTGTTTAAAAACCAAAGCACTTTGCTTTTAGTTTAATATACAAAGTCTATAGAACTGTGGTTGACAATCATGTAAATATTAATATTGTAAGATAATAAATAATGATTCAAATTTCTTATAGTTATTATGAACTAATAATTTAATTTATCCTTGGATTCTGTTTTTTTACACATAGTATTTGCACTAGATTACATTTTTTTTCTGTAAATAATTATGTATGTAACTCATTTTTTTTATTTTTCGAGGTATGAGCTTTGGACAAAGACAATTTTATTCTTTATAAATATACTATGTTTTCTTAGCTCCAATTCTGTAGAAGTTTAAAGTGTCAATATTTAGTTATTTTGCGTATTTTACAGGAAAAATTATTTTTTTATATCATTTAAAATTTATAATACATAATATTAATTTTTTTTTGACGCTTAGTTTTCATTTTTAAGTTAAAACTAAAAAAACAATACTCTTTAATAAAATATTACTATGTCAGTAAATAACAAAAAATTCCAAAATATTTTAAATTAGATAAATATTCCCTAAGTAATAAAATATTTTTATATAACTATTTTTTCACATAATAGTAAATATATATTATATCATCAAGAGTAGTTGTGACCAATTTATTTTTATTGATACATAAGTTTCCTAGTCTATAAAAATTAAAAAATTAAAAAAAAAAGGTTTTACAATAATTGATTAATTGATTAAATTAACCAATAAACATTTTTAAATACCGGTAATTTTTAAAAGCATTTCTGTGATAACAGTATTTACAGTTAAGATTTAAAATTTTCATGTTTTTTTTTTCAAATGTTTAAAGGGCACAGTATTTTTAGATTATTTTCAAAAGTTAAGTTAAATATATTAAATTTTAATGCAAAATTTGTTATTTTCTTTGTGTTCAGGTTAATAAAAAATCATATCTAAGATGTTTATAAAAAAAATTTGTTCTGAATCATTCATTTTTAAAACAAACAGTTTTAACTATTTAAAGGTGAAAATATAAAATCAAAAACAGTATATTTTTTAACTATAGCAACCACTTGCATGTAGAAAATAAGTTGTATTTTTTTAACTTGCAATGCATAACATAAGCTCTATTTTAACATATATTCGAAGCTCAAAATATTTCCGGAACATTTTTAAATTTATGTTGAAAACGATAACTTTTCATGCAAAAGTTGTTATTTTGAATCCCCCTATGGACTAGTAAAGTGTCAAATTAAAAAAAATATATATACTTAATAAAAAGAAAATACCTAAGGTATTTATGAAAAGAATATATTTTGATTTTCAAGTGGGCTTTTTGTCAGCCTGCAACAACAATGTGGTTTTCCACTTGCATAACGACTAGCTGTAGTAGCAAGAGTCTCCATCACCTAGGCGAGATGTCATACCAATCAGATATGATTACCGGATTATAGGTGGATTATATAATTTAATGTCAAGTTAAATAGTAGTTTATTTTATTATTAAGTTAATATGTCGTTATATATATAAATGTTTATAACACCTTGTGGTTTATTTATTACAACTATGATAATTTAAGTTGTGATAGACATGTAAAATAATCGTATCCCGTTTCTAAATTAAGAAACAAGGATAAATACAGCGCGAGTACTTAAGCTACTCGCGCAATAAAATAAATATTACAATTAAAATTAATAAGGCTGTTTAAGAAAAAGGTTCATTCCTGCAATCTCTTGCGCGATAAAAACTATGATAAAAACATTAAAAATTCTAAACGGTCCACCTTTGGATTTATGACGTTACAGATTTATTAATTTTTCAAAAAATTGTGACAGTTTTAAGAAAAAAAAGTTTACAAAATGTCGAAATTTATCGATTTGAAAAATCACAATATTTTAGGTAATTTCCTCCATTTATAAGAAACAACGTAAATTTTTTCGATTTCTAAGGTCAATATCTTCAATTATATACGTTTTTTATCTTTTGACGTATTGTTGAAAGAAATCCATGAGGTAAAAGTTGAGAACACCTCAGCTTTGCATCAAAACTAAAAAACCCATAGTCAATTTTTTTTTTTTGTTTAGTCAAATGGCTTATCCATTAAAGAGTTTTGGAAAATTTGCTTATCATTTCTGAAAGACGCTTTGTACATTATTAATTTTTAGTTATATTCTTCAAAAATTTTATATTATTTTATTGTCTAAATTTTTATTAATAAGTTTTTATTTTGAACTTCGATGCAAAGCTGTAAAGGTATTAATTTTATTATGTTATTTTTTTGTCTATTATAAGTTCTCTCAACATCTACAAGATCGATTTTTTTTTACTATATGTCAAATATCGAAAATCTTGTCTAGTTAAAGACATTACCCTCATAATTAAAAAAAAAATGTCCGTCGTTTTTCGTAAATGCGGAAAATCTAACCACAAGTTATAATTTTTTTAACCGGAAAAATTTTAAATTATTAAAAATTTTGTTTAAAAATGTAAGAACTTTTTGAATATTAAAACAAGTTGAAGTGAAGTTTTTTTTTAAAAACACTATAAATATGTTCTTTACTTTAGGCATATTTTATTTATGGAAATCGAATTCTTCATCTGCCCACAGGGAGATTCAAAGTAATAACTTTTGTATTATAAGTTAACTAAAAAAAATTGGAGTTATGTATTCGAATTTTAAACTACACTAATATATTTTTATTCGTTTTCGCAGTTTTGACAGTTATTATTTTATTTTCAATGTTGTTTTTTTTTTTTTTAATATTATTTTAGTGTTTTTTTCAGTAGTCAATTTTGATTTTGTTCCCTCATTTTTTTTCAAAAATTTTATATTTTTCATGTCTGATTCAAGTGATTTTTCCTTTGGCACTGTTTGTATTGTGGAGATCGAAATTCGTTTAAATGATTCATAATCGAATGTATTACAATTTTCTCCAGTACAAAACTCTACGCCACATTCTTTGCAGGATAAAAACTTTGCTTCTACACTTCCTGACGCATTTTTTTTCTTTCGTAAGAAATATTCGCGTGGTGTTTTCTTTTCAATTTTTCTGCTCTTCAATGTTTGCTTACCTAATTCAACTTGCCTAAAAATTATAATAAAAAGTAATGCATAATTTCAAATGAGAAACGATTCATTGTCTTTTAATAGCCATTTAAAAATGATAAATATGAGATTATCAAAGTTATAACTTAACAGACACTGTTACAGGCATACCTTGAAAAATATTCTTCGTCTACTTTTGATTTTGGTCGCATAGAAGTTAGCATTTTCCATTGTATGTTTACAGAATACAACTCATCTAACGAAATAGTTCGCATCTCGGTAGGCGTAGGTTCGGAAAATGGAAATTTTTTTCTACTCTCTTTTTTAGGTAATTTAAATTTAAATTTTTTATCTCTGATTTTTATTTCATATATTGTCTAAATTTGCAATACAAAAATAATTATTAGAATAATTTGTTTATGATTAATCAATACTATTTTATTATATAATGGAACAAGGAAAAAAACGCTTTTCTGGGAAAATTACTTGGCGTGCTCGGATTTTCAAAATTTTTTTTTTCAACGAAAGTACTCGGTCACCAGACTCCGGGAAAATTATTGGCGAAGGTCCGAAAATTTTTGCCGCTCGCCTGCGAGTGTTTTAAAATTTCGACCGTTTTCGAGAAAAACGCTCGCTGAGCGTTTTACGACTTAAGGTTTGAAATTTTCATCAGACCCGCCCAATGACATTCCTGAGATGTGATAAAAAAATCAATTCAATCCGTTCATTTTTCACCGTTTTACGAGCTTTTTTTTTTTTTAAGTCCACGCGCATGGTTGTATTATGCGCAGTGATTCATTTCTGCTGATACGTTTATTATGATTTATTAATTATATGGTGTATTATGTATTATTATTAGGACACTATTTTGCATTTGCCCTATATTTATCAAGGAATGTTATATGTTATATATAAATTTCATGACGTTATAATTATTTAAGTTTGTACTTTCATTATAAGAACAGTACTAAGTACAGAGTTAATAATTTTCTTTTTTCTCATATATGATGTATGCGACTATGAGTTTATCTTTTGAATTGGGATTCATCTATGATAACTATGATATTCATCGTTAAATCGTAGTTACCAATATATTTATCAAAATTAAATTTTTATTTTTATTTTTAATATTAATTTTAATTTAAATTTACAATGTGCTACTTATAATAACCTGCTAAATTTTTTTTTAATTATTCTATAATATAAACACAATTATTATAATTAGATTATCAATAATTTTTGTGTATAACAGAGGTGTATTTAAGAGAGATTCGGCCCTCCTTGAACAAGCGCTATCAATATTTTTTTAGGCAACTTTTAATATATAAGGACCTAATGTCCTTTTTTTCATTACTTTAATTTTAGCAAAAAAATTTCTATAACATGTTTAACAAAGTAAAAAATATTAAATTTCCTCCTAAAATAATTTTTGAATAGGCCTAAAGGGAATACCTCATTAAGAGGCTTCAACCTTATACCCAATACATTTTACTATATTCTCTTTTTGAATTTTCCTGATTTAATAATAACATTTTTAGATATAGTTTTCTATAGTTTTCACTGATTCTGAAGTAATAATTTTTCTGAAAAACACTTAGCCGGGTACTTCTACCGGAATCAGTGGCCTACTTATGATGACGGCCCGAAGAGGCTTACGCGTCGAAGGCGCGTAAGGCTCGAAGGGCCCCGGGTCTGGGGCGGAGCCTCAGCTAGTTATTAATATAATTATTATAACTATTTAAGTCATGGCTGTTACCTTTTAATTACGCATATTTAAAGTTTTAATACTTACACTGATATTATGGAGCATTTTAGAATTTTTTAACTGTTTACTTATATTTTAAACAACCTTGGCTATAGTACAAATTTAAAATTAATTTATATTACTTTTTCTGGTTTTATTTTGAACTCAGGAACTTTTTCAATAAGTTTTCTCAATTCTTCTTTTGATTTTGCGGTACAGTTTTGTAAATCCAATAATGTTGTTTGTTCTTTTTTTTTCGCAAGAAAGTCATCGATTTGGGATGACATTTTTGCGCTTTTATCTTTTTAGTAATAAATAAACGATTTTCTTAATTATTGATATCATCAATTTTATCATAAATATGAATCTGTTAATAAAAAAATAGTAAGTAATATTATTAGAGTTACAAAAAACATAAATATACAAAGTAGATTACGGAGGTTCGACAAATTCAATAATATTTTTGCTATTATTTTCTTTTAAACATTTTTAGAATTTTTATACTGTGTAGAAGAAAATTGTTTGTTATTTGGCTCTAATAAAAAATTAATTATAATTATAACCAAAAATTTGATATTAACATAATTTAAGAATTATAAATTATAAAAGAGTAACACAAACTATTTAGTATATTTTTAACTCTCGAACCTTTTGACCTATAAGTTTTTTTTTTGTCGTAATCGTAACACAATGAGATTTTGCCTTTGAGTTTTCCATTTTACACTAAAATTAAATTGAACGTAAATTTTACTCAAAATTAGTGTGTTATAATTGCCCTCAAATATAATTAAATATATAGACTGTCGTATGTTTGGCGTAGACACCAAACCACACAAAAGAAACGAATTTTACTCTTTAATGTTAACCGCGTTTCTGTGACTCTCCTCGGGTATATTTGTGGGAGTACGCTGGTCAGTACAGTTCTTTCAAACTAGTTGGCCACTAAAGAAGTATCCTACAGACCTTTTAGCACAGTTTAGTTCGAAAATAGCAAACTGAAGGGAATTCTTTTGATAGGCACTATCACAATTATCTTTTAATTTTACTAACTAAAGGACGGTTTAGCCCAGAGACTAGTCAGCTCACACACTAACTATTGATATTAACTAAAAGACCAGTAAGTCGACCTCAACTGTAGCCACACACACAATAATAAAATAATGAAATAACGAGATTTATTAAATTAATAGCAATAATAAATATTTATAACGTTTATAAATAATTGTAATAATTGTATTCCAAGTATAATGATAACATAAGAATAAGATAATAATCAAAACACAATTTTAATAATTTCCGAACGAATAAAAATTTAACGACGGTTAAATTTTCGTTTAGAGACGGTTGTAGTCAAACTGTCATCCTTCAATCCCCTTTTTTAATTTGGTCCCCGTTTTTATAGTGTGAGTTCCCTACTCATTTTGCATTATTTGCTGATTCTTAAGTTTTACAATTTTTATTGACATTACAATACTGTTGGAACATTACTTGTTCCATTTAAAAAGGAATTTTCCCAGCACTGATAAAAGATAAAACAAATTTCACTACATGGAAGAATAATTACTTTTTTGACCATTTCAACAAAGTTAAATGTGAACAATTATTACAATTTTTATTTAAGTATATATTTATTAGAACAAATAAATAAAACATTAAGTAAAAAAAACAATGTTATCTTAACTAAATTACAACTTATATGAATTTAAAAAAATGATTGTACATGCAAAAATGTTAGGCTACATGTAAATAAAACCTTTATGTATTAGTTGCATGATACAATATTAAAAGTATCAAAATTTTATTTTTTGTATAAATCTCAAGTTCTTGTAAATCATCTAAATAAAATATTAAGTAATTATTAAGTCTTATCAATGAACTACTACTGAGTCTTGAAACTAATGCGCTTAAGATTTGATATATTGTTAGTATGAAAGTTTAGAAACAATGTCAGGCACGTCGAATCATATTATTAAATGATACAATCAAGAAGAATCAGATGATGGTGATTCATCTGTAATAACACTTTTCCAATGTTTTCGCTTTGTTTCTAAAACCTGTAAATGATTCCAATTAATTTTAATTTAAACATTGTAATAAACAATTTTATAATTATGAAATATTATGTGCTAAATTTCTTAAAATGATTGATTTTATTTATGAAACTATTTATTTATGTATACTTTCATAAAATTTATTTTTCAACAACCAAACTATTTGATTAAAATCAGACATCGTATTGGCTCACATAATTTTACATCTAAATAAGTAACATTAAAATAATTTTAGTAGTTTTACATTGACTATATGCTATCACATAACTGAGTATCATTGAATTTCCCCCCTAATGGTAGATTATAAATCGGTAAGCTTTTCTTAGTTGAAAGAACCAAACTGGTAAATTGGATGATAAAATTCTTGAATAGCTAGTTTTCTCAAGTTTTTCTTTGAATATTTTTAATAGTAAAATAGTAAAAGTAGTCCTTATTAAAATGGACTTTCTATATTAATATATATTAAAATATTTATTTTTTCTCAGCTTAAAAACTGTAGATATAAAATGAGAATGATAAAATTCTCAAGAATTTTTTTTTTGTGTAAAGACAAGGTACAAATAACTTTTTTTTGCTTATTAGTTCATGCTTTGAAGCAATATCCACCAAAAATTAAAAGTAATAAAAAAAGTAGTCAAATTAATTAATTAAGGTTACTTAAGACACTTACTTTTCGTATAGATGATAGTTGATAAATTACATCACTAACAGCTATACTATCTGAAGTTGTAGGAATCAAAACATTTTTATAATTTTTCATTTCTATAGAAGTAAAATGGAATTAATAGTTACTTATTTTCTTAAATTTAGGTTTTATAAGTATAGTGTGATAGAAAAATTTGGAGACTTATCTGATTTTCATAAATATTTTAAAAAAATATAGAACGCTTCACATGAATTTTGTAAAAGTTATACCTTTTCTGTTTATATTGTACTATAAATAATAGTAAGTCTAAAAACAGAGTGATATCTTAAACAAGTTTCATGGAATGTCTTTAAAAATATTAAAGCTAATTATAATTTTTATTTTTTTATAATAATTCTTTGTTGAACTGCTTTACACAAAAATTAATTTTCTGCTACCATTGCTTATAGCCTAAAACCGTACCAACTTATATGGTTATCAAATGAAAATTACAATTTTTTTGATATCATTAAATTCATTTAATTAAAAAAAAATATTTTATTTAAAAATATAATTTATTTTATTCGATTTTTAACGAGTTATAGCTGTTTTAAGATTAAAAGCAATCAGTAAAAAAGCGTTGTTATCAAAACGGGAGCATTATCGTGTCGTACATTGTTACTCGTACCGGATTTATAGAAATACTTATCGTAATTATATAATTTAAATATATTTTCATTGCATTGCTAAAAACAAGTACTGTTATGTTCAAATAAATTATAATTTTCTCTACTCCTATGAACTTAAAAGACTCGTCATTTATTGAGAATTGTTTAAAATAAAAAAATTTGTTTACAAAAAATTGTTTTTTTAATTTATTAAATCTGATGTAAAAAAAATTGGGTAGATCTTTGAAAAACAAAATTTGATGATAGTTTACGACTTATAAGATGTTGATAGAAATTAATTTTTTTTTATAGAGTAACTAAAAATTATTATTATCGTTGCAAATAAAAAAATAAATAATTGATTCTTATATTTTCAAAAATATTTTGTGAGGGATAGTCAAGGAATTGCTCTGTATACTAACCTGCAAAATTTGGTCGAGTCAACGCAGAAAATTTGTTTGCACTGAATTTAGGATCATTTTCTGAAAAACTACATGAAAAATTGATTTAATCAAGTGGTATTAATGTAATAAAATTGTGTAAAATTAAGTAATTTAATAATGAAAAGAAAATTTTATTTAATTTCTAATAATATCTTCCTAATATTATCTAGTTATTATAATATCTAGCCAATCTTTGAGTTATCTTTCTAGTTGTTCTGTGCTATGGGTACAATATATATTAATACAAATATCATTAAAAATATATCTTCTGACACGATCTCTCACATTAAATACATCAGCATCATCAGCAGTCCTTATATTAAATTCAATAAAATCCTTCCATCTCTTTATTGGTCTACCTCTTATTTTCTCAACATTCATTTCCATAACTGTTCTTATAGCTTCCGATTTCTCCCACCACATAACATGACCAAACCATCTAAATGTATTTCCTCTCATCTTATCCCAATTGACGCTACATCTATACTCCCTCTTTTATGTTCAAATACACCTGTATATCTCCTATGTCTTTAAATATCGTCACCACAATAATATTCCTCCATTCTTTATGTATTTTCCCTTCTAATAGGATTTTATTAAAAAGATCCTTCAACCCCCTTACAGCAACATACTTCGCCTAATATTTTCCATATTTCTACTGGCATATTTTATCTGGCTATTTATCTTTTTGCTGATGCCACAATATTCCATATTTTATTTCTAATAATATAATGATATAATAAGTATCACTAATAAGATAAAACAAGATAAGAAGAGTTTTATCATATCTGTGATAGTATTGTTACGGACAGATTATTCGTCCTACACCAATATTAACAATTAACAACTACACTAGTGCCTGATCAGTACAAATGACCCTACAGCTCAACTATGAGTATGAAGCGCACGGGTGTAAATAAACCGATTACACACTTTTCTTAAATTATTTAAAAACATAACGAAGTCAGTCGACATTTTACCATGCTTGCGGCAACTTACCTTATTGATCTGATAACTTAACTCGCGTAGTATTGTTGTGATTACTAAATTAAATACTATTATTATTATTTTGGGTTGTGTACACTCGCCGCCGTCGCTAACTTAACTTGGATACCACCAACATCTCTAGAGATCCAGTCAGATTATATTTAAATAATATTAAATAGAAATAAATGCATGTTATCATTGTTAGTTGAGAGTCTATATTTATTTGGTCACGAAACCGCTAACTGCCCTTTTAGTGGGATATAAATTATTACTCCGTTTAGGTACATCTTAGCCAACTGTTAGGACCCTAGCGGGAAAGCATGTTGCAGTATTATAACATTAAATCATGTTAACATAATCTTAAAATAATATTAAGAAATAGTATAGTTCAAGAATACACTTCCATGCAGAAATGTTGGTTAAGTTAAAAAAAAAAGTTTGGTTTATTAAAAATTGTCAAAGTATTGCATTAGTACTGGCAATAGTCCGTACTAGCGTAGTATTGACTGGCGTGTCATCTAAGTACTGGTAATTGTCAGTACTGATCTACACCGATAAATGTTATCATCCTAGACATATGTCAGTATTAGTCCAGTACTAGTAACCACTATTGTGTCAGAACTGCGCGTATTGTTAATTGCTGATTATGCTATTATATACTCCATTATTAAATATAGTTACTTGATATGTGCAGTGGACATGTCAGGTTGGCTTTTACTTGAACTCACACTTCCTGTTCTCGTGTTCCAATTAGATTTTTGTCTTAACTTTGATTTATAATTGAGATCTTTAGCACTTTGTTTTACATACTGTACCTCAGGTCGGTTAACGCCCCATTTTGGCCTTTTATCTAATTCAATAGATTTCTGATAGATAGTATTCATAGACTTTGATCCCCTGCAATGTGTAAGTTGAATATAATTTTATTCTATTTTTCTTTGAAAAAAAAAATTGAAGACTATTTCCATATTTTACTAACGTTTCTGTTTGAGTTCCAATACTTGTAGTCTGGTTTCGAAATTTACTAGGTGTCAATAATTTTGGACGGTCAATTTTTGTTGGTGAAGTCTGTAAATCGACTTCAGGTAATTTGGAAGTTATCTCTTTATTTTTAAGTTCGACTGCAGGTTGATGTTTATTTTCAATATTTACGATACTTTCATCTTCAGTATTTTTTACTGTTTCTGTTACCACCACCTCTGGTAATTTTTCATTAAGTTTTTCTTGTGTTGATCTTTTTTTTTTTAAGTGTTTTGATTTGTCTTCCTTAGCTTGTTTTTGGGCATTTTCAAGTACTTCTTGCATTGCTTTGGCTTTCCGCTCATCACATAACTATAAAAAACAATTTTTAAACGAGAAATTGAATATAAATATCATTTTTAACTAAAAAAAAAAGATTGTATTAAAAAACTTGCCTCTTTTTCTCGCTGGTGCTTTATTTCTTCTTCTAGTCGTTGTTTTTCAATTTCTTGTTGTCTTTTTATCCTTCGTTCTTCTGCTAAGTCTTCAAGTTTTTTTCTTTCTATTTCTTCTTTTTTCTTAATTTGTCGTTCTTTTAACTAAAAAAAAATTTTTAGTTAACTTAATTTAGATTTAAACAATTTTAATCTCAAACTAACCTGTTGCTTAATTGCCTCTTGAAGTTCAAGAGCTTTTTGTCTTTTAATTTCTCTGTTTGTTACCTCTTCAGATGTTAGTGGAATATTTTGACCCAATAAATATGTTCTATATGAAAAAAAAATGTACTGAAATCGTAGTGAAAAGTTAATATCATGTGTTAGGCTCACCTATTATACATGTTGTTTGAATCTAGAGAACTTAATGTATCACTACTACCCATAAAATCTGATACTTTTCTATACTCGTCTGCTTGTATTTTTGGCCCAAATGAACCTTTCGTCGATGAACTTGAATAAGAAATTAAATTATTTTTCATTGAATATTTCAGACATAAATTATAAATTATTAACAGTGAATGTATAAGTAACGATGTACAAGTTGTTTAAGCATAAACAGTAATTGTATAAATATTACTTAATTTTATAAATGAATAAATGCTTTATTCTTACACTTTATCTGAAGAATATTCAACCCAAGCTGGTGTACCAAATCTATTATTATCACAATTTAAATAAGTTCTTTCGTTTTCATTTAAATTTTGTACATTAAATTCAGTATTAGGGTTTCCTTTTTGCCATTTTTGTCTTTCTAAAGTACTAGCGCTAAAATTATTTTCTTTAGAAATTGTATATGTCCTGTTTAAACTACAATACATTTTTTAATCGAGTAAATATAATTCTCAACATTTCATATTAAACATACATCGTGTGAGTACTTTGTGGATTGAAATCTTCTGAATTTCCTTTATGATTGTCATAAGGTAAATCTTTATCGACATTATGGATGTACAAGTTGTTCTATTAAAATTGTAATATCAATATAAATCGTACAATTTTAAAATAAATATATGAAATCACAAAAATTTTTATGAATTACATTTTGTATGCTGGATGCTTGAATATCTTGTAAAATAGGAGGAAAGCTTAAATTTCTGTCAAAATGAATATCATAATTTGAATCAAACCGGTGGTCATGGTATTGTCGCTCTGGACTTCTAATTAATTATTTTTTGTATTAATTGAAGGTATTTGTTTTGGATACATACAATTATATTTATTTGTTGAATTGTTTATTATATAATTTTAATGCAGAAATTTGATAAAAATCTCGTAAATTTAAAATTATAGTATGAAAAGAATAAAATGGTACTAACTACATCATATTTATTACCTTTGATCATCGAAAATAATAGATGATTTTTGGTTTCGCCAATATCCATTAATTTTTCCAAGTTCTTCTAAATAAAAGTGAAAAATTGGTGTAAATAACAATACTTAACATTCAAATAAATAAAAATACATAATACCTTTTTCTTTTGCCCATTGTTGTTTCTTCAATTCAATAAGTGACATAGACTTTACTACCATTTTAAATTTGATTAAATAAAAAAGTCATATTACACCAAACTATTAAAAGAAGAATACTTTTAAAAAGGAAAACAACTGCGCGTAACTACGATTATGTGGCTACTATATGCAGGGTCAATAATCTTTTTACGTCTATATTGACCATAAAAATATAGGTAGCTATAGTAACTGTTTGTTGGTACTACATAAAATTCATTTTGAGAAAGAAGTTCTCACTTTAACACATAAATTATCATTAATTAAAATTAAACGCTATATAGAATTTTATTTTTACTATAATATATAGTATATATTATTATCGTAATATATATTTATTTTATTTAGGCCTATAAAATTTTTTATTAAATAAATGTCATGATAGAACGTATGACTCTGTTCCTTCAATCCATAATTAATTACGTAGCTCTCAGTGTTAATAGTAATTCATAATTATATGAAATAAATATCAAATGAAAAATATCAATTTAAAAAAAATTTTAAATATCAATAAAAAATTAACATAAATGGTTATCATTATAACTTACTTTTAAATTGCACGGCAAGTTGATACTATTGCTGTTCATCGAGTATTAATATCGAAAATAAGAAACCTCCGACTGAAATTTTATGTATTATATGATTTTTAAAAGAAAATGTATAAATATTTTCTGTTTCAATAAAATGTCGTATATGCGAGCTTCATTACTAGAATAACTATTTATTGTTTTGAACTGCCTGCAAATATTGTTAGTGTACCAGGCAGTGCCGAGGCATCAGAGAGTGTATTACTTCCGAATTTCAAAACCTTTTGTTTACTATGAGAAACTTCAACTTAGATCAGTATATGTTTTTTAAATATTCATCAATCTTTTTTACTTGACGAGTATTACTTAAAAAATATAGTAATATCATATGTATTATTAAAAAAGCTAATAATTTAATTTAGAGAGTTAATACTCGTATTCAAAAGTTCTCAGACACTTAATTAACAGGTATGTAAACAGGGAATGACCCGGGTGCATAAAAAATTCACGTTATAATGAAAAAATATGTAATTTAGTAACATTAAGATATTTTCATTGAAAGACATTGAAGTAATTATGGAAAATATTGAATAGTAACTATCGAATTCCATATTTAGTTAGTCTATTAGAATAGTTTTTAAACTTTTAGTAGTTTTTTCAAATATTAGTAGATACTGTATGCTAAAAAGAAACTATTTAGTTGCATAAAAAACATTAGATAGTTTAAAACGCTCATCACTGTTTTGAAGGGCTTTAAATTTCTCTAAATGAAGAATTTATAAGTATTGATTTTACATGTAGCTTTACTAAACACGTAACTTAAATTTTTGTAGCCACCTAAACAGTTTACTATATGTCTAACTTTTTTTAGACATATATATATATATAGAGCTGACATTTCTGACTCGTTGCAAAGTCTTCAGAGAGACAGTTACAGGTTCGTGGTCGTAACTATACTGTCGGCTTAGTATGTTTACGATATGTTTTTATATCAATTGATAACTGATAACATCGATGTTGTTTATCTATTGTTGTTGACAACTGTCAGTTTATTGTTTACATCCGGTTTTTATTTTTGTTGTTGTTTATAACATCTGGGCATTTATATTTTCCTTTTCAACATTAAGTTATTTTCTTTGTTGATTTCTTGTTGCCTGGTGTATGAGAGATAATCAAGTCTTGTTAATAGTCCATCCATTGCTCTGTTATAACATCTGGACATTTTTCGATTGCCAATGTAGAAAAGGAAGAGCTAAATGCCAAGAATGCCGTAAACAACAACAAAAACTAAAACTCGATGTAAACAATACATTGACAGTTGTCAACAACAACACGACAAAAACAATAACAGATAAACAACATCGATGTTATCAGTTATCAACTGATATATAAACATACCATAAACAAGCTGAGCCAACTTTATAGTTACAACCACAACAATATGGATACATCCGTAAACATTTCAAGCATTAAATATATATATATATATATATATATATATATATATATGTAATTTTTTTTAGATTCTATGCGATACTGAAAAAGTATTAATTTTACTAAGATATGTTTATTTTTTATTTTGTGTCTGTCACTATTTTTTCTTGGCTCTCACTGGACCGATTTTTCCTAAAAAAACGTCAAAAGATCACAAATCATATCTAGTTGAAGATATTACACTCTAAAATTAGAAAATTTTCCCTTGTTCTCCATAAATGGTGAATATCCCCCCAAAAATTACGATTTTTAAAATTGGTAAATGTTGACATTTTTTCACTTTTTTTTAAAAATTGCCATAATTTATTGAAAAGTGAACAAATCAAAATATTTTTTTTTTCAATTAAAACCTTAGATGTTTCCCTTTCATTTGATATCATTTTTTTGAAAATCTAACACTTGACCTGCTCACAGGGGGGTATTCAAAATAGAAACTTTTTTACAAAAGTCAAAATTTTCAACTTAACTTTTGAAAATGTTCCGGAAATACTGTGTCCTTTAAAGATATGTTAAATTAAAGGTTATGTTACGTACTATAAATTAAAAAAAAATTATTGTCCCCACAATTTATCTTCTACGCGCAAATGGCTGCCGTAGTTAAAAACATTCTATTTTTGTGTTAAAATTTTTTATTTTAAATTTTCAAATTTAAATTGCTATAACTTTTTGAAAAATGTATGGATCCACACGATTTTTTTTTAGATATCCATTATATGTTCTCCTTTTTATACAACATATTTTTTTTTTTAATCAACCCATTTCTCCTTATACAGGGAGCGTTAAAAACTTAAAAATTACGTATAAAAAGCTATCTTTTCAACTTAAGTTTTGAAAATGTTCCTGAAATACTACGTCCTTTAAACAAATGTTAAATTAAATCTTATTTTACATACTTTAATTTAAAACAAAAATGTGTCCCGACGACTTGCCTTTTATATGTAATCAAAAATATATTATTTTTGTGTAAAAAGTCACCGTTCTTTGTATTGTCATAATTTTTTACATCAATTTTAGTTTCGATGCAAGACTGAGAAGGTATTAATTTTTTATTTTTATATTTTAGTTCAAACAGTATAGTCATATAAGAAGGAGTGTTATGTATAGAAGAATAATATACAAAGATAGTCAATTTTTGTTGTTGTTAAATTGAGTATCTTTAAACAGTCTTTTGTATGTACAGTTTGATTTGGTATCAAATATTATTTAAAAATATAGTTTGAAGAGTGTTTTAGACTTAAGTTAGGCAACGTTTTTGTGTTCAACTATATTTTGATAGAATTTAATAGTGTTCAAAATTACTCAAACAAAACTACAATATAATTAAGATATAATTATGATAATATATTTTCTATTTTTGAAGAAACATAGAATTTGTTAGCTAAATAATCAATTTAAATGCTCTTATGCTAAAAAAAAAATATTCTTCACAATAAAAAAAAATTACTGAAATGTATATGTTTCATGATAAATAATTAATTTTTATACTGGTCAAAATATTTACTATGGAAACGATAATTTATGTAACGAACTAATAAACCAAAGATTTTAACGGCAATTGATTTGAAATTAGAAGCGGTAAAAAGAATATTGCCCATAAGTGCTGACTTAAAGGCTATTGCAAAATTCAGTAGAGACATTAAGACACTTGGCAAGGCGGAGCAGTTCTGTATGAAGCTTAACGAAATTCCGTGTTATCAATTGAAGATCGACCTTACAATGTTAAAGGAAGAGTGGCCTCTCATATATTCGGAATCTCTTGAGACTTTAAAAAATTATCAACAGACTTGTTCCACTTTAATTAATGACAAATCGTTGACACAATATTTGTCCGTTGTATTACATTTAGGCAATAAATTGAACGCAGTAAGTGTGAATGATATTTTTAAGTCACTATAATGACAATTTTTTAGTATGAAATCAATACGCATTAGTATGTTGTATTAATTTTATATTCAAATGGCATATATTTAAAAAACACACAAAGTTGTATACTATTTTATCGTTAATATATTTTGTTTTTCATGCTTATTGAGTAATTATTATTAATTGAAACTACAAAATCAAAAGAAAATATAATAATGTATTATATGTTTTAACTTTTTCGTTAAATAATAATATGATATTAATTAAAACATGATTATATTAGGGAAGTTATGCTGGTGAAGCATACGGTTTCACATTGGGTACTTTGCCTAAATTAATGGATACTCGATGTAACAAACCAAATGTTAGCTTCATCCATTTGGCTGTAGAAATGTCTGAAAAGTATACAAATAACACTTAGTTTTTTGAAGTTGTGTTCGTCATTGAACAAATGTCAAAAACTTCGTTTGAATCTTTGGAAATCGAGCTTCGTAATCGTTCTTGTCAGATAAAAAAAAACCCAGTACAGGAGGGTCGCTGCACAGTGGTGACGTGGCATAGTTGGATCAAGTATAATGATATCTGACAGTGATTAGAATCACTATAAAAAAAAACGCTTCGATGCAAATCTTTAGATAGTGTTTAATTTAAAAAAATTGGTGGATTATTCCAAAAGCTTCATGATCTGCTATTTTCTTATTAATATCCAGAATGAAAAAGGGATTATTAAAAAATATTATTTCTCTTAAAAAAATTGTGTTGATCCATAAATTTTTCAAACACTTATAGCGTTATAAAGTTAAAAATATGAAAAAGAATTTTTTTACAAAAATCGTATTTTGTTTATTAACTTTGATGACTGTTTTCACCAAGAAAACAAAATAAAGTCCGAATTTTTTTTTTTTTAATATTAATGTATATTACATAAGCTTTAATTTAAGATATATATATAAATGTCAGTATTTCTGGATCACTTTCAAAAATTAAGTTGAAAAAGTTCTACTTTCTATATGCACTTTTATGTTTTGAATCCCCCCTGTATTAAGGGAAATGGTCCGATTTAAAAAAAAAGTATGTCAAATGAAATAGATATATAAATTGTATTTCTTATAAAAAAATTGTATTGATCCATACATTTTTCAAAAAGTTATATCATTTTAAAGTTAAAAATGTAAACAATAAAATCGAGAATTTTAACACAAAAATAGTATACGGTAGCCATTTTCACCGTGAAGACAAAATATAGTCCGAAATTTTTTTTTTCAATGATAAAGTATATTACATTAGCTTTAATTCGAGATATATAAAAGTGTCAGTATTTCCGGAACACTTTCAAGAATTAAGTGTAAAATTAAATTTTTTGTGAAAAAGTTGTCATTTTGAATCCCCCTGTGGGCTGGTAAAAGGTTAAATTTATAAAAAAAAATATACCAAATGATAGGGTAAAGACATCAATCATCTATAAAAATAATATTATATTGATTTGTTCATTTTTGAAAAAGTTATAGCAGTTTTAATTAAAAAATAATTGAAAAAATTTCGAAAATTAGCGATTTTTAAATTTGTAATTTTTTTGGAGGTTGCCCCCATTTAAGGGGAACGAGAGAAATTTTTTCAATTTTTGAGGGTAATGTCTTCTACTAGATACGATTTGTGATCTTTTGACGTATCATTGAAAGAAATCCGTTCGGTGAGAGCTGAGAAAAACACAAACACACAGACACAAAAAAAATTAATTAATTAAAATAATAATTAATAATTTATACTCTAACCATTAATGTTAGTGCTTCATATATATTAGCTATAACATAGCATCGAATAAATTCTGAATGATATAATTACTTTAGACATTAAGAAAATAAAAAAAATGTTTGCTTAAAAACAAAATGAAAATAATAAAGACAAAATCGATTTTATACTACTTTAAAATATGAATGACGACAATGCAAATTGCAAACAACAAAAAGCAATGGAACACCTACGTTTTAAGGGTGCGCTGTACAGAATTGCCGCGTGACTTGTCGGTGTTGAGTGCATCCCACCGATTTCTATACACACGAACTACAACATCGAACTTTGAAAGTCCATATTGTGGTAGTAATCACGTGTTTCTGTTTCACGTGCACAAACTATAATGCTTTTGACAATGTTTATAAAAACAATACGGTACCGGCGACTTGGATCAGTCGTTGGCCGTCGTTCATCTATTGCGTTCACCGTGAATTTCTCTTTTTGAAAGTTGTTCAGTTATTTTCCATAAAAAAGTCTTGACGTAATATCTACCAGTGGACCACGATTATTTAAAACGTTAAAATGCCGTTCTATAAGGACGCCGAATCAAACTTTGAGTATTCGCATGTAGACAGTCATGTAGTGTACGAGAGACAACTGGTCGACGAAGATGATAACAGTAGTCAGAGTAGCAATGCTAGCAGCACAGATGATGGTGGCGAAGACGTTTCTTCTGGTTGGTATAACGAAAATGCTGGAAATAGTGATACGGGTAGTGGTGGCAGCAGTAACGACGGTAATGGGTTTAAAGCTTCGAAAAACAACGGTGTCCTATTAAATTCTGACAATGGCCGCGGAAAATGGTTTAAAAAGTTGCGGATGATTTTTGATAAACTGCATATAGACGAGAAGAAAAAAAAATCAACCAAAGTCAAATCGATTCTTCGGCCTCCCACTGAATATGCTTATGTTGTAGGTATGTCTGGTCTCACTTCCCGAGTACCAGTCTATAAAATGTGAACTTGGCCATCTGTTCTATTGCCTTTTCTTTGGAACAACATCGGACGTGAAAAATTCCTGAAATTTTATTGCCGCAAGAGTACAACCTTAATATTTTTAATAGATAATATATTTTATCGCAAACAAATTAATTACTACAATATTGAAATTAGATTTTCGTAGCAGATTTCCATTTATTTATTAGATGAAGATTTATAAAGCAGTAATAATTATTTCTAAATTATAAGATAATGATAAAAAAGCAGAAGTGATTTATTTTATTGAAAATGGCAATTTATGTATAATTAGATATTAAAATTTGACATGAATTCTAATTTTTTAAAGATAAAGTTCTACATTTCTTGATATTCATCCACCGCAAAATTAAAAATATGTTTTCAAAAGTTACAATATTATAAAACTATTTATATTAAAACTGAATCTAGTAACAAATTTTGTTACACGATACAATTCTATAAATAAATTTATACTGTGACTTTTTTATTTTCAATTCATATTTAAAATATTAAGAAATATATGTGTGTGTATGTGTGAGTGTGTCAACATTTAACATAAATAATGCTTAAAAATGATCTATTAATTACCCCTTGAACTATATTATGTATAGTTATTACTATACTCATAGTAAACATAGTAAAATATTTTTTGATTAATTTTATTTGAAGTTTATTAATGAACCGATTATTTGATATATAAATTAAAACTATTATACAAATTTCAAAGTAATATACAAGTTATGTTTTTAAACAACGTACAAATTGTAATGAAATAGCAATTACATTATAAATATTTTATTTCATACATTAAATACATTTCACTTGTCTAATAGTTATATGTTGTTTTTTTTTGTGTGTGCATTTTATGATACTGAAATATTTTGATTGTAATAATATAAACAAATAAATGACTACTTTATCTGAGAAACATTTTTTATTATTTTTCCAAATTAAATAATTTTTTAATTTAATATACAATATATATATATATATATATATATATATATATATATATATTTAATTATGTATCAGATACAAGTAATTTAGCTATTTCACTAACTAGTATATTAATAATCAAAATTGTCTGGATATAATTTGGCAATACTTTCTCATCAATCTATTTTTCTTATAAATAGGTAATTATTACCATATTACTTTTAATATAAATAAAAAAAACTATACTAAAATTCCTATCATAATCTATCGTACAACTATCATAAAATATTGTAACAAAATAGTGTACTATCACTAGTTAATAAATTATTCAAAATATATATATTAAAATTATTTTAAATAATAAGTTTTTATTATTTTATATAATTTTTTTTTTTTTTGTCAAAATTATCTATTTACATAATTTGACTAGTCGTAATAAAAGAAAAAAAGATTATAAATTACTAGTTATAGTGTCATTATTTTTCTACTGAATATTATTTAGTATTTATATTCTATTAAGTCATAATATGACCAACGAAATAATTCTAAAACTAAAAAACTGATTAAATCAAGTGGTATTAATGATATAAAATTGTGTAAAGTTAGGTATTGGTAATTTAATAATGAAAAGAAAATTGTATTTAATTTCTAATAATATCTTCTTCTACTTTTTCTTCGCCTTAATCCCAACTACTTGCCATCCTTATCCTAAACTTCCTCTTGACACGATTTCCCACATCATCTACACTCACATCAGCTGTCTTCATATCACATTCAATAGCATCCCTCGTTTCTTATCCTATCTTCTCTAGTCACTCCACTCATCCATCTAAGCATTCTCATCTCTGCTCAACTTTCTTGTCAACTACCCAACACTCTAAACCATATATCATAGTTGGTCTCACTACAGTTTTATAGATCTTACCTTTCAGCTTACCTTGGTGCACTCCTATTCTTACTCTATAACCTTCTGTTACTCCTCCCTGTCTGTGTCTAAGTAATAATATTGAATACGAGAAAAACACTGCAAATTCTATTAGAGCATTTTCTTCTAAATTGGCAATTGTTTAATTTATGTGAAAATGTTGACTTTGTAAATATTTACTTTTCGAATAAAAAAACTATACTATTAGTGCAATAACTAGATAAAAATTTTATTTCCTAATTACTTTTTTTTAATTAATTTATTTGGCATAAAGAAGTAGAAAAATGGAATTTAAAAGTATTCCAATCCTTTTTTTATTTTAAATACAATTTAATCTTATATTCTTTATTTATTTTTGTCTATATAGATTTAAAAAAAAATACAATATTATTGCTCAAAAATAACAACTCAGAAAATAATTATTTCAAATATAAGAATTTGAAATTTATTTTTTTATTTTTTCTTATATTAATTTATGGAAACCAAATTACTCAGTTATAAAAATTCTTTTTTCGCGAAATAATCTTAATGTAGGATACCATTATTAGCTTTCGTAAAAACATTTATTTAAAAAACTGATATTAAAAAAAAATTTTGTTGATTTTATTCCACTATGGATCTCATAAAATGAATCAATAACGAGATATTCGCAATGAAATCTTTTGTTAATTAGATTAGTTATATTAATAGGTATTATCATTGTATATTATTTATAGTTAATGTCTACTCTAAAAATTATGATTGGTACCAAGGAGGGTGGGATAAATTACATAGCTCAGCGCAACGGAATCGAAATCCGATATTTTGATATCAGGGTGGAGTATGCTCGACACGCTACCAGCTAAACTAAATAGACCCTATATGAATAATGTTATTAATATTAAATAATAATAAGACTATTAAAATCGTGTTTGATTCAATTCTGAAAGATTCAAATAGGATCTTCCTTTGAATAATAATCAAATCATCAAATTGATGGCAATGGCAATGTTCATCGATTTTCATGATATGCACTGCACTGAGGCTTCGAAATTTTTAGGTTTTTAAGGGCCTTACATTTTTAGTGTCTTTGTAAAATTACGCATGTGCCATTCCACAACTTAATTCGAAGGAATCCGGCATTGATTGAATGAATATTTTTGAATAATTGACCTATTATAAAAACATGTAAGCTTGAACAGTTGAAGTGTATTAACTTCATTTGTAAAGGTGATTTACTTATTAATGTTGCCATGATCTGATCCATACTGTCGTAACAGTAAAAACAGTAATAGAAGAGTTATTCCAAAATACACGACGTTCTGATCAACCACAACATAATGATTTACAAAACTATTGTCGAAATCACGTTTTAGTTTACCACGTGTGTTGTGCATCAAGGCGCTTTCAGTGAGTTATATAAAGGCTATACACAAGACTGTATGGTACAGTCGTCATTCACATCATTGTTTCTAATTAACGTTTAGTAACATAATTACCTCCGATATTATTCGAATTTTAGAGAATTTTGATACCGTAATTTTAAATGCCATTCTACAAGGACAACAAACCACTTTTGGAGTACTCCTATGCTTCTAGTTATGTGGTATATGACAATAATTGTAAAATCGGCGATGATAATAATGAAAGTAGCAATGATAATGTTACTGATGAACCTACTGCGTGGGATAAAGAAAATTCGNGCGATTTACATGATATACACTGCACTGGGGCTTCGAGATTTTTAGGTTTTTAAGGGCCTTGCATTTTTAGTGTCTTTGTAAAATTACGCATGTGCCATTCCACAACTTAATTCGAAGGAATCCGGCATTGATTGAATGAATATTTTTGAATAATTGACCTATTATAAAAACATGTAAGCTTGAACAGTTGAAGTGTATTAACTTCATTTGTAAAGGTGATTTACTTATTAATGTTGCCATGATCTGATCCATACTGCCGCATGTTAATATGCAACCTTAGTAATTTTTGAAATTGTGTATTTAAAGATAACAGTAAAAACAGTAATAGAAGAGTTATTCCAAAATACACGACGTTCTGATCAACCACAACATAATGATTTACAAAACTATTGTCGAAATCACGTTTTAGTTTACCACGTGTGTTGTGCATCAAGGCGCTTTCAGTGAGTTATATAAAGGCTATACACAAGACTGTATGGTACAGTCGTCATTCACATCATTGTTTCTAATTAACGTTTAGTAACATAATTACCTCCGATATTATTCGAATTTTAGAGAATTTTGATACCATAATTTTAAATGCCATTCTACAAGGACAACAAACCACTTTTGGAGTACTCCTATGCTTCTAGTTATGTGGTATATGACAATAATTGTAAAATCGGCGATGATAATAATGAAAGTAGCAATGATAATGTTACTGATGAACCTACTGCGTGGGATAAAGAAAATTCGAGTAACAGCAATTCCATCTGTAATAGTAGTGGTAGGAGCAACAAATTCAGTAGATCTATTAGTGATAGTACTCACGGTGTGACTAGCGAAAAGAGCATGGTTAAGTGGTTTGAAAAATTGCGAATGATGTTCGACAAGCTTCAGATGGATGAAAAAAAAGAAAAGCCTAAAAAGATCAAGTCAATTATTTATTCGACCTCCAGTTGAGTTCTCTTACGTTGTTGGTACGTCCGGTCTTACATACAATGTTACAGTTTACAAAATGTGAATTCGGTTATCTGTTCTATTGCATTTTCATTTAAACATCATAGGACACAAAAAAGCCATTGCGTCGCTATTTCATTTAAGTACAATTTTAATAATTTTCAAAAATAAACCATAGTATAATAAAAAAAAAAAACTTTATCATACTCCGCTAGATATATCGTAACAGTTTTAAGTTCTTCTTGAATTTCTTAATTTTCAAAAACTATGTATAAGTTCTTCTTTAAACTTAATATTTATATTAAATTTTTTCACTTTAATTTATTTTATTAAGTAAAATTCAAATGTGTTACAAATAAATGTGTAGCTAACAAGTTTTAGTTTTGTATTTTAAAATAATTTCTAATTAAACGAAATTAATTGATATATATATATATAAAATTTATTTATATTCTTTTAATTTAAAGCATTTAAATTTAGATACAAAAATGTTTTTTTTTAATTTACGTAGATGTTTTACCTTCAAACTATTCCAAGTGGTACAGAAAATTTTTCTCATTACATTCCTTCGTCCTTGATTCCACGACTTAAAACTTAATAGAAATTTTAAATTTAAATTTTGTCGTCTTAGAATTTGGTCACAAGTTATTACAGATTACTTATATTTTATCTCTTAATTCTTAATTAACCTTATTATTATATTAATTATAATATCAATATATAAAATTTGTTTGATTATAAAATTTACCACAAATACGTTTCAGATTATAAAAAATTTGTTTATCAATTAAGTTTGTTGCTAAATATTGATGAAAAAGTCTTTCATTAATAGAGGACAAATTATTTTCACAAAACTTTAGTGAATTAAGACTGGAAGCGTTGTAGTAGCTAAGTTAGTTTCTATAGTTATTACTATAGTTATTACTATAGTAATGAAATAATGTCACAATCTTATTGATCTGTAATCTGCATAAAGACATTCTTAAAATTAATTTTATTATTATATATTTAAATTATAAAAAAAATGTACCTATTGACATTTTTTAACGCAAATACTGTTATGAAATTGTATAACATGCATTATATTTTATAATGTTTTAGTATTTGACAAAATAAAAAAAATGTTTTAAAATTCTTCATCCTTGTTTTTTTTAGTAATAGTATTGGAAATTCTGAATTAAAGTACAACATTGATTTTTAATTATGATATTAATTTTATTAAAAAGTTATAACATGTAAGTTTTATGAAATCGTTTTAACAGTGAACATATATTTTTTTGAGTACACATTTTATTTAAAATAGTATATCTTCGACAACTGGGCTTGGGTAAGCGGCGACGGCAGCTGCTGGATTTAAAACTGGCGGGTACGCAAAGTAGGGCGCAGAAGGAACTACGATCCCGTTATAGTTTCTTGCCACGTACTGGGAGCTGTATGCGGTAACTACAGGGGCAGGGGCTGCGACAGCGGCTGGAAGGACTGGAGCGGCTGGAAGGACTGGAGCTGCTGCAAGAGGTAAGGCAACACCAGATGGCGCACTCAATGATAGAGCGACCAAACTGCAAACGATGACAACAATGATAAACTAAACAATAAATGAAAAAATATAACAGAATAATTATTTAAATTAATCATGATTAAAAAAATTGATCAAATAATGAGTGTTACATAAAAATTATTACCATTTTTTTACACATATTTGCTGATTTAGTGGAGGTGAGTTGGTAGATTTTGATTGTTTTGGTAATGTGTACGATGAACGACTGATAAAACACTTTGACTAGTTCGACAATTTATATCAAATCTTATTTCGTCTTTGTCGAAGAAGTGGTCATCTGTTCACCCTTGATAGTTATTACTTCATACATAATTGTCCTTACCAAAATAATATTATTGAATAATTGCTACATATGTCTACTGAGAACGTTGATTTGTATTTTAATCACGTTACTGTTCCAGTGTGACACTGTTTTGGTCACATGCCAATCAGGCAAGTGCTCATTTAATTGTGTCATTACAATAGTTACAGTTATACTTTTAAAGGAATAATTTATCAGGTATGTTGAAATTTGCAAAGGATTTCGGATGGTTGCCAATTCAATTAACCCGAATATTTTAGTACACTGTAAAGATTCCAGTTTTTTTTAATTAAATATTTAATAGTTTAAACATGTGTTATAATAATATACTTAATTGATCATGTAATTCAATATTAAAATTATGGAAAATTTCTTATTTTTAAATTTCAGACAACTATTTTAATTGTATTTGATGTGTCACATAAATTCTATTTTTTTTTTTATGTTATAGAGTGATTAATTTTGTATGAAACTCTCTTTTTTCTGATTGAAAATTTCAAATTTTCGTAATGAACATAAAATTGATTCAAAAAACTTTATAATATTATATACACTTTTATGAACAGATCATGTTGTGGTTTGATATTAAATACTCTTATTCAGTGTAGGATAGAGACATAAAGGCATTATGTAATTTAAGTGCCGAAAATTCAAAAACAATTTTTATTAAATGAGTCTTTGTATCATAGGAGCAATTTTAACAAAGTTTTGGAAGGGCTCATCATATCTAACGTCCCCTCTCTAAAATTTCATTATATAATTAAATTTGTATTTTTTCCTGAAATTTTGGAAGTTAATTTAAAAATTGGAGAAGTTAAGTCATCTAAGCACACCCAATTTGGGTCTATCCTTTGTTCCCGCGACAATACTATGAAAAAAAAAATTCAAATTCGATAACTATAACATGAAATCTATCATAAGAACCAATGGCGTTCTATTGAATGATTTTGTTTAATTTCACAAAAAAAAACTTTTGATATGTAGATCACTTGATCACAACATGCCTAAATTATAAATATGAATTTCTACATTAGTCAACAAATGTAAAACTATAACATCCACATACTCTGATGATCTGATAGAACTAATAAAAGAGTCCCTAGACCAAAAATATTATAAATACCATAAAACGTAACACTCAAACAGCGCTATCAATAATTAATGCCTTTTAATTTTATGATAGAGATCAAAATTAACAAATAAACAAATGTAACAAATAAAACCTTTATTAAAAATAACTATGAAAATATTTGCGACCCTTAACTCATGTAATTTAATATATAAAAATATCACTCATATTTAATTACGGATTTCGGTTAAAACTTTCTACACTGTGTCAGCCGTTATTTTTGAAACACCTAATAATAATTTCTGTTAGTTTCAAGAAAATTGCAATCTAATATATTATATTTTACAAATTTTGTTATTTTTTTCTTGAATACCCAATAAAATTTCAAGTTTTCTTGTTTCAAATTACAAATTTTTAGTCTTGAAAAATCGTTGTAGAAATTTTAATTTTACAATATTAGGTAAATAATTATTTAAATATTATCGTTGATTTTCAATATTACTGAATTTCACTAAGACTTTTTAATTAATTTTATGATTTACAAAACATTATATTATTTGAAAGACCTCAAACAATACCACTCTATGAATTTTGATAATATCCTAATTAAAATGTATTATTCATTAGGTATGACAAGTAAACCAATTGCGTAATTTCGCATTATGTTTTCATGGCAATATTGGCAACTTACTGATTCGTTCTAATCTAAGAGCATCTGTGGTGGGTGTTCAACTAAATTTTGACCAATTTAGATGCGTATATATATATATTGTTGATTTCACTCATTCATCACTCAGTTCAGTTTAGTGGTTCAAAAGTTTCAGTTCTATTCTTAGCGCAAATCAGTTCATATATATCTTCAAAATGATTAGCACTTTAAAAACAGTAAGTAGGATGTACTCATTTAAGATTATGTAATTAAAATAAAAAAAACCAAGTTTACAATCCATGTTGTATAGTAATCAATAAAAACTAGGAAATTTTACACGAAGATAGATATTTTGTGTAAAATTTCTGTTGACCCCAATCAACAAATTTTCATATAAGATATTTTGGGAGGTAATATTTTACTTTATGCAGTACATAGAATGATAGCCTACATTTCCTCTTTCATATTCCGCCTAACAGAATGATCATAATCTAACATATAAATAAGCAAAACTATATTTAAATATCTTAATTTTTATAATTAAAAATGTTGATTCATATGAATCTACAAATAAAAATTTGTATTATTTAATGTGACTGTGCTCATATTCAAAAGGTTCTTATTGCTGCTTCCATTTTGGCCTGTTCAATGACATCATCTGCTGCTCCGGCCGCTGCATTAGTTCCTGCTGTTGCTCCAGTAGCTGTAGCAGCACCTTATGCTAGTTCATTTACGTCTCACAGTGTCGCTCATTCTGTTGCCACACCAGTTGTTCCAGCAACAGCACCATACTATGCAGCACCCGCCGCTTATGCTGCTGCACCTGCTGCTTATGCCGCTGCTCCAGCATATGCTCCAGCTGCCTATACCGCTGCACCAGCTACACCATACTTCGCTCCATATGCAGCATTTCCTACTTTCTTTTAATTGAAAATATGATTTGAAAATATGAATTGAAAATAATGGCAGAATTTGTTTATAAAGACAAACAATACAAAGAAAAATGTGTTCTTAAATAATTTGTAAAATATATTATACGTTATTATTAAATTATATGACAGTTTATTTGTAAATTATAAAATAACAAAATGTTCATTACACAAATGATAAATAAATAAATAAATATTAAAAACTACACTATTTTACTTTTGTGACTTCATTTACGATCATGAACGTAAGTATAATAATAAGGAGGTGGGGCTACGTCGTTAGTAACGACTGCGACGGAAGGTCTGTACTCGACTGGTACTGGCACTTGGACGTCATATGGCACTTTTTGGACTACCACGGATGGCTCGACTGCCGTTACTTTTGGTACAACAGTTTGTACTTGTCGGACGCCGGGATTGAACCGACGAAGTTGTTCAACTTGTGGGAAAGAGCCAGCGGCATACGCTGATAAGTCAGGTTTGTATACGGTGGGCGCATATCCAACCACCGTTGGAGTATCAGCGTAATGTACAGTTTTCGTGATGGCTGTACCTATTTGAGCTGCCCCGTACGGGTAAGCGGCCGCGTACGCTCTTGATTCTGCATTCAGTTGAGCCGACAGTGGCTTTAATTCTACAACTTGTGGGGCAGTATAAGCAACCAAAATTAATGAACTGAAGACTAAATAGGATTTCATAATCTATATAAAAAAAATTTTAACTGCATTATTGTAGACTACAAATAAAAAATAATTTTTACTTGTCAAAATCATTTTCATAGTAATTTTTGTTTCTAATTACTGAATTAATTAAAATTTCAAAAAAAGCACATTATTTTATGACACACTTAGCGTTTTATTATGTACTACACAGGATTTTCCAATAAAAGAGCTGATTTCAATAATTTTTAATTTTTAAAAACAAAATTATCATACAGTTTGAAACTTGTAATTTCTTATTTAAGTTATTTTGCTACATAATGAGCGTAACAACTTTATTCAGAGTTTAAAAGACGTATAATTTAATTTTTTAAATATTTATCGAAAAAAAATGTTTTTCAACGAAATATCATTAGAATCTTTCCATTCTGAGATGACGTCTAGTTTCATTAGAACATAGTCAAGTTATTTTCTCGTATTGTTACAAGTTTTTTAATGTTTTTAACCAGTTACCTTATTTTGTAATTATATTTTGTTGTTTATTAAAATCAATATTTAAATAATGAAAGATCTCAAATTAAACATTTAATGAGGCTGCCTTTTTTTCTAATTAATCATTGATGCATGTTAGTTTAAACTTAATTAAATATAGGGGTACTATTTCCTTTTTTGTGAACATAATTTTATTGGGATAACATTTTTAGTAATTTATACTATAGACAATCTATGGTAGTAAAATTTAACCTATTATACCTTATAATAATAATGAATACAAATCTAATCATTATAATGGTTGAACTTGTATATTTATTTGAACAATGTATTATTATAAAAAAAAAATTTTATAGTGACATTTTTTCAATGACTATTCTATGAATAATAAGTAAAAATTAATACAGTTTTAATAAAAAATAAATAAAAATTGTTTAAAAAAAATATATGTTTATTTGGTTATCTACGTTTACTCCTTAACTGAATTAATCGTATATATTAGATTAGTATTTTTATCTCAAAGAATCATACGAAATTTTTAAACATAAAGTTAGTATATTTTAGAAGGTTATAAGAGGTAAGCCCTTAAATGGGAACGTCAAATTTTCATTTTAGATAAAAGTCATCAAGTTTTTTTTATTTTTATAGCTCCTCTGGTAAACTTAATTGAAAAACCCTGATGTATAATTGCATGACCGTTTTTAAAGGAGATCAGAAAGGGCTTAAGCCTTTAATTAAATAAATAGTATTATAGTTAATTTTGATTCGTACATTTTAAAAACTACCCTAAGTCAATATTAATGAAGCCTATGACTTATAGATTCATACATTGTTTTCAAACATTTGGTACATAATACACTACAAAAGATACTAGACTTTTTATCTATTTAATTCGGGCGTTTAGTAACACTCCAATTAATACTTAAATTTAAAGACTTCATTCCTCAAAATTATATAAAAAACAGAATATGTATTTATCCTATGCAAGTTTTATTAAATTAGTTAGCGTAGTCCGCTGAAAGTGATATTACTTTTGCGTATAATTATCAATTATGAGATAATAAGTAAATTGAGAAACAGATTAAATAATCAAAATTGCAGACGTCTATTTCCACCTACAAATTAATATAAACGTGTGGGCGTGTTGTTGTTTTTTTTTTTTTATTTAAACCGGTAATCCAAATTTCATTAAAAAGAAAGAAATCCAGTTAGAACACACACACACACATTTATATGTATATACTTATTATAGGTCGTTACGAAATGTTTTCTAACTTAAACGTAAGTGATAGTGAAATTTATTTGTTTTATAGATAGTAAAATTTAATTCAGAAAAATATAAATTGATTTCTCTTAACGTGGGTATGAAATCGAGAAGGTGGCCGAGAATATTATTTAAATGAAAATATAACTGGTTGATAAACGTTTTCAAATGATAGGTAATAGTAACTAAAGAAATATTAAACTTTAGAAATTATTAACCAATACAAAATTACTAATAATTAAAATAAAATAAAGTATCAGTATTAATAAAGTAAAGAAGTAAAAAGACTATAAATTCTATAAAAAATTATTATTGCTATAAAAACAAAAATGATTTTGATTTTTAGTGTAATTACAAACAAAGCTTTACACGAATTGAAACTTAGTTCAATATCAAATTAAAAATGCTACAAGAATAGAATTCACCTCAGTTGGATTTTTATCAATATATTCAATCGGTAATTATTGCTATAACATAATATCTAGCGAAAAGCTAAAAATAAATTCACGTATATTTCTACTTACAGAAGAGTGCATTTCTTTCGCAATAATCTTGAAAACTTTATTTAGAAGTAATTTAAGTACCTTCTTTGGCAAATGATTAGACTGATTTTATGGTGCTCGGTTTATATACCGTATAAAATAAGAATAAATTCTAAAGTGGGGATGATAAAAACCGTGAAGAACCAAGTTCTTTATAAATATTGACAAGTATGTATTCATATTTTGATTGCAATTTATTTTAGTATAAGGTAATAAAAAAACATGAAATACAAAGAGATGAAATGGACCGTTAAATATTATTAAAATTATAACGTTGCCGTATTATTTTGCAAGTTTTTAATTTTAAAACTAAATATTTGAACAATAGTAATTATTAATTTCTATTAAAATATTATTTGCCAAATTTCTGTAATCTACAGTTTATAGATTTGTTAAATTCAAATATTTTAAGAATATATGTTCCAACTTGATGTTTCCATTCTATATTATATTTTACTTATTCTTTGTAATAAAGTAGCTAACGACAAATAACTGTACGTATAAGGCAGTTCAATTATTTTACTAAAATAAAAATGTTACGTCATAGATCAATATAATACAACAAAACAGTCTACTAAAATGTTTAGGACTGATTTCGTATGTGATGTTTATTGGTGTGCTATTGTTATTAAATATCACAAATGTCCAATAAAATTTATAGTTTGAATGAAATGCATTTTTAACATAATAGAAAATTAGCTCTAATAAATACGGTTAATTTCAACTATTTAAAAGTGAATTATTAAAAGTTCTACTTAATAAGACACTAAAAAAAACTATGTAAAATATATGAAAATGTTCGTCCTCAAATATTATTAAATAGAAAAATTCCAAGCGTGTGTTTCTATTTTTTTTTTTATTCACGGAACAAATGGGGTAAAGGTAAATAACCCGAAAAAATATATATAATATTACATGTATTATGTAGTTTGTCTGCAATAATCAGTTCAATAACTTCTTTTTTTATAACATGTTCAATAATTCCACACATTTTATGCTATTATAAATAATGTACATATTAATAACAAAAAATATTTTATGTGCAGTTGTTCTTTTAATATGATATTTTTATACTCGAGGGCATTATTAATGTCGGTTCATTGTTGTTCGCAGACTCGTGCAATATAAACAAACTCCTCNGGTTCATTGTTGTTCGCAGACTCATGCAATATAAACAAACTCCTCCGAGACTAATTATATTCTTTAGCTTCATGCGTATCAGTTAAATAGACCTATAGAAATTTAGAACCTATTGGTCGTTACTAGAATTATCGGGTGTTCAGAAAATTTAATTTGCTATCATCAAAAATCGAATGCGCACTTTTTTCTGTGCACAGTATAATGATCAGTTTCCATGATCCAGGCCACTCGTACCATTAGCCTCAAGGAATTAATGCTTAGAGCGTAGGATGCGCTGTTTGTTGTAATAAATATGCATGTGTATTATTATTAATAACATCTCATTGTAGTGCGAAAATATAGACCTATCATTGTATCACAGGCTAAAAATCTAATCACTCATCGGCGGGGAACATATTCGGTGGTTATATATAAGGCTTATCGTTAATTTTTTAGTATTCTCACCGCAAAGTCGATGAAAAATTGTTTGAGAGTTTTATTATAAAAGTGACTATAATCAAAAATGGTTTATCTACGATCGGTAAGCATTTTCGAGCAATTATTTTTTAATTAAAATAAAAATTTGTAAGTAAACTTGATAAAGAAAATCACTTAATTTCTCAACAATAAATAATATTTAGTGAATTCACTAGTTAAAATAAAGAGTATTTATTTGATACTATTTTTTTGTCAGTTATTTATTTGCTACACGAAAACATGTGATCAGAACATTATGAAATCTTTCCGAGAAACCGTTTTGTATTGAATGGCCACGTTTATGAGTCACGTTCCTAACACGCATACTTCCCTTACCTTCATCTCTGAATAAACATAAGCTTTCTGCACAACGTGATACTACTGAACGCAGAGCTATAGCGTTCAGTACTAATTAATATATTAATTATTACTTTCGAGGCATTTAGTTTTTTTATCGTTTTTGTATGTATAATATTTTTGATGATGACATTTTATAAATCTCGCCCTTTATTTGCCCACAGAAAGAGATTCAAAATGACAATTTTTTCACAAAAAATTAACTTAACTTTTGAAAGTGTTCCGGAAATACTGACACTTTTATAGATATATTAAATTAAAGCTAAGTTAATATACTTTATTGCGGAAGAAAAAAAATTCGGACTTTATTTTGTCTTCACGGTGACTATGAGGATTATATCTTATTATTGTCCTGTGAAACTTAAAACCCCAAAAATTTTTTTATTATAATTACAATATATATTTATATTATCAATGATTATCAATTTCTAACTTACAAGTAGAGGTCACGGTGATGGGATCATCGATTTTCAAAAAAGTTATAGGAATCTAATCTAAATCGGATATATTGCTGCACTAACTTTGAATTTTTTCAAATGAGAAAAATTACTTTGAAAATTTAACCTACCTTAAATAGCCTTTTTTTATCATTCAAAATCGTTGAAACCTGTGGGTCTGTTGGTGACGCGTGTGTCTCTAGCATTCGGAATATAAGGTTCGTTCCCGTGTAACTTGATGACTTTTTGCATTTTTTTAATATATTCATAGAACATCTTGCACAATATTTTATTTTATAATATTTTAGAGTTATACTTTTAAAATATTGTGAGAATGTAATATTCGCTGCCAAAGTATATTCTGAGAATATTTTTATATATTCTAGTTATATTCTAGAAATTCATAAAAAAATTTATTATAAAATATTATTTTATATTATATTATACATATTATTAAATTATAATTTAGTATTGAAAAAAGATTAAATATTTAAAAAACACAATCTGATAAAAATAAATTTACTTAAAAATATCTCATTTTTAATTTAATTTTCATTCGGCATACAGGTTAATTAAATTTAAAGAATTATCGGATTATTCAATAAAATAAAAATAATATTAACATTTTTTATTATTTTGATTCTTTAGAACATATTTTTCTCAAATTATTAATCGTGAAGTATATTTATGTTCATCCCTTATATTATACTAAAATCCAACTTTAATTTTTCAAATTGCAGCTTACATAATCCACTAGTTTAATTATTAGATAATCTAATTATGTGGATAAAAATTAGTGGAAATTTATTTATTATGATAGAAAAAAAATATTTTTAACCTAAGATAAACCGTTTTATATTATATATTATAAATATAACAAGTAATCTTGAGTCGTTTATAAAAATGTCAACAATGTAATTTTATTATTTCCAGTGTCCAGATTATATTTTAGATTATCTAATAATTATATCATTATTTTTGTTTTTTTTTTTACTAAAAATAGAATCGAATTTTATATTTTAATAATTATTTAAAGAGTTACAAAATCATTATGTATATTGTGATTAATTGTATCGCATTAATTTAGAACAAATTTTACTTAATTAGAACTTTTAATGATTTTCTATTTGTATTGGTATAGGAGGCTCTTCATCTGTTTTTTTAAGATCCAATTCTATATTCATAAAAAAATGTATAAAAACATTAAAATTATATTTTAATTAAAATTTTTTTCTTATATACCTATTTCAATTATTTTGTCTGGTGTTGGTATAAACGTCTCTTCGGTGAGTGGATCATATTTAAATCCAAGTTGAAAATACTTCTCTATAATTATTGTCTTAATATAATTCCTAATTTGTCCGTTTAAGAATTTGAAAAATCCTAATTTTATGTTTTTATCAATAATGGCATTATATTCTATTTTCCATTCCTTCCATAAAGAACTCGTATTAAAAGTTACAAATTCACATTGGAATACAGTGGCATTATATAATTTTTCCCCTATTTTTTCATAAAATTCTTTTATAGTATTCAATGTCCAAAAGTATGAAGATATATTATTACGTGATAGAGTTCGCTCGTTTAAATTTTCAAGAAAATTTCCAATTCTTTTTAATTCAGAACTTATTATGTAGGTATTTTTGTGATATGCCAAAGGTGTTTCATGTAGTAGATCCAGAGCATCCATTGCCTCTTTCAACAATGTAGCCAGTGGAGCAATAAATAAGGATATTATATTTACAAGTTGTTCAGTGCAAATATATCCCTTTTTAATATCATTTTCTTCAAACAAATTTTTTTGACACTCTTTCAGGACTTTGCTAATAACTAATAATAGATCATTCATAACTTTAGTATATGTACATCCAAGATATATAGTCAAAGCTCTTATTTTTTGATCACCTTTAATACGTTTTGTAGGTATTTTAATCAATTTTTGAAGATAGTATATTTTTTTATAATATGTTATGGAGATCAAATCATTTAAATTTTTCCACCCCGAATACATTAACATCTTATCCAACTGATTTACTGTTTTTTTTAAAGTTGTCTTTGAATTTGTATAAATCATCACAGAAAATAATACAAAACTAAACGTGTAAAGTTTTAATAACGACATTTGGAAAATTATTAATTTTATATATGACAAATTTTTTTTAATTTAAATAAAATACAAAACGTTTCAGTTGATCCGTATATATTCTATGCAACATTTATAAATAATAAGATAAATATTTGTAATAAAACATATGTCGTTTTAATATAAATTTATTTCATGTTTTTAAGTTTAAAAAGATATTACTAACATTTGTATGACAAAGGAGCTTTGTTTTAAAATATAGTCTAAACAAACATTAAATATATAATTAAAACAGATTTCAAAAATAATGCTTGATAATATTTGATACAATTCAAAATTAATGTTTAAACATTTTCATACTCATCGCTATAATTAATATTTATTTATTTTTATTTTTTTTTATAGTTCATAGATTCAATGCAAAGTTAATTAAGTTAATATTACTGTGATTTATCTTTATGTCTGTCGCCATATTTACTCAGCACTCACCGGACTGATCTTTTTCAGTAATACGTCGAAAAATTACAATTCGACTCTATTTAAAGAAAATGTCTTTCAAAATTAAAAATGTCCCTCGTTTTTTAATGAATTTTAAAATTTGTAAAAAAAAAATGTATAAAATGTATTTTTATCATTTTTAGTGTTATTTTTAACACTTTTTGTAATTAACTCTTTTTTTTTTTTAATATAATTACATTATTATATTTTAGTAATTATTTGGGGATTTACAAAATTGTTATGAGTATTGTAATTAATTAAAAAACATTAATGTAGAATAAAATTAATTTTATTATAATATCATCTGATGCCTTAATTAATGATTTAGTATATAAAAAATTCAATTTTGTAAGGTGACTTTTTAACCTACGATATTCTAATTTTTTTATCTAGACGACAGGAGAAAAATGACTAATGACAAAAATAGCATTGTCTGCGCTTCATCTCTAGTCTATATTTCCAATTGCTTAAAACTTACAAATTCTTAATATATTGTGAGAATGTCATATTCGCTGCCAAAATATATTCTAAAAACATTATGGGAATATTAAAAATTATTCTAGTTATATTTTAGAGATTTTTTAGTATCTAAACAACTTTAATGCTCATATCATTTAAAAAAATAAAGAGAAAAAAAATTAAGGGGTTCTCTCATAGAGTAATAGGATTTGATATATTAAACTACAGAATTCCTAAATGTAGCCTTCTAAGTATATTTTATGCTTAGGGTTATTAATTTAAACATGTTCACTTTATTATAATATTTGTATTGTCTAACAAGTATTTTGCTTAATTAAATATTAACGGTTAAGTAAATGAAAACCTTAAGATAGAACGAAAGTTAGACAAACATTAATTTTGCCTTATTATTAACAATTAAATTTTAATTCTAAAGTTTTTAATTCATATATTCTAAATAATAGTGTACCCGACAGAAAAAGATAATAAATACCAAAATTGTTTTCTTTGTGACTTTTTCTTTCTAAATTCTTATTCGTGTTATAAGTTTTTAGTTTTTAAGTGAACTAATATCTTTAATATTGGTATAACTAGGCGATTTAATCCTTTTCAACCACCCTTAGATGTACTATTAACTTCAAATAAACCTATTTATTCTAAAAGTAGAATGTTATTTACGAAAAAATTAAAATCCTGTGTTTTACTATTCAAAAGCGAATTACGATTTTTAAAGACAAAAATAATTTTCTTATAACGCAAACTGTATTTTTTAAAAAAAATTGTTTATTTTTACAGATATTTACATGGCTACTGTCTGTAATTTTGACGGTTTTTGGACAAGTATATGTTAATTCTTATATTCCATTCAAGCCTATTCCTTATGGCTATCAATATTACCAACCATCCACATCTGAAATCATCATACCACCAGCTAAACGATATCTTACCGGTTATGATGTAATCAATAACTATGAACCTGTTGAAAAACACGGATATAAATATTCATATTAAGTTTGATTTTTTAGTGTTGAATAAAAGCAACAAGGTTAAAATAGCGACAAACTAATTTTTTAGTTAAATATCTGTCACTGTAAAAACGTAATTTTGTTTGTTAATTTAACTTGAAATTTTAATACTCAAGTTAAAAAATCCTAAAAAATTTTTAGGCCATTGTTGTGATAATAAAATCGTACATATTGGTATTACATTTTTATCGTGAAAATGTTCATACAGCTGTCTTTAAGATTATCTAATTTATAAAAAAATATGACTGTTAAACTATGTATTATAGGGTACGTGGGACTTAATTATATTAATTATGTTTGTATATTACATATAATATTAATGGAAAAATAAGATTTATTTAATATTTAGTGTAAATTTTAAGCATTATTTACATTTTGTAAAACTGAAAATAAAAATTGAATGATTTTATTTAAATATAAGGTATTTTTATTACTTTTCAAATAGCAATCAACTATTTAATAATAAAAGTTAAAACTACCAAATTAATAATAAAATGAATATTTAGTAATGCAAAATTAAAATAAAGTTACATATAAATTATAACTTACTTATATCCATTATACAAAAAGAAAAAAAATCGAAACAAAATTGATAATTGCTTTTTGGAGATTAATTAAAAAATTTTCAAAATAATATTCCAACGAGCATACTGATTTTTGTTTTTAAAACTAAACAAAGATAAATTACTTAGTGATACTTTATTGACAACCATTAAATTAAAAATTTGAAATCCTTAAAATATAAATGATTTTTTTATTAAAACAATTAAAATTTTATAATATTTCATAAAATGTTACAATATTATTTAACATTGGCGGACAAAAAAAAGTTATTATTTAAACAACACAATTCCAGTGATGGCGTGTGCTGCATATTATTAGCTTCGATGCGAAGCTGAGAAGGTATTGGTTTTACTATGATATGTTTTTTTTTTTTGTGTCTGTTACCACTTTTTCTCAGCTCTCACCGAACAGATTTCTTTCAACGATACGTCAGAAGATCACAAATCGTATCTAGTCGAAGACATTACCCTTAAAAATTGAAAACATTTCCCTCGTTCCCCGTAAATGGGGGAAACCTCCAAAAAAATTACAAATTTAAAAATCGCTAATTTTTTCAATTTTTTTTACTAAAAACTGCCGTAACTTTTTTAAAAATGAACATATCAATATAATTTTTTTTATAGATGCTTGATGTTTTTACCTATTATTTGGTATATTTTTTTTGTAAATTTGACCTTTTTTCTGCCCACAGGGGGGAATTTAAAATGACAACTTTTTCACAAAAAATCAACTTTTTCAACTTAACTTTTGAAAATGTTCCGGAAGATCTGACACTTTTATGTATATCTTAAATTAAAGCTAATGTAATTTACTTTATTATGCAAAAAAAAAATTTGACCTCTGGACTTGTCTTCACGGCGAAAATGGCTACTGAATGCTATTTTCGTGTGAAAATTCTCGATTTTATTATTTATATTATATTTAACTTTATAATGCTATAACTTATTGAAAAGTTTATGGATCCACACAATTTTTTTATGAGAAATAATATTTTTTAATAAACCCTTTTTCATTCGACATACTTTATCTTAATCGAGATATTAATAAGGAACCAGCAGATCAAGTAGCTTTTGGAATAAAACACCAATTTTTTTAAAATTAAACACTATTTAAAGATTTGTATCGAAGCGTTTATTTTTGATAGTGATTTTAATCACTGTCAGATATCATTATACTTGATCCAACTATGCCACGTCACCACTGTGCCGCAAACCCCCTGTGCTGGGTTGGGTTTTTATTTTATTGATGCCATTTTACATAAATAGAAAATTATTTAATATAAGTAAGTAATATCATTAAACATTGTTAAAATTTGTTTATTATCATATAAATTAAAATACTCTAAGCAGTTTACTATCAGCCTATTATTATAACTTACAGTTTTAAATATTTTTAAATTAAACAATGTTTTTAAATTTCTTGATTTTTATATTAAACTGAGTAAAATGTTATTTTACGGTGTTATGATTTTTATTTGTGTCTGTATTCATAATACCTTAGTTTTTGTTCATTGATAATGTACAATATCATAAAAAACGTAATTAAAATAAATTTCATTTTAAAATAGCATGTCTATAAGATAAAAATCATATAAATTTATATAAAAGTAAAAAATCTTAATAATAATAATCTGATAAATTGTAATATTATATTTGTACAAAGACATTAAAATGAAAAAAATGATTTTTAATTGTTTGTGACACGAAAGAAGTTTAAGAAGTTAAACTATCAAAATAAATGTTGACATCTCCAAATATTAAGAAAATTATTTATTTATTTATAAAAATATTATTAAAAATAATGAAATAAAATTTGATTCTCTTAAATTTTCTTCTAGAATTCCGCCGATTCTTATGTTAAAGATTATTTTAAGAAAATGCTAGACAATTAAATTTGTTTGACCTGAGTGGTAAAATATGAGGAGGTTAAGCATGCTAGAGTACTTAAACTTCGATTTTCGCATCCAGTAACTCGAAGGCTGACTATGGGTTTTAAATACACACATTTTTAATTATGTAATTTTATTTAAATAATTTATCATCAGTTAAATTTTATTTAAATGTGTAGTGTTGATATGGTTACAACATTGATAGGGTAAATAATGAGGTGATCGTTTACCTCAAGACTATGAATCTTTTATCATTTCAGCATTCTAAATAAATGTTCTCTAGTTATACCACTGATGACTGGTATTTTAAAGTATAGGTTAAATTAGTCCAATTCAGGGGCGTATTTGCGGGAGAGAGGGTTGGTGTTTATACTACGTCCATTGTGAAACTTTTTCATATAAAATTAAACCACATATAAATATTGGAATGGAGGTTTTACAATCACAACCCCCGGGAATAATTTATACCTACTCCCCTGGTTAAATTATTGAAACATTATAAATTTTAAGATATCTGCAGTCTGTATTGCGAATGACATAACAATTTACTATTCTCACATCAAACATCAATAACTCTTGTTAAAATAAATTATTCAAACTTTTAACGCGAACATCAACGTGAACGACAAATCTATTCAGAAGTACATTGAAGAAATGACCGGCTAAGTACAATTACTTACATCTAGGCCATAGACGCGGATATTCCCCAATGTTAACATTGCTTATTATTTACTGCTTACACGCATTCGTCGTTACATCATAACCAGATGTGGCATTGAGTCGATGACCTACTCGACGCGCGTACTATACTATGTTTGTAGCAAGACACCCATGGGGAAAACCCCATTGTAAAATTCTTCATCTACGGTTACATTACAATAAAAAATCGAATTAGACATACATCGATTTAACACCTCATCGAATAAACTCACAAATGGCAATTATTAGGCCGAAACAACTTATTTTGAAATATAACAATTATTGACTTATTTGATTAAGCAATTCTTGTAAAAGAGTACAAGTTGTCCAGAAAATTTAATAGTTTTCTCTAACACATATCATATTTAGTTGGTGTATCGAAAATTCAACGATTTTTCCCCTTGCAATAGTAAATCTCACTAAATGCACCTAACAATTAGTGTAATTATGTTTGAGATGTTTTTTTGTTGGTAGAACACTCAACAACTGAATCATGTATTGTTAAACTAAAAATTTAGTGCGGTACAAATGTTATATCATCACGATTATATCCGGTACGCATTAGGTTGATTTTGTATTCATTAGTCGTCCATAAGTATGTGTCATTTGGTGTAGGACATTATATTGCTGTTGCATTTCATACACACTTCTCTAAAGTTATACATTTCAATATGAAATAGATTTTAAAGGTATAATTCGTGAAGTCGCCTTATTTCATAATATATTTCAACTATTTAAACATTTTTTTATTCGACCCTTCCAAAAAATTCTGAAAAATCATTTGTGAACAAAATTATTCAAATAAACTTATTGAATAATAAACGAACCAAAATAATTTTTTTTTTATATTAAAACCTTATGCATTTCCCTATTATTTGATTTAATTTTTTTGAAAATCTCACCCTTTACCTGCCCACCAGAAGGGGATTCAAAATAGCAACTTTTTTACATAACTCAACTTTTTCAACTTAAGTTTTAAAAATGTTCCGGAAACACTGCATTCTTAAAATATATGTCAAATTAAAGCTATCGGAGACCTATGTTCTTTATGCAAATGTCTGCCGTAGTTAAAAAACATGCTATTTTTTGTTCAAATTTTATTTTATTTTTTTTTGTTTATTTTAAAATACCTTATAAGGGTTTGTAACATAGTAATATGTCCGTCAATAAATATTAAATTTACATGAATCTAACATACATTAAATATAAATTTATACTTTTTTATTATTTTGCCTCTTTAAAGTTAAGACATTTTTTTTTAATTTTTGAATACTTGATAATTTGTATAGAATGTAGAACTTTTTCAACTTAACTTTTGAAAATCTGAGTCTATTAAATATCTATTAAAATAAAGATTAATTTATGTACTAGAAGTTTAAAAAAAAAATTTGTATCGACGACCTATTTTCTATGTACAAATGAGAGTCGAAGTAGAACAAAAAAAAAAATAGGAGTTAATTTTGTTTTTGGAATAATCCATCAATTTTTTTTAATTAAACACTATCTACAGATTTGTATCGAATTGTCTCTTATGATAATGATTTTAATCACTGTCAAATATCATCAATACTTGTCCATGCTGTGTCACAATTCCACTCTGATATCGTTTTTTAATATTCAACTGGAGTTAGGTAAATTCATTAACAATTTTTAATCCTAAAATCTGAATAGCTAAATAATTAAGTATAGTAGTGTTATTTTAATTTCCAGATTCATTGTAATTTTTTTATATAATAATAATACTTTTGCTCCCCTCGAATTTTGACCAAGGGGCAACTACCTCCCTGCCTCTACGGTTCCGGCGCCACTGTTCGTGGTCATTAAAAAAAACCCATAACTCGGTTAAAACTAATGGATTTAAAAAAAATTTGTATAGTACTTCTGGAACCAAACCTATAGATCACCCTAGTAAAAAATTTCAGGTCTTAAGTTGACGAACACAGCGACAGTGGGTTCTTTTCTTAAAAAAATGAATTATTTTTAATGCTTGCGGGGTGCTAAAGATAATTTTCTGTTCATCGCGCATAATTTTTTTGTGGTAATGTCGCCGAGCTCTTCCATTAAAAAAAAATTCAAAAATCGGAATTTTAAAGTAAAATTTTTTTGATCATTAGAAAATTTTAAAATGTTTTTTTTATTTATATGTCCGGTTCAACATTTTAGTGAGACCTCTTAAACGACAAGGTCTGCGGGAAATTCCGTCCTATATATACATACTGTCTTGTATATTTCCGCCTTTGATAATCAGGTATAAGGTACTAAACTGATTATATCTTTCATTTGCTCTCTTATAATCAAAGAACGCTTAGTTTATGGTTAAATAATATTGAATAAATTACGATCAAAAAAAGTAATCCAACTAGAGTGTACGTCATATTATGCACCTCATGACTGTTAAGATCCGGAGAAAACAATAGATTTGCATCACAAATCATAGATCCGGCTTACCGGTCTGTTTAAAAGGTAACCGTAGCTACTTTGGTCGAAACCTTGATGATTTCCGGGAATATAGCCAGTGGTTTGTCCAAAGAAGAATGGCATTGATTGAGAAGAATCGGTTTTTCGTTGAGAGTGAACGGCCTTAGGTTTGTTGTTATTATTATTTTTATGCAAAATCACAGGAAGGGGTGGGAAGGCGGTCAAATGCATCTTGAAAACAAAAATAGTAGGGACAGAAAAAAACATAATAAATCCGACCATTACCGTATTCTCAGGTCAGTCTGTGATCATTGGAGAAAGTGTATTACGTCTGTTAAAGAGAAGAGACTAAAAACATTGTCGATCATATTACAGTCTTAGTCTACTATACTGGCATATTCCATCTATTGCTATCCATTGAGTACTAAAAAGGTAATACTTTTTTTGTTTTACATAGAATTAACAAATTTTTTTTATTAAATTTAACAGTTTCTCTAAATTTTGTACACTAACTATAAAGTTTAACTTTCAAACTTTTCGTTAGAAAAATTGTCTTATATGTGATTTTTTTTCAAAATAATTTTGCAAATCTAGAATTTTTATAAGAATGATTAACATTATTTTGCTTATTCTATTGTCAAAATACTTTTTTTTTAAGTAGATAATGATAGTCAAGTAGGGAGCGCACATTTATATGGATCCACTATTGTAAAGTTTTATTGATGTACAAAAAATATAGTGTACAATACTCATTGATATTTATTTTACAAATTTACTATACGATTTTATTAGATTTCAGAATAAAATTTTAGATAAATAATACGATTTTAAAGTATTATTTATTATAGTCACTACATTAACTTTAATTATCAATACAAAATTATGTATGTTCCGGATTACTAATCGTTAAAATAATAATAGCTGTAAGCAAGTTGATTAACGCAATAAATAAAACTGTAGGATATCTTAATTTCCATTAGTATGTAAATTTCGCACAGTAGTTTTTCAGTCGTTACAATTTTTATAAGATTGTCCTTTCAACAATAACCGTATTCGCAAAGATGAAGTAATTCATTAGTCAGCCATGTTAGATAAGACTTCCGTAAAATTGTGTATACATTATGGTGTAAGCTTGAAAACGTGATTTTGATTATAATAGTTTGTGAGTAATTGGTCAATTTTACCGGCGCGGTGTAGCGGTTGTACGAGGTTACGGTAACAGTACCGGTCAAAACACTTAATGTAGTCAGTTCCGCTAACTATCGTTCAAATATTAACGAGAAGATTGTTTATCATGAATTACGAGTTCTAATGAATTATTGAAAAGTTTAATCCGATCAACAACATAATAATGATCTCATATATATATATTTTCAATTAACACACAAATAGGTCAGATTTATTGTCCTTAAAATATTTTTACTCAACAATGTAATCATTTACCATCATTTCGGCGATAAACTTTTTCTCATACACATATTTTAAGTACTCTCAACATCCCTCGTCCTGTTTGCAATACGTTATCGGTTACTAAAGATTTTAAATGTAGTAAATTTCGCAATATAAATGACCACATCAATTTTTACGAATTATCATCGCATCTTAAACAAATAAAAATCACGACTATGAGTAATTTTACAGTAAAATTGACTGTATCAATTATATTAATGAATCTTTAGACGTAAAATATTACTCCAAGCAATCGCTAGTTAAAAAAATTAGTAAAATTTTTTATTTCACATTAATATAACAAGATAAAACTATTCATTAAAAACCCTTTAATAGACGTGATATTAAAATGGCATTATGAATTATATTATCAATAGCATTAACGAGAAATTTTTCGTTCATAAAATTACGATTACGATTACCTTGCCAATTTGACACTTAATAATAAATGAGCTACTGAAGTATTTCCCAGTAACTTATGGTCTTAACCTTAATAATCTGAAAAGTTGCAGTCAATATAATGATTAGTTTCCATGTATTAAAGTATTTAAATGTTCTTTAAACGATCTTTATAATTTATTTTATTTTTAGATAAACAACTTTAACAATGCAAATAATTGCAACAAGGTTTTGAGTGTTTTTGCAAAAAACATGCATAAAAGTCACTTATGTAATTCATTTTGTGCTTTCTATTTGCCATTGCAACGTATTTCTAACAACAATATTCCAACTATAATTAGGACAGCCGTTAAAATAATGAATAACGATGAACCGATTGTGTGTAGTAGTTCTATAAAAAACACCAAAAAGTTATGTCAACCGTAACCGATCGACGATTGCCTAGTGACATAACATAGAACTAATTACAATAATTATACATGTATGTAAATAATCTTGATATTTGTGATGACTCATAGATCATTTAAAACAAAAAATTAGCTAACTATTGTTCGCGGATTAGTGTCCTAAATATAGACGCCTCTTCGCGAATTTTTCTTGTTATTTCTACACAACGCCTCTTGAGGAGACGGGGCGGGTAATTTTTTAGTCCGTCTCTGTTCGTTTTCCTCGAATGACATAACAACACCTTCGATTCCCGCAAGGTCGTTGGCGCGCGGTTCTGTGGCATTGAGTGTGGGTTGTATGGCGGTGGAATCATAATTTGTCGAATAGTAATAATGTTAAAAAATAATAACAATAAAAAAACACGTTCGAGCGACGGTGGGCGACCGAAAGTGAAAGCGTCTCGGACTCCCGTCACTTTCTCTTTGTCCGCGCACATTACACGCACTTAACCGTCCACCTATACACGTGATCAAAATGGAAACGACACCGGTGCACGCGTTTGGTTTAGCAGCTTCTACATCCCCTCTGAATAGTAGAAATCAGTAATTTAGTATTAGCCGAAGGAGGGCGCAAAATTAACCCACAAGCACGCATATCATGACGATAGGTGTTATGAAATTATATTACAATTTTATAGATATAATAATATATATTATAAAATACATATTTTTTTATTTTTATTCCTAATTAAAATTTTATAGATTATCTTATTGAAACTTAACGCTATTACATTAAAATTTCAATTAGTTATTGGTTAAAATAAATATTGACTTTGTATTTAAATTAAATAGAATACATTGAAATTAAGTGATAGATATGTATGGGCATTTTCCATTTTGTTTGGAAATATATAACACTATTGAAATTTTACCAATTAAAAAGCAAATTACGTGAATTAAAAAATTCAATACTATAATTGTATTTTAAAAAGCTAAGTAATTAAGTTGGAATAAATCATGAGGTTTCTCAATTGGTTAAAAAAATATTAGTGGAAATCCCATGTTCTCTTTTTATTTTATTTAATTTATTATTAAATAATGTTTTTTAGTAACGCAATGAAATTTTTACTAACGGGTTCGTTCCTGTTAGTTGCATTTGTGGCGTTTACGACTTCAGAAGAATGGTCGTGGAGTAAAGATAAGAATAATGAACAGGTAAAGCCATCAGCAGAATCTATAAAAGCAAGTGACCGTGAAAGTAAATCTATAGATTCTTACTCAGAAATAAATGATGATAGTCAAGAAGATGTTGCTTCAATACCAGCATCTTTAAATGACACTCAATCAAGACATATTGTAAGAGATAAGCTATGCGGTCTTGGTCTTGGTGAGGTAAATAGAACATTTTTAAATTATTTTTCTAGCAATCCGTAATTGAGTTAAAAAAAAAATTCTAGCAAGATTAGTTTTAAATTAACTGTCAGTTGAGGGGGATATATATATATTTATAAGAGCTAAAAACTAAATGTTTTAACTTAAGTATTTTGTCTTTCGTTAATTATAATTTTGAATAGCTATAAAACTTTTGCTGCTTTTATTTTAGCAACACATTTTATGTAAATTGTATTTGCTCTTATTTTAGTGTGACGACGAAGTTGAACCTAAACGTAACATCGCCCCACAAGACTTGATCTACGCACAACCTGTACATTTAAAACCAGTAGGACGTCCTATTGCTGCTGTACCACTCAAAACAGCAGGATCACCCTTATCTGTTGGATATGGTCCTCCACGACCAGTTCCTTTTCCATCAAGTAGCTCATCCTATGATGGACCAGGATCACCATATGGAGGTCCGATATCATCTTATGGTGGTCCAGGATCATCTTATGGTGGCCCAGGATCATCTTATGGCGGTCCAGGATCATCTTATGGAGGTCCTCCCATACGAAGCAGTCGCCCTGGCTCTTCTTACAGTAGACCACCCCCTCAAGTATATGAGTCCGAAGCTGCAGAATCTTTTAGACCTAATCAACCATCTGTAAGCATTCCAGCTTCAGGATTATCAGTTGGTGGTGTTCAACAACATGTTCATCATCATTACCATCATGGTGAAGGTGTCGATAGTGTCAAAGTACCCACAACAATTGATTCTGCAGGACTTGGACCAATCAGTGGAGCTGGTCCATTATATGGAAGTGAAGGATCTTTATATGGACAGAATAGTCTGAATAGTTATGGCGGTAACTTCGAAAACTACGAAACTCCTGGACCATTCTATAAAAAACAACTCAATCTTAAACAACCTTCTAGTAAGACAAGATAAAATAATTAAATGTTTTAGTTGTTATTTTTATAAACATAAATGTGTTCTTATAGATTCAATAGCCGGTGCATATACTAATGAAAAATATCCATCATATGAAAGTCCTAGAGCTGACAATTATGGGTGTTACTGTGTACCATTTGATCAATGTTTACCGCATGAAGTAGCTAGGAAAGAAGACGGAATCGCTGGAATTGATCCAAGAAATTTAGGAAAGACCGATATTGAAGCAATTGGTTTAGATGAAGTAGTGATTACTGATGGTAATGGCACTATTGTATCACATCATAAAGTTAACGAAAAGGATGAAAATAAATCTAAAACACGTAGACGTAGAGAAGCCGCTCCTCAAGATGCTGAACCAGTAAGTATTAACTATTAACTAATAATCAAACACTTAAAATTAATTATAATTACATACACTGTTGTCCGTCCGATCGAAATGCTCTAATTTACATAAAACTTAAATCTCGTACAAACTTATATCAAAGACATTTAATATAAAAATTAAAAAATATCTTGACAATCCACAAAACTCACTAAATTTGATTTTATAACTTTACAACTTGTATGCTTAATGTATATACACGGACTTTCTAGCGATACATTCAAAAACCTACAGTGGACGACTTAACCAGCAATGGATACAATGTGGAGCTACCATATGATGACACACAAACTGATGGTGTAAGTGCGATTTTACCCGCCATATGTGACATAACTAACAAACACATTACTTACCATAACTTTTACAACATCTTGGTCGTGGCAACTAAAATAACAATGATCGTTTCATAGAGTACAATCTATAAAATTGACTGGGAAATATATTTCAGTAATTATAGGAATCTCCTATCTTAACTTTTTAAACTTTTACAAGTTATAAACCTTCAAATTTATGAAAAAATATATTACATATTGATTAATTTTTACAGTTTTATGAAACATAATTTACGGCCTTTAAAAATTTTAAAAAATAAAAAACTTTTATTTGAATAATATTATAATTAATATGAAAACTGTTATATTATTTAGTTAAATATCATACGTGTAAATTTTGAGTTGTATATCAAATAATCGTTAGTAATAATTTATAAGTGATTAAGTAATTCATAATAATTTACTTTATCATCGGTATTTAAGAAAGGAAAATGAAACCTATAAAAAATCATTTCCATCTAAAAGTGTTACGAATTATAAAATAACAACATGAAAACTATTTTTCTTTGATTTATCGTTGTAAATTTGTGTGTGATACATAACTTCAATGATAAATTGAATAGTGTTCAAGTAGAATACGTAATTATATGACTCTTTTTGACATTTACTTATCATTTTCTTATAATTTTCTTTTCAATTGCATAATTACGAGTTCCGTATATTTTCTATTGCGTGTGTGTAGATATCTTCAATCAGTTGTTTATATGATACTCTTAAATGATTCTATTCATATAAGTTACCTACGCTTGATGCCTTAACCTTGGAAAGTCTTAAAATCTACAGCACTAACGAAATTGTAAAAACATGACACATCCGTTAATGCAAAGAGAAAGAGAGAATGTACACTTAAAATATATTTGTTATGTTAATACAAAATTACATAACCACAACACTGTACTTAACATTAGACATATTATTTATTTAAGTTCACATGAGATATCATGAAAATTACAATTTAGAGCATGAATTACAACTCTTATTTTACATCTTCACAGCTTAAAAATACAAACAAGACATTTTTTTTTTATTATACAAGACAATACACTTGTTTACTGATCGATTAGGATGGGACACACGTGTAGGAGCAATTGGTTGATTCAGGGTGGTATGTATTTACAGCGAAAATTATCGAATTTACTTGGGGGAAGCTCTGGAGGCGGTGGAGCTGTAAACGAAGACACATCTGATGACGCTGGTAGTTCAGGCCATAAAATCCGTCCAACTTTCGGTGTATCTTTTGGTTTACCGTCAGGTGGCGGTGGTTACCCTATTAGTCCCTTCGGTCCCAATCCTTCGATTAACCCTTACGGCCATTCCTTGGGAGGAGGAAATGGTCTTAATTTGGGTCTAGTTAGTGTAAATCCATTGCTCTCTTTACAAGTAAGCAAAGACGAGTACGGTGAAAAAATTATTAAACCGTGGGTGAACTTACATGTAACTCCTAACGCAGGCTTAGTGCATAAAGTTGGTCATTTAGTCCATAAGTTAAAGGAACCCCACTACGGATACGGACATGAATATCCACCATCGTTTTTGCATCAACATAATCATTATCATTCTTCACCTCCTTCTTATCATCATGGTCCATCGTATTTTAGCCCTCCTAAACCGTTCTATCATTCAAAACCACCACCATACTTTAGTGGAAGTTTTGGAGGTGGTTACGGATATGAAGGATATGCACCTGAGTATCATTCATATCGTGGTGATCATGACTATGATGATCATGAAGGTTACGGATATTCTGGTGTTGGTGATTCTAGTATAGGCGATTACGGCCATGCAGACGAATACGATTCTGGCTCTTATTATAGGAGTTCAAATATAAGTAATAGTGCTAATAATAATTATAATGTACCATCGTCACCTACCGGTAACTCAAATGGTGTAAAATTCCCTACTGACCGTCATTCTACCGGTCCCGTTAAGTTTGTAGGCAGCCAACGGCAAAAGAGAGATATAGACGAGGTGAGATAGTTAATATTAAAATGGGTTCCCAGGTATTTCTTCAAGCAAATAAAAACTAACCCACTTTTATTCCCAAAATGCACAATATGATATGCCTACTTTATAAATTAACGGACAAGTTTTTTACGATTAAAATAATTGCATTTGGTCATTGTTTAAGTAAAAATAAAAATCGTTTTCAATTAATACATCAAATAACACTTAATTTTTTTGTAATTCAAAATAATTTGGAATAAGTTATTGTAGTGGTGCACAAAAAATAACAATCTTTTACCTCTTATTTTCCTAAATAACGGCAGAGTATTTTTAAACTTAACAATTATATAATTTATTGAATTTCGTCTGATGCTTACAATTACGCTTTCTTACTTAATGGTTGCAATTTCAAAAATGTGAGGGTTAAATTTTTTTCTCTTACAGCACTAAAACTTAGTTTACAAAAATAAAACTACTATACTAACCGTTTTGAACGAACCATAAATAGTCTTTTAATTTTAAAAACATTCTCAGATATTTAATTAAATAATTTAATAACCAAATATTCGCCATATTTGTAGCGTCAAGCTTTCTACTCGCCTAATGGACGTTGTGGCCCCAGACAAGTGTGTTGTAGACGTCCACCAGCACCACTATCATCTCCTATATACTCGGGATCTTCACCTAACCAAGTTGGCTATGGACAATGTGGTAAGAGAAATACACAAGGTATTACTGGTAGAATCAAAACTCCGTCGTATGTTGATGGTGATAGCGAATTCGGTTAGTATTTTTATTTTAGTTTTCATTGTTATTTAGAAACAAAATTATGGATTTATCTTTTTAAAAGTTGTAAATAAATTCTTATAATATATTGTAGGAGAATATCCTTGGCAAGTTGCTATCCTCAAAAAAGACCCCCAAGAAAGTGTATACGTTTGTGGAGGTACTTTGATTGATGCTTATCATGTTTTAACTGCAGCTCATTGTATTAAAACGTGAGTCATAATTGATTTTATTATAATAATTTTTTTTGTAAATAATGCTTTTATAAAAATTATTTATTATTACAATTTAGTTATTAGCTGATCTAAATGGAAATAAAATATAGTTCAATTCTACAACAAAAAAATTATAATTGATAATCGTTTAATAGGTACAAAGAACAAGATTTACGTGTAAGATTAGGAGAATGGGATGTTAACCACGATGTTGAATTTTACCCGTATGTGGAACAAGATGTCGCTGAATTAGTTTTACATAGAGAATTTTATGCTGGTACATTATACAACGACATTGCTATACTTAGGATGGAGCGGCCGGTTGATTTTACTCGTAATCCTCACATAAGTCCTGCATGTTTGCCTGATCCTTATGTAGATTTTTCGGGGCAACGTTGTTGGACAACTGGTTGGGGCAAAGATGCTTTTGGTGATTATGGAAAATATCAAAATATCCTAAAGGTAAATATATAAATTTCTTACATAAAAAATTTTTAATTAATTGATAAATTTTTCATTAAATTTCATTGTACACGTTTAAAAATTGAATTAACCAAAACATTAAAATATTTCTTAGAAAAAATATGAAGTTTTAACTTAAAGAAGGTCTTTAAATATGTCTCATTAGAGCTTGCATTACACAAAATTTTCTTTTGTAGAAAATAACAATATTTAGACTGATACGATTATATGTCGTTAAAAATAAAAAGTTTTCAGTATATAAGGAAACAGGTCAGTTGTTACAAACAATAAGAACGATAGTAACCCGTTAAGTTTTTAATTTAATAATAAATGACATTTGAACTGTTAATAAAACTTTATTTCTATATTAGATATAAAACACGAGGGATTACAAATACAGGTAGCTAAATGGTTTTTAATGACGTCGCTATCACAGTCATGGCTACCTTTATTTGCAATTCTTCGTGTATTGTACATGTAACTCGAAAATATGAGACTTTAAAATTTTATATCTAATAAACAAATAAAGTTATATTAAAAATTCATACACCGTTTACTAACAAATTAAAAACATTTTATTAAATTCAAAATATGTATTCCCATTAAAAAAATAAATTATACCCTTACAAGGCATAAGGGATGAACTTAAAATGTATCATATATATAATAATGTAAGAATAATATTTAACTAAAAGTAATCAAAAAAGAAAACGTTTAAATTATATTTAATCTGTAAGTAATTGAGTGGGTTATGATAAAAAAGTCACTCTGTATAACTCATGTTTATATAAAGTGCATAATCAAATAAGAGCAGATGGATAAATACACTAAAAATAACGTTAATTCTAAATGCACAAAAAAATGTTTTGTAAAATTTCTAATGATCACGATAACAGCTGCATTTTCTGTTATTTTATTTTTTGTAGGAAGTAGACGTTCCAATAATTCCTCAACAACAATGTCAATCACAGCTTCAACAGACTCGCCTTGGCTACGACTTTAAATTACACAATGGTTTCTTATGTGCTGGTGGCGAAGAAGGCAAAGATGCTTGCAAAGTAAGATTTACAGCTAATTAACTAATATTGATAATTTGTCATTTAAAAACGCATTGTTAGATTATAATTATTATTCTACTGTTCTTTGATAGTAATAGTAATTTATTTTAACAGGGTGATGGTGGCGGTCCTTTGGTATGTGAACGAGGAGGTTCATGGAGCCTTGTTGGTATAGTAAGTTGGGGCGTAGGCTGTGGTCAATATGGCGTACCCGGTGTCTATGTCAAAGTTTCTCATTATTTAGACTGGATTAGACAGTTTACTAACAGATATTAGTAAAACTATAATATAGTCTATTCAACACGGATGATATTATCTGTGTGACTTATTTATTTTCATCTTCTAAACGTGTACTATTATAATTGTAATAGTAAAAACGTTTATACATTTCTATTTGTATTATATTATAACAATGTGTACAGTATATAACATTTCGTTTGATCGACTGCAAATATGTATAATTCTTTTATAATTCAGTTATTATTATTATTTTTTTTTTTTTGAAACATAAATATCGAATAAACAATATACTTTTAATTTATTTACTATTTATAAAATAATTTAATTTCTTTTTCAGTCGAAATAGTACCTAATATGAAAAAAAGACTTATAGATATTTTTTGTGTCACCCCAGTAATTTATGTTCATTTTTTTCAAAAATTTTTTTGTAGGTACTCCTATAGAGTAAAAGATTTTAGTTATGCATCAGTAAAAAACAAATTTGTAAATAAAATCTATACATTTCAATAATTTATAAAATTAATTTTAAAATTAACTTCATCATTTATGTAAAAATTATACTTTACAATAAGTAACAATTGTATCTATATAATAGTAAGCTTGTATTATTTTTTCCATTATTATTGTTAAATTATTATTTTTAATTGTGTATACATTGAATAAAGCTATATATTTTTATTATACATTCGTTTTTATGTTAACAAATATCAAAAAAAAAAAAAATTATTGAACTAATGGGTTTCACGATAAAAATATTAATATTGATATTGTACAAAATGTTTAGGTATATAATTTATATTCTATTTTTTCATTAGTCATTCGTTTATAAGTTAAATAATAAAACGAAAAAACTACCTTAATTAACAAATTTTCAAACTCAAGTCAGCACAGATTAAACTTATCTAATCGACCTAAAGTATTTTATAGTTTCCTTGTTCATCTATATACACAACTTGAATGAGATCTAAAAATTTCTAAGTTTGGAAAATAAGAAACACCCATGAAAATTCACACAGAAATTTTTTTTTTTTTTTAATAGTCTTTATTAAAATAATAATTAGCTCAACAATTAGAAGCAGTGGCGTATTTTGAATGATTTCTCGGGTGGTGTCCAACTTTTAATGAACCTCACAAACGAAAATTATAGAAATGTTTACTGACGTAAAAAAAACATACTATTTTTCTAATTACTATTTTAGGAATTGACAAATAATTTGAAATTTAAAATTTTGGTACTGTTGTATCTTAAAAGAAACAACCCTAGTGTCTTAACTTAAAGTAATAAAAGTTTAATAATAACTCAAATGTATTTATTATAGATATAATTAAACAATGCAAAACATACAAAATAAATATACACTAAAAACACAATAAAACAATACACAAAATGAAAACTTAATGTCACAAAACGTACCGCGCGAAAAGAGATTACCTTCGGTGCTCCTGAGGTCCTCTCTCCTCTACGATTCATTCCATTTCGTCTTATATACTAAAATATTTTGTTTTTCTTCTTTTTGCAAAATTAATAATACTATCGTTTTCAAAAATGTTTATAAATATTTAATTCCTGGTCTAGTAATAATAGATCAGGAAATTACAATTAAACGAAACATTACAAAAATGTTTTACTTCCAGCTTTACAAATGATAAACTATATTACAGTATACAGACTGATTTTTTTATCATAACCCACTCATTTACTTGTAGAATAAATATAATTTAAACATTATTTTTGGTTTTCTTTAGTTACACATTATTCTTAAATTATTAACTATTTAAAACTTTTTATGTTCATCCCTTATGCCTTGTAAGGGTGTCAACTTTGTCTTTTTGTCTTTTAAATGGGAACACATATTTTGAATATAATAAAATGTTTGGATTTTTAATTAAATAGTAAATGGCATTTGAATTTTTAATATAACTTTATTAGTTTATTAGATATAAACATTTAAAGTTTCAAATTTTTGAGTTAATATACATGTATAATACACATGATGATATGATTACAAATACAGGTAGCTAAATGGTTTATATGATATCAATGTCACAGTCACGGATTGTTTATTATCAATTATGACTATCATAGATATACTTTCTGTATTGACAGTTAGTGTATTTATAAACTCACAACAATGTGCCTTACTACCATTGATAATAACAATGCTGTGTACCTGCTAATTTCTTTGAAGTTGTTTTAAACAAAGTAACTCATAACTAAATACTTTATTTATAATAAGTAAACAAATAATAAAATCTCCTTTCAGTATTGATGTTCGTAAATTACTTGCTTTTGATGATGTTTCAGTGTCATTCCACTTCGAAATTATAAATAACGATTCAATTAGGTACACAAAAAGCTCAAGAAAATCATTGACAGCATAAAAACGTTCAACTCATTTAGTCGCACATAATTGTTTTAATGATTTTTTAGTTATACATTTTTGACTTTCTTCGATTTGACTTTTCAACACATCTTTTCGCTTTGGGTATATGAAAAAATCTCTAACTTTAGATGTTGTTCCTAATCAATTTCGTGTTTCTTGTATAGAAGATGAATAAGAAATAGCAAGGTTTAAAACATGAACAGCACAATGAACAAACGTCGCAAGCGGATAACTTTGGTGAATAAGAGATTGAGCTCCGTTAAATTGACCAGACATAGAAGCACATCCATCGTAACACTGTCCTCTAAGGTATTTTGTTTCTACACCAAATGAATGTAAACTTTGAATAATAATATATAAACCTTTTCCAGTAGTATCTGTTGTAGGCACAAACTGAAGAATTCTTCCTTGATAATCATATTTTCAACATCTAAATATCGAACACACAAAGTTACTTGTTCGCTTCCACCAATGTCGGCCGTTTCATCAGCAAGTATTTTGAAACATCTTTGGGCATTTATGTTTGTTACGATTTTATTTAAAATAATTTTATTGCAGGATTCAATTATTTCATTTTGAAGTGTTTCACTTGTATATTTTATTGTTTCTTCAGCTTCCAAAAATGATTTTAAACGGTCATCTCCTTGGGCTCTGTATCTTAATATTTCTCTAAAATTTCCTTGATTTTCTTGGATAATTTGTCATTTTCTTGATATATATTGAAGTTACAAAGATAGCCGTTATTGTCAAAAAAAAAAAAATAATAATAATAATAACATTAAAAATGCAAATAATAATTAAACCTATAAGGTAGTTAAACCCTAAAGTTATTTTCGATTTGTTAAAGTCGTTAAAATTAATTCAAATCTCCTGTTATTTTCTTTTATCAGAATTATTATGTCATTAATTCAATTATTAATTAAATTGTTAAACTATATTATATATTCAACTTAATAAATTTTTATGTTGATTATAATCGCATGGCATGATGTTTTTTGTTAATAACTAAATGGAAATAGCAATTTCACATGGGCAAAATTTTTAATAGTTGCAAGAGAATAAATCCAAACGTTGATATTTTATTTCATACAGATTAAATTTTATATGCATAAATATTCTGTTAACCGATATCAAATTTATTCCACTTGAACTTTCATAAAAAAATCTCTATCATTTGTAAACTAATGTAATAAATAAACAAACAAATACAAAAGGTTTTTCTTCAAAATATCTTTAAAATATATATATATATATATATATTTTTTTTTTTTTAATTCTCTGTATTATTCTTAAAATATTGTATTCTTTGACCAATAATACAATTAAAATAAATAAGTATTGTTTATACTAAATTTATTTATAATTGGCTTATACATTTTTTTAATGAATTTTTACAATTAAGTTTCCTTGACAATTAGATGTAAATGTTGATTTTATCGACATTTCAGTTCACTTCGTTTTTTCCCGTGAAAAATAAACTATCGTCTTGTGTAATTATTAAGATTTATTTAATTAGTTATTGATATGGCAAGTGAAAAAAATATTTTTGGTCAAACAAATGAATCAAACTTACATAAGGTCATACGCAGAGTTGAAGAAATATGGAATCGTCGTTTCATGCATTCCAATTGTGTTTTAAATAATACAAATAAAGGACAAATATCAAAAAAGTCAACTAAAGATGGAAGAATTATCTGTAAACACTATTAAGATTAATAATTAAACTAACTATTTCGAATAGAGAAAAAGTTTTTTAATATAAAATATAAGAAAAATTAATAATAAGTTCTCTTATTCATATATAACAATAATTCAGTCGCTTTACTTTAATTTAACTATTTTAATATTAAAAACCTTTTTCGAAATTGATTATTTAATTAATAATTATTAAAATTATATTCAATTTGCAGCAATTATTAATAAAAATATTTATCCTATAAAAAATTCCATTATTCCAAAAAAACGCACGTATCGAAAAACGAATAAAAATGATAAAATTATTCCAGAAAAATTGGTAACTATAATTATATTAATATATTTATTCGATTTAGCTATGTTATTGGGGTTTGTCTGATTCAAAAATATAAAATAAACTATCAATCCCTTTAATTTAAATGCAATAACATGTTTAATATTATTCTGCAATTTTTTCTATTAGATTTTTATGGGAAATTCAATTTTTATCGAAGATAATAATATAATATTAAGTATAGTTTATTTGTTTATTTAAATATCTCTTTGGTTGCCTAGAAATAATTAAATATATTTTTATGATCCGTTTAGAGTTTTCATAAGAAAATTTTGGAACGCAAAAATTCCGAAATAAAAAAACAACTCTTTGANAATATTAAGTATAGTTTATTTGTTTATTTAAATATCTCTTTGGTTACCTAGAATATGATGCAGCAAAGAGAATTCGGAACACTTTTTCAGAATGAAAAATCTGAAAAATATAAAAATGAAATTTTAAATTCAACAGAAAAAAAAAATATAGCAATTTCAAAAGACAATCCGCTATTAATATCAGCTGATTTGTTAGAAAAGGTATATTTTATTATGCTTTTTTCAATAAAAAGATTTTAGGGTATATCCTAAACCATATTTTGGACTTACAGCAGATTTCTTAAATAAATTTATCATATAATTAAATATATTTTTATGATCCGTTAAGAGTTTCGATAAGAAAAATTTGGAACGCGAAAAATCCGAAATAAAAAAACAACTTTTTGAGATATCTTCTAATACTACTGCTCGACCAAATTTAAAAAGAAATTCATCCGAANTGATAAGAAAAATTTGGAACGCAAAAAATCCGAAATAAAAAAACAACTTTTTGAGATATCTTCTAATACTACTGCTCGACCAAATTTAAAAAGAAATTCATCCGAAGAAGATGAAAAAGTCATAAAAAGTATACAACTTTTAAAATATAATTCATTGTTAAAAAATATGAAGTTTTGATTTTTGAAACAAATATGTAATATTTTAAACATAAATTATTTTAGAGCCAAAAGTTAGTTCTAATCCTTTGACCTTAAATACGCCGAATGACGTAAATTTACTTGCTCTGTCCACTATTGAAGTAATAAAAGTACCAGAGAAAGAAAAAGGTAATTAGTTATTTAATCTATTTATTTTATGTAAAATTAAATAAAAAAAGATTATTTATTAAACATAATTAATTATAATAATACGAGTTAAATTAATATAACTTCTGCAGAGGCGTGTCATTAAGGGGGTCCATGGACGTTTTAAACAAAAGTAATTATACGTGTTTAATTTCATATTCCAAAACCTTAAATAAACCTAAATAATAGTAAACTGTTCAACAAAGTCTTTTATTAATTTTATGAAAAATGTTTAAATATGGTTACACTTGCAGAAGTAATGCAAGATCAGAACACAAAATCTCTTGATCAGTATAATGCACCTTCATTTAAATCGCCCACATCATGGTATACTTCAGACACAATTAATGAGTACATTAAAATGATAGTAAAACGGTCAGAAGGTGAAGTTTATGCAGTTGTCACTGATTTTATTGTAGCGTATCTTCGAGGAGGTTATCCAGCTGTAAGAAGATGGATAAAAAAAGATATTCACACAATAAAATTACTTTTTGTGCCCATGAATGTATATGGGAGTCATTGGATATTGACAGTGGTTAATATACCTGAAAAGACTGTGACATCATATGATAGTCTTAAGTCGTATAAGGGTCCTTATCCAATGGTATTAAAAAATTTCTTAATTGAATGGGAGATGGACAAAAAAGGAAAAGCTTCTACATGGACATTACAAATAGGCGAGACATCTCGCCAAACCAATGGACATGATTGTGGGCCATTTACTGTTGAGCTGGCAGAAAAAATGTCTCGAGGAGATACAACACCAATAAATGCAAATTTTATGCCTTTTATAAGATTAAGACACAAAAATGAAATTATTGCTGGCGAGCTATTCAATTAATATTTTTATGAATGAAATTTTATTTTTGTATTTTATATCAATTTTCTTAATATTCACTATAAATTGAAATTTTTATTTGTATACCACCAAACATTTTTTTACTTTTTCTATGTTTAATTGTTGTTTTGTTATTTTATTTTAATCTTATTTTTCTTTGTAACATTTCATTTAAGAAATTCAAATTTAATATAAATTTATCTTAACTGAAATAATTTAATGTTCTTGTTATGTGAATATACAAATATTATAATATACAGTTATGGATACAATTAAGTTAAAAAGTCAGCCAATTATAAATTTTTAAATTAACAAGCGTATCTACTATCTTAACAACTTAATTTTAATTTTACTAAATGATGATTCATTAAGAATTTCATAACTTTTGTTTATTTTTTAAATACTATTTTAATTATAAAAAATTCTTTTCTGTATTTTTTATGAATGCGGTATATTGAATAGGGGTAACTAAACTTACTTGTTTATAATTCTCTAAACTGATAAACTATAAAATAAAATTAAAAATGAACTACAAGTTCAGAATATTTCCGTTGTTATTATATTTTTGCTACGGGTATTTTTGTTATCTAATGACCCAATGAAATCCAAATAATTTCTAGAAATCTCTGATAAAATGTAGATAAATAAATACGNTTTGCTACGGGTATTTTTGTTATCTAAATGACCCAATGAAATCCAAATAATTTCTAGAAATCTCTGATAAAATGTAGATAAATACGTGTCGTCGAATCCTATCAAATTATCTTCAATTTTGTTATTTATTTAAAATACCATTTATTTTATAGTAAATAAATATAGTATATTATAAAAAAAGTTAATACCAATATATTAGGCATTTTTTTTAAGTCGGGGGGTGTCCTGACATGGAGGACACCCCCCCAAAATACGCCACTGATTATAAGTAAAAGTAAAAAGTATAACAGTCACAATACTATGTCATAACGGTACAACAAATACGGCGATGTTAGTAAAATCAAAATTAGAAAACGTCAAACATTATTTAAAATTATTGTTAACAGTCTTTAATGACAATCTGAAATATTCACACAGAAAATTAAAAATGTTTGTCTCTGAAATAATTTATAATCTTATTTAAATTTTCTTTTTGAAATCTTTAAAAACCACATAGTAAAAATGCAGAATAATTAGAAAACGGAAATGTTTTTACGATTATATTTTATGTGTAAAATCCTAGATTCTAAATTTTGACGTCTCATTCGGAGTCGTGCGTCTGAATTATAAAACTTTATCATTATATTTTTTGCCTCATGCCAATTTAAGTTTGGGTTTTCGGATTCGATAGCCTCAAAAACCGTTTGCGCCGTGTCACATAAAGAAAGGGGCAACATTATTAATTTCTCCGCGTCATCCCACCTATTAGCGGTTGCTACCCTTTCGAAATTAACGAAGAATCTATCCGCATCCTCTGTTAAGTTTCCTGGAAATGTTTGGAGTGTTCTAATTGCGTTTATGGCCATAGTAGTTATTAATTTAACTGGTTTATTTTCTAAAAGTTTTGATTATTGAAGGCGCGTTTTAACTAATAATTATAGAGAGGCATATAAACGTATATAGAAGATTATGTAACTCAAAGACTTAATTTATAATTATACCTAATTACGCGATTGTTACTATTATAATAAAGTGAGCCAATAATAAATAAAAAATATCTAATTTATAAATTAACCGTGAAAAGCGGTATATAAAAATTGTAGTACACTTAGGGGGGATCACTGAAAGTTTAAAATTAAACAGAGAGATCAGCGCCTCCACCAATTGTTACGTCGTTATTTAGGGGTTTAGCCCAAATGCCCGTCGACAGTATTCTAAGGGACCAACGGGGGATAGCTGGCTAGGCTATATCTACCTTAGGTACTGAAGTTTTCTATTTAATTTATATTCCCTTAGAGGAACTACCAAGGGTCGCACTACAATATATATATATAACACTTTAGGTTAACAACGATATAAATAAANCATAACACTTAAGGTTAACAACGATATAAATAAATATTTATTAAGCAATTGAAATATTAAATAGATAATACAACCTGCTGGACACCTAGAGATGATATAATCCAACAGGGAGCTGACGGCGACACACACACACACTATAATATACGGGGAGGCGAAGTTAAGTTAATTATCAGGCAAAAGTAGTGATCGCGAAGATGGTAAAATGTCAACTGTCGATAGGGATATCTTATTATGGCACATTGGCCGTGAATTGCAAAAAGTGTTTATGTGTGCAGTCCGCCCTCCTGTTAGTATTGCTGTATGTCACTGTGTTAATTATATATATATATATATATATATATATTAAACGGTACAACGATGTTATGGGAGACAGAGATATGGGCACATGCAAATGTGATCGTATCAATGATGAAACATTTCATTTTATTATTAAATTTCTCTAGTAAGTTTATAAAACTACTTATAAATTTGAATGCAAATAGCATAATAACTTGACAGCATATTTGGCTGTACCAGGTGCTAATGTCACACCATATCCTCCATGACCATAATTATGAATAATCTAGAAAATATTAATAATTAAAATTTTTACTACTTTAATTTTAATTATGTGGGAGATCGTGTCAAGTAGAAGTTTAGGATAGGGTAGTCGATCCAAAATAGTTGGTATTAAGGCGATGAAAATAAAAAAGACTACTTAAATTTTAATGTTGCATTAACGATTGCAGGGCCAGAATTATATTTCGCTAAGCACCTATTAGGTGATTTCCGAGGGAAAAGAAGGTAATATTAATTTTTAATGACCAATTTTTATTGTTTTATTCAAAACTATAAATTTAATTGAATTTTAGGTTAAATAAAATTAATTTAAAAACGTCTAAGAAAAACTATACAAAATTAAAAAAAAAAAATTTTAATTAAGGGAAAATTTAGAAAATTATCATTTTAAGAAACTATGCTAAATTTCTAGAAGGAGCACATTCCCCATTTCTCCCCTAATAGGTACCCATACATAAAAAAATAATAAAGAACTAAAAAGAAGTATTATTATTATTTCTTTTTTTTTTTTTTGTTAGTTAATCTTTTATTTTTTAGACGTTTTAAGGGCAGTAATAACCTTGAATGTCTCTGCTACCGATACCACTGAGCATTTGCAATATTTAATTTATAATTATTGTTAAGTGACAAATACCATAGCATTTTTGAAGTGTTCAGCCTCAACTCGTATTCTGTACCGATAAGGTCTTAAACCAACCCAAATCTTATATTCTGAATTAAAAGCTTCTTTCAATGACGGAATTAAATTTGTACAATTTTCTATAATTTGCTCAGTTACTCGATTTTGAATAGTTGTATCATAGTTACCAAAATCTCTACAACCACCTAAAACTACAGTGCCATCTTCTTTTGACGGAATAATATATGTGTCCATATCATTATAATAAAATTTATCAATCCAGGGTGCTTTAACCTAAAAAATATTATAAAAATAGAAAAAAACTGAGTTAAACTATACTACGCCCAAAACAGGATGGACTGCCCAAGTCCAGCCAGTTTAGACATGTTGATGAACTTTTGATTCGGTTGATATTTAGTTGGGCGAATATTAGTTCAAAAGGTTAATTTTTTTAGAAAATTATTATTCCACACAATCAAAAAACCCAAAAGTGTTGAAAATTCAATTGTAAGGGTCTAGTTTTAAAAATTTTAGAAAATATTAAAAAAAAAGAAATTAAAATTACAACTTTATATAGTATATTTTGATGTGTTTTTAATCCTCCTAACAACCCATCCTATATAAATAGATAACCTTAGCTATATAATACCCTAACAAAATGAAAATGCTTTTGTATGTTAATTATCAAATTTTAAAAAGCTGTTATTCTATAACCATAAACTGTTGATTTATGTACAGTTTGTCTCCTAGTAAAAAAATTTACTTTTAAATGATTTCATATTCATTTTAATATAAGAATTTCTTTAGTGCTTCGAACTAATATTTTCAATATAATACATCGCATAAAAGCTAAAAATATGATATATATATTGAAAACTCAATCATAAACTTTTAATGATTAAAAGATTGGCTAAAGATTAAAAAAAAAAAAAAACATTTTTTGTCGGAAAAATTCTTATTTTGAAAAATAATATAAATTTTTCATAAATTGGAACACTGTGCATCTTGTTAAGAAAAAATAATTATGATATTGAATGAATATACTATAGTAATGCCTTATAAAGGATCGTTGAAACAATTATAATCACCAAAAGAAACATGACTTAATTTAACGTGAAAAAACTCAAAATGTACAAAAACAAAAATTTTAATATTCCTGAATTAAAAAAAAACTTTTTCGTAATATTCGTATTTTATTATTTGCACCTGTGAGATTATCTTAAAATAAATAAAATTACAAAAACATAACTTATGAAAAATCATATACTAATTTTTGTGACACCACGGATTGTAAAAAACAGGAAATTATATAATTTTCACTATATTTTTAGCTTCGATGCGAAGCTGAGAAGGTATTGGTTTTACTAAGATGTGCTTATTTTATTTTATTTTTTTTTTTTTGTGTCTGTTACCACTTTTTCTCAGCTTTCACCGAACGGATTTCTTTCAACGATACGTCAAAAGGTCACAAATCGTATCTAGTCGAAGACATTAACCTTAAAAATTGAAAAAATTTCCCTCGTTCCCCGTAAATGGGGGAAACCTCCAAAAAAATTACAAATTTAAAAATCGCTAATTTTCGAAATTTTTTCAATTTTTTTTACTAAAAACTGCCGTAACTTTTTTAAAAATGAACATATCAATATAATTTTTTTTTTTATAGATGCTTGATGTCTTTACCTATCATTTGGTAAATTTTTTTTGTAAATTTGACCCTTTATCTGCTCACAGGGGGGATTCAAAATGACAACTTTTTCACAAAAAATTAACTTTTTCAACTTATCTTTTGAAAGTGTTCCGGAAGGTCTGACACTTTTATATATATCTTAAATTGAAGCTTATGTAATATACTTTAATTTAAAAAAAAATTTGACCTCTGGACTTGTCTTCACGGTGAAAATAGACATCAAAGTTAATAAAAAATGACGATTTTTGTAAAATAATTTTTTTTTATATTTTTAATTTAATAATGCTATAACTTTTTGGAAAATGTATGGATAAGTAATTTTTTTTTTTATATAGATGCTTGATGTCTTTACTTATCATTTGGTATATTTTTTTTGTAAATTTGACCCTTTATCTGCTCACAGGGGAGGTTTTAAAATGACAAGTTTTTCACAAAAAATTAACTTTTTCAACTTAACTTTTGAAAATGTTCCGGAAGGTCTGACACTTTTATATATATCTTAAATTAAAGCTAATGTAATGTACTTTAATTTGAAAAAAAAAAATTTGACCTCTGGACTTGTCTTCATGGTGAAAACGGCTACCTAATGCTATTTTTGTGTGAAAATTCTTGATTTTATAATTTACATTTTTTACTTTAAAGTGCTATAACTTTTTGAAAAATATATGGATGAATACAATTTTTTATGAGAAATAATATTTTTTAATAATCTCTTTTTCATTTGACATACTATATCTCAATCAGGATATTAATAAGGAACTAGCAGATCATGTAGCTTTTGGAATAATATAGCAATTTTTTAAAATTAAACACTATCTAAAGATTTGCATCGAAGCGTTTTTTTTTTATAGTAATTTTAATCACTGTCAGATATCATTTACTTGATCCAACTATGCCACGTCACTACTTTGCCGCGACCCCCCTGTGCTGGGTTGGGTTTTTTTATTTTATTTTACGACTAATTTTTAGTAATGATTTAGTCAGGAAGAATCCCAGTTAATATATAAAACAGTACTCGAATCACTTGTCCACGAATAGGTATCATATCGTTGTCATTGCACAAATTAGCAGCTTCTAATCCACTACAATTGAAGATAACATTAAATTTTTCACATATATCATCAAAAGATTGGATCTTCTTTTTAATTATTTCACCTCCATTGTTTATGAACCTTTAAATTAATAATTATATTTCAAGTATAAATATATTTTCATTAAATGTAAAATTTATACTACTTAATTAATAGTATTTAAAAAATACACTTAATTTATTTTTTCGTATTTGAGATAATATCAGTTATTTTTATTATATAGACTTTATTTGTGTTAAAACGCATTCATTTGAACAATCAAAAACACTATATAGATTGAAATCTGGCAATGATTAAAATCAACTGGATTTGAATTAGGTTCGTTGATATATTAGCCAAGTTTATATATCCCCATACGCAATGAATAAGACAATAACTCAAAAAAATACAACTTTGAGATATTTTTTTTATTATTTTTGAGAACTTTGAGGTATTAAGACTTATACTCTACTCTCCTTATAATAAGTTTCATCAAAATATAAAAAATTTAGTTTGAATCGAAATTAAACTTGATAACCAGAAAAATAAGAAAAAGTGAGCTACGGCCTTATTCGTTGCGTATAACGATATATATATATATTAATTTTGAATATATCAAAGCAAAAATAGGGATAAAAATTAATAGCTTACATTCCAATTAATGATTTATTTGCTAGTTAAATATACAATCATATTAATATATCGATCATTATTCATTAAAGGATTGAACTAGACAATATTAGTCTAACTGTTATCGGAAATAATCTACCGATAAGTTCAAGGTTTATAAGTGTGTACTATTTTAATTGTTTTAATCTACTTTAACATATACTATTTAACTATGTTAAACAGATTGGTTCACTATGATGTAGCATAATGAACTTATCCGCCATTGACTCAATGTTATAATGTTATCTTACTTTTTAAGAGCCCACGGTAAAAACAGCTTAGATTCAATAGTTATTGTTGTAAAGAACGATCCACATTTTTTGATGCGATTATTATGAGAATATAACTTAAGTTCATCTTCAGTAGCTTTTCTGTACTCTGGCAAACATTTTTCTAAATAGTGATTCTAAAATTAAAATAATTAAAAACTTAACATATTTTAATATAAAATTTTTTGATTCTATTTTATTGTTGTACTTTAGTTGTATCATTTAATGTTTCTGAAAACATGTAGCCTGATATTTCATTGATACCACATGGTTCATTGTTTAAAAAACTCTTGTAAAAGTTATAAGAATCATTAATCCATTCTCTATTATAAAAACAAAACAAAAAAAAATATTACATAGAGATGTAAAAACGCTTTTTTTTTCTCAGAAAATTCTTTCGATTTGGTCTTTATATAAAAGTTTCTCGTAATGACAGTCGAAGATGAAAATAGTACTTAGACCCCGTTTAGTAAAATATACATGTTTGTATTACTACATAATATATTTTTAGGAAGGGGAAGATTAGATATAGCCCAAGTCTATCCTACAAGTATAATAAATATAACAAGCCTCGCATAATATTGCGAATCGAAGAAAAAAATAGTTTACATGTCGTAAAGTGTGGCAAGAATTTCGGACTGCAAGCCCTGGAGTCTCCAATGTATGAAAAAAAAGCTCGTAGAATAGTAAAAAATTAACGGGTTGAATTCATTTTTTTATTTAATTTTTCATTTTATCTCAATAATCTCGTGATTGAGTATATTCTTTGAAAATTTTTTTAAAAATCAGAGTATGCAAAGTAATTTTACTAGAAAAGCGCTTTTTTTTTCTATTATATAATAATATTATCAAAATATATATGAGCAAATAAATTTTTTTTAAAAATAAATAAAACATTATATCATTATTTTTGTTACGTATTAAAAAAAAATGTTTTATATTAATTTTTAAAATATAAGCAACAAAATCTTTTTAAAGTTATGTTTAAAAACATTTAAAATATTATGTTAATCCTTTAACACTAAAAATATTATAAAGGTATTTAATGAAAATGTATAATATATTTAATGATTATATTATTATACCTTAAATATAACATTTTTTTATTTGTTTCTGTAAATTATATAATCAGAGTTAACGCGTAATTATTTATCCAATAGTACGTTGATATGTTTAAATCTCCAATTTTCATTGATAATCGCGTCGCCTATTGTGGTACTCTTTTATTTTAATATTTTGCTAATTATTGTTATTTATTTGATAAATCTACAATTTACAAAGTATAATATATACTGTATATAGATAGATTAAGTGTGTTATAGCTGTTGAATTAGTGAGATAATTTATAATATGTTATTTCAAAATGAGTTATTTTTTCATATGCCTAGAAAAGCATGTTTATGTTAAAAATAAATGAGTTACAAAGATAATATTTATTAAATGTCGTCAAATCATCTATTCAACTCCTTTTGAACAATACAGTTTCTATGAATAGCTGACTTATGTATACTGTAGTAATAATTTAATATAATTATAAAATGTATTATGTACATGATACTTTTTTCAAAATCTACTAGTGCAATTAAGATTTAAAAATTTTATTTTTTTAGGCAATTCATTAAATTATAGACTATTTTTATTCTTAATTTTTGAAAATGTTTCAGAAAAATAAGTTATAGCTTATTATTTTATATTATGTTAATATATTTATTCTAGGACTTATCTTGTATGAGTTATTTAACGTCAAACTAAACAAAATAAAATTATTTATATATTTTTAAATCATGTTTCAATAAAAATTTTATAAAATATGATTAGTTAATGGAAATATTATGATATATATAGTTTATATAAAAATTAATACAATAGAAGTAAATAAAATATAATTTATTAATAAAAATGATTTTTAGTCAATACGTTGCAGGAGCTCAAGTATTGGTGTTTTTGAAGTTTTGAACTTGTCCGCATTTAAAATATGGCTAATTTCTATTAAATATTTGTGTTTTTTCTTAAAGAATAATTCTTGCATAATTTTTCTTTATTGTATTTAAAGTAATAATATGTAATTATTCTATTTTTAAAACAGATACAATCAAACAAATATTTGTGAATGAATTAAAAATGATTTATATTTTTATATTTTAATTTGCCATACAAATAATTAAAATGAAAAATTTGTTAAATTATTTTAAAAAAGTTGATTGCTTATTTAATATATATTTAACATTTAATTATGTTTTAATTTACCTTATAAAAAATTAAAATAAATAGTTTATTGAAATAGAAAAAGTATGATGTTTTATGATTAATACTATCATGTATATACCTTACATTTTATAAATATATATATAAAATTGTATTTTGTTTTTATGTTTTAAATTACCTAATTTAAAATATTAATTAATTAATTTTTTAAAAATAATTTTGGAACACACTGGGAAAGTTTTAAAAATATTTTCACCACAATGAAAAAGTGGCCATTATAATATTTCTTCATATGAAGAAATGTTATAAATTAAAACATATGATTTTTTAAAAACAAATTTTTAATATTTATTAAAATATTTCTTTACTTATAAGGAAACAATGACCGTCAATTGATTTTGCCACGAGAGAGTATTAAAAACATAAATGCTAAAAAACTTTGTGGGAGTTATGCGCTGTACCATTGTAATATTTCTATTTCTATTAACTATATCAGGGTATTAATGGGGATTTTAGGTAGTTCATAAATGACTTTTTCCAAATTAGGAGAACCCTATTTCAAACCTTTAAAATATTTTAAAATAGTATCACGTTCATTTTTCCTATATGTAGATAACTATCAAAATTAAATTTTATAAATTTTATAGATTTTTTCACATTGGTTTTGTTCAATAACATTTGAATTCGATATTATATCTATTATAACATAAAGTTTCATATAATTTTGTCATTTTTACAATGTCAATTGTACTAAAATGTTAACAAAAATATCTCAATGGGAGGGGAACTATATCCCTAATCACCACTTATTTGACACCCACTAAATACGGGGTATTGTGTTGCGCAATGGTAACACTAGTTGTTGACAAAACTAGTGTTAAGCTATACCTACTGCTGTAGGTGAATGGATAGGTGACATTACGTGAGCTTTTGTGATGGCAAAAAAAACATGTTCCTAGTGCAGAAGGCAACGGAAAACCACAGCACTTAAAAATTTTCCAGGATATACCAATCCAATTGGTATCAACCAACCTAACAGTTGTAAAATATATATATATACAAATACATATTATAATATATTATTATTATTTTATAAAATTAATATTTTGTTAAAACTCTATTATACATGATATTTATTCACTAGATATTTTAATACATTTTTCAGGTTTGTATCATTTTTTTGTATTATATTTATTATAGATAATCATCAAAATTTACTATATAAACTGATTCAACAATACATTTTAACTTACTGAGAAATTTCAAAGCTTGGTCCAAAGCAATAAGTTCCAGGTCTAAATATTCCAGCTGCTCCATCACTAAGAGTTTCACTGTTAAATTTATCAGCTATGATTGTTATTTTGATATTAGGATAAACTCTTTGAAGTTCCAAAGCTGTGTTAATTCCTACAATGCCAGCACCAACAACAACAATTTTGTTATAGACCATTTTCAGATTTTCCTAAGTATTATTACAATTATAAAATCCTCAATAGACTTGTACAGAGATCGAACTATTGCCTAGATAGTACTCAATAACAATCTAAGAATAGGATCTGAAAATTTTTAAAGTATAAAATAATTCTTTATCATATCATCATAAAATAGTAGTTTCTAATTAAGAAAATGAAAGTTTAAATTTTTTAACTCTCAAGGGATGAAAAGAAGTTATTTAACCACATATTATTAAAGTTTTTAAATCAAACAATACTTTTCTTTACAAATGTTGTAAATATTCAACAATTACTGAGATATGAGTGTCTTATCCTTAATTGATGATTCTGTATGACAATATATATTTATGGTATTTACTATAAAAATATTTCATAGAACAGCCATAAAAATTATATGTTAAAGGATCATGGCTATAATGAGAACTTTGGTTAATGATAAATAACACAATATGTTTTCTAGATCAGTATTTTTTTCTTAAAAATGTAATCATTTTTTGTAACTATTTAAGTATAGTTTATTGAGTTGTACATTGTGGTAAATTAATCATTTGAATAATATTAGTTTCCAATTTTTATAAATAATAGACATATTGTATTATTAAATTTTTCATTTTATTTTTAAATATTTCGTTAAATTAATATTATGAGTTATATAAAATTAAATTGATTAAAATCATTGACTAAGAACTAAAGTGCAAATATGAAATTAAGGAACCTATATCTAATAAATTATTTAAAAACAAGTAAATATTTCACTTTTATATTTTAACTTTTATATTGAATATTTATTTAATTATTGTAGTTTAAATAGTTACAATACGCTATTCATTAAATTAGAAACTGTACTCGCCAGTATTTAAAGAAACAATTTATTTTCAAGTAACGCTTGAAAATTATTATTCAATGATTTTTGAATTTAAACCTTACAAAATTTACGTGTACCTTTGATATTAAATAAATATGTCTCTTTAATTTTAAAAAACACGTTTAGGTAGGTAAGAAAATAATTTTTGCCAGCATATTTAATAAATTTACAAAATACAATGATACTTACAGGGTATTTCCAACACTACTACCACTAATCATCATATAAATATTTATATGGTGATCAAGATACTTAAGGAATTACACAAATACTTTAAATATACACATAATTAGCCTGTTTGTTGTGTTGAATTATTGGGAAATAAACTGGAATTATTATTTTATAACTATTTAGAAAAAATTAATCACATTTTACTATCTATTAATTCTTAGCTATTCTAATTAGTTTAATTTATATTAGTTAGATATTTATTGATGTTTACAAGTTGAAAAAATCATACTTCTAATAAAAAAATTAAAATAGTACAAATATTTCTGATTATACCTTAAGTGTACGTTTTAATAATTAGACAATGTATAAGTTGTACTAAGTATGCCAATTATAAATTGTTAGCTTCAAAAATTAACAACGCATTTTATTAAAATCACTTTGATGCAGTGCAATTCAAATGGTAGGAGGTTTAGCTACACTATACTTGCCCCTCCTTGATTTTCATAGTGAACTACTTGAGTTTTAATGAACATTTGACGTCTACTAATAAAACAGTTAAAATTTTTATTTTTACTGTCGTTTGATATCATAGTGTTAAATATATAATATTTTATCGAACTAATCACATTCCATCGAATCTTATGTTTGATAATATTATTACTTAATTTCGGCATCGATGCAAAGCTGAAAAGGTGGTATTGGTTTAATTATAGTGTGCTAATTGATACATATATTTTTTTGTCTGCTTATAATCTCAACTCTTAATCGGCCTATTTTGATCAACAACACTTCAAATGATTACAATCTATTTCTATTTGAAAATATTATCCTTGAAAAATGAAAAAATTTCCCTTGTTCAATATAAATGAAGGGAATCCCCAGAAAATAACGATTATTGAAATAAGAAAATTTTCGAAATTTGATTTACTTTTTTTTCTCATTTAATGATTTTTACTTAATACTGATGAAAATGAATCAGTCGAAATAAAGTTTTTTTTAAGAATACCTTAAGTATGTCCCTTTCATTCGACATAATTTTTTTTTTTAATGGGCTATTTCCCCTTAATCATAGATATTTACTTTAGCAAATTTAATATACAAAGTATATCAAACTGAACTTTTACGATTTTTGAAGAAATTGCGGAAATACTGAATTTTTTAAATATATATATATAGGTTGGGTAAAATCTAATTCATTAAGGATAAGACACTAATTTTCTTGGGAAACTCTTGAGAAATTAAAATACTCGTAAAGTAGGCCCGTTATACTCCTACATGTCTGTATTTTCCAGTGGTCAGGATTTTTGCTTGGGGAAAGGAGCTGGGATTTTTTTTATATTTTTTCTTTTAGATAAGATTGAAAGTAATGATATTAGGAAAATTGAAAAATTCAATATTAAAATTTTTTACTATCTAGCATGATTCCACAGAGTGATCGATTACTATGCTTCACGATTTTTCTTTAAAAATATTAGTGTTATCATATATTTAATTATTTTATTTGTTATAAAACTTTGCTAAACTACTTTACAAGAAAAATAAAGATTCCATCTTCATCTCTTAACCCTTAAATCAATATCAAATTTAATTTTTCAAATAGTAACCCAGTTTTTTTTTTATTAATCTTGTTTAGTATAAAAAAAAAAAAATCAATTTTATTAAATTCTAAACGAGATATCACTATTTAAAGTTTAGGGGATTGAACAAATAAAACAGTAGTCGGTTAAATATAGTATACCAATAAGAACTATGTGTAATGTATCGCAACGGAAAAAACTTAAGAGGTACGCTTGCTCCTCTCTGACTTGAGTAATACTTACGTTCCTTAAACTTTAATTAATCATAGATCACCGATAATTAAATAAAATAAAAACAAATTATTTTTAAAACTAAATCTAACCTGATTATATTAAAAAAAATAGGGTTATCATTTGAAAATTGAATGTTGATACTGATTTAAAGCATAAGGGATGATCATAAAAATGTAATCTTACTCACTGAGCAGCCTAAAATAGAAACATAATATAATATTATGTTAAATATTATTAATATTTCAAAAAAAAAAAAGGTAACTTATATTTTTAGAGATAATTTGTGGGGCATAGTTAATCAATCACTCTGTATTTAGTTGGACGGTTATTGATATAATTATGACAATTAGTTAAAAATTAATAGTTCTAGTGTTTCAAACAAACACAAAAAGAAAATTTTTTCGAAAACAGAACAATAATAGTAATCATTTCAAAAATAAAAATCACACTTCAATTATTCAAAACTTCTTTTTTTTTAGAGTATCCAAGTAAAATTACGAAGTAATAAGGCTTGAGTAATTGATGTAGACTTTAATTAATGAATGCACTTTAAAACTATGGTTTTCACATCAATTCATAATAAATAAAATTTTCAATATTTTTGTAAAAAAAAATTATTGATCAAAAAAGATTATTGTATAAATTACTTGGATATCATAATAAACCATTGCTAATTACCATACAAATATAACGCAATTTATAATAATATTTACTTTATTAGATACAAAATTATGATCATAACGTTGGTATTTATCTATTTTCACCAATACAGGTTCATAACTTAATTTTTATTCTATAATAGTGATAAGTAATTTGCCTTGTTTATAACTTAAAATTAAATAAGCATTAACACTAAATTAACGCAGGACATTTTCGTATATGATTTATAGATCCCTTAAATTTAAAAAAATGATAACTAATTCAAATTTTACTCTATTATTTTTATTAAAAGCTTTTAAAGAATACTTTTCAATAAAAATTTAATTAAATTAGAAAGATTACCAGTTTTTTTACATTTTTTCTTGTCAATCAAATATAAATATTAAATATACTTTAGAAACTAGTGTAAAAATTACTTCCATTAAACATACATAATATTTATTTACTATTGAACATTTTAGAGACAGAGTGGTAATATAGATAAGTTAATTCCGCTCTATATTATTCAAAAATATATTAATAAAGTTGGTGACAGTAATTTAGTACATATGTTAGTCTAAAGAAAAGGTGAATTTAAAGTGGTAAAGTAACTAATACTAGTATTCAAAATTTGTTTTTGTAAAAATAAAACTCAAAAGAATACTTTGACATTAAACATTTAATTAAAACAGATCTATTAGTATGAACTGAAAAACACTAAAGGACTGAGTAGGAACGAAATGTACAAAATAATATTTCTTAAATTGCATAATTAAGGTTGAAATAAAAATTAATATGTTGTGTAAAATTACTAAATATAAAGTATAGTATTTCATTCATTATAAAAATTTTTACAAACAAAATAAAATATTATATTTATTTATATATATGTATATATATTTTTTTTTACAGATGTTTTCTTTTACCTTTATATATTCAGGTTAAAATTAAACGAGGTTAATTTTAAAATTAAAATAAATATCATGAGTTTCACATTTAGTGATATTTGTTGGCTCAAAAACATAACAAACTATTGGCCAAAATAAATATTAATAAACCAAATATATGCAGATTTTCAACATGTTTGACATTTATAAATATTGTTACATCTAATATAAAATTAAAATATAAAACTATTGTTTATTTACAAAAAATAGAATTGCATTTTAATATGACTTGATTAGATGATAAAAACTAAAAAGTTAAAAAGAAAAAACAGTTCTTAAATTATGCTCATTAAAATTGTATTCAAAATAAATTATCAATATTTTAGCCAAGGGTGTTGTAAACATTTTGCAGCAGTAGCTCTTATATTTTGATCAAATTCTAACATTGGTAATAAAAAATCAGTAAACGCTTTAGCATCATCTTCAGACCATTTGTATTTTTCTTTCAATACATCATATAATAACCATGGTTTCAAACTATTTATGTTACGCAATTCTCCTCGTTTATTGAAAAATAGTGAAGATTGATTTCCTTCATCAATAACATGCTTGGGAATTTTCCCTAGCAACTCAATTATATGAGCTATATGATCTTCATCTCGAGAATATGCTTCACCAGAATGGGGTTCAAATAAATAATCACCAGTAGCCAATTCAAATGCCATGCATGCTACACTCCAAATATCTGATGACGTACCATAACCTGCTCCAATAAGAACTTCTAGTGACCTGTACTGTCTAGTTTGAATGTCTTCAGTAAAATGACGATCTATCCAACAAGCATTACCCAAATCAGCAACTTTTACATTAATATCACACACATTGAATGCAGGATCTTCAATAGGATCATCCCTTGTCTTATTTCTAAATGATCTTTTCTTTGATAGTTGTTTGTTGGTAGTTTTACTAAATTCACCACTACCGTTTTTTTGAGCCGCATTAATTTCATCAATATTTTGAACTTTTTGCTCATTATTTACATTATTATCAGAATATACAGCTGTGCTAGTATTTGTAGCATTGCAAGAATAACCATTAGACAAGAATTCACTATTTTGACCGTCTGCTGATATTGTAATAGATTTTTCTTCATCTAAAAATAAAAAATATATACTATATATTAACACATAATGGATAAATTTAAATATAATATATTTGTATATTATATTAATTAACATCATGAATAATCAGTAGACTTACACATTTTGTTTATATTTTTAGAATTCAACATAGAAATACACTATTCAATAAATAATAGTATATTCTCAACAAAAACATAATTGTGAAAAAGTTCTAAAATACCTCTCTAAAAAAAGAATGCATATCTATGTAGTAATATCTACATAGTAGCTAAGTCTGTCCTTTATAGACTCACTTAATAGTTATGTGTTAAGTGTAATTGTATTGCATAGCACTTGCCCAGTTTTTAGATGACCAAAATATAAATACCATAACTTTAATAGGTATAGTTTTTAGAGAGTTATCCTACAACTTTACCCTTTTTCACAGTTATGTTTTTGTGGGGATTTTATTTCTTTATGTATGCTAATTATAAATATTTATAAATTAAATCATAATATCAGTATTAAAATTTTAAATTGATAGAACATTAGGTTTTGTTTAGTTTAGAAAGTCCCTAAACAAAACTTCATAAAACAGCTTTAAATAAAATAAAAATAGCAATTTTTAGATTTTTCCCTTAACTCATACTGTAAAACTTTCTTTTGTGTTAAATTTCATGTTTCTACTTATACGGGAAGTATCTTATAAATCTGATGATGAGTAACTGAAATGAAAATGTTGTAATGTTCCCATTTTGAAAGTAATTTAACATTAAGGGCTTTTTTTTACATTATTTTAAGTTACTTGTCTAGTAATTCATACTTAAAATTTCAAGAGCCTATCTTAAGTAAAAACCAAAATATGCGAGTTCAAAAAACAAGTTTTGTGCAAAAATATACTTGAATTTCAAGTAATTTGTTTAGCTGATTAATATATATTTAGATTACTATTTACCTTTGTTATTGTCAGTATCGCCATCTTCTTGTTTATTTTCAAGTTCTTCTAACTGCTGCATTTGTACTTTAAGAAGTTCAGATTGGCGTTTATTTTTCCTTTTCATTTTTTTCTTCTGATTTTTTGTCAAATTTGATTTGGTTAGAGCACTTTTAGGTGCAGTACTACTAAAAGATACAGGTAGTTTTTGTCCAGTTTGATGAATTTCAGCTGCTTCTTTAGCTAAATTCTTAATATATTTTTCATCAACACAAAGGAGTACATTTTCTGGTTTAATGTCTGTATGAATTATATTACATTTGGTATGTAAATAGTCTAATGCTTCTAATACTTGTCTGATAATACATTTAACATTTTGTAATGGTATACCCGAGTAATCGCTTTTTATAATTAATTTTAATAAGTTATGCCCTAGTACTTCAAATACCATGCATATATGATTACCATTAACACCACTTATCTTAAAATCATTTAACAACATGACAACACGTTCTCGTTTTTTATCACTAACATCTGAATCTCGAACACTTTTTAAAAGTTTTATTTCATCTAATGCAGTTTCAGTAAAGTGAGAGGCACTTTTAACTACTTTCAGGGCAACATAGCGTTTATCAGTAAAATCCCAACAGAGCCAAACAGTAGAAAAGTGACCCCAGCCAAGCTTTCTTAAAACATGATACCTAAAAATTTTTTAATAAATTAATTTAAATAAACTCAATTTAAATTAATTTTTCTGAACAAAATAACATAGTATTTTAAAATTAATTGTACAGCAATTATAAGAACAAGCATAGATACATGATATAAATAAAATATTAATAGATTTCACTTATGACATTATTAATAGTAGTCAACGTAATTCATTCTATAAATTTTTTTTCCGTTATACCATTTAGAAATATTATAACATTTCCAATATATACCAACATATTATATTAGTAAATAAAATCATATATCACTAATAAAATTCCATATTACCTATTTTGAAACACATCTCCTATTTGTACAGGATGATAGCCACCTTTGCAGTAATCACTAGACTCTTCTTGTTCCTCTTCATCAGAAGCATACATTTCATCAGTAGCTTCTTCAGATTCATTTGATGATGAATCACTGTCGCGTTTCCCATGAGCCTTGGTTTTTTCTGGTATCTTAGTAGGAGCTGGTGGCACAACCTTTCGGTCTTCATGAGGTTTCTTTGGTAATTTACGCCTTTTCTTTTTGGCTTGTATAGCTAATATTCGTCTGTTTATATCTTTGTTCATAGCCTATAAGGATAATGAACTGATTTGAAATTTCAATGTTAGATAATAAAATTTACCTTTTATACCTTAGAAATAATTTTAAATAAGTCGTTCAACAATATACACAAGCTTAAAAAATAATTAACTATTTCTGGCAGAAATTAATTATCAATTCATCGTACAATGCGACAGCCGAGAGTTCTCAATTTAAAAAAAGGCCATTTAACAAATATAGCAAAAAATTGGATTGCAAAAAACAGGCTGCCATATACAAGTAGATTGATAATATGAATAGTAACTAAATGCTGCATACACTGTTAATAATTGATTAACAATTTTTCTGTAATTTATATTTTTTTATAGTAGGCAGATAAGTAAACATAATTATCTAAAAAAAGTACTCTATTCATATCAATAACTAAACATATTTTTTTTTATGTCTAGTTATTTTTAAATAAAGAAATTTTTTTAATTATAATTAATCTGACAATTTACTTTATAAAAAATTATTTAAAATAAAAATTGTTGTTATTTTATTATTATTAAATTATTTACCGGATAAAATATGCTTTAGTTACAATATATTCGATTTTTTAATAGTACAGAATTTTAATTATTTCCAAAAAAAATGGTTTTAAGTTAAAAATTAAATAATGACCCTTTGATATACCTGAATTATGAATTTCAAAATTATGAAAAGTAAATTTTCAGATTTTGATAAATGCATTATTTGCGTAGATATTAATTTTTAATAAAATATTTTAGCCATGTATTAGATATTTTTACCTTAATATATATTGATAGTTTTAAGTAATATTGGACAACTTAAATTATTATTTCTTTTTAACTTATCAGATTGTTATGTATTAGGTTTCTTATGACTTCAAATAAATGTGGTTTTAGGTAACAGGGAATAATAGTAAAATTATAACTTTTGAAAAAATGAATTTAAAACTTACATGAAACATTTTTTTTTCTTTTAAATCATAAAATTATTATTTTTTATATGGTATAATTTGGATTAGATGTAACTGTATGTTTCAATTTAATTTTTCCAAAAGTTGCAATTTTAAACTTATATTATTTGCTCAAACACCACAAAAATTTTCAGATATTTTTCTCTCTAACAGAAGTTAAGATATGAAACTTTCTCTTCCTCTTGAAAAATGTTCAACTGTTTATTAACTATGATAGTCATATTCTCTAAAAAAAAAACTTAAGTGTAATTAATTAAGATTTTAATGTGCTAGAAGAATTATTTTCTACTACAACTGAGTAAACATGAGTTCAAAAGAGTAAATATGGAATATGTAGCTGCACTTGATGTTGGCAGTACCAACCTAAAATGCCAAATATTTTCATCAAAATTTGATATAGTTGGATCTTCAATTCAAGAAGTATGTATAGTTAATTAATTTTTAATAAAAAAATATATTATGTTGTATTAGTTATCTAATTTATATAGAAGTAGATTTATAAAATTCAATTTAATCATAGGTGAAATGTAAAATTGAAATGAAAGGTGAATTTAAAACACTATATATATTATTAACTCTTTGAGCTAGCTTATGACTTCTCTATACTTGTTATTTCATTTCATACCCTGTATCTACAAATAAAATATAAAGAAAATGTAGTATAATATCTAAAAGGTTTTATTATTAATAGTGTAAATGATTGAAGCTTTTGGTTTTCATATAGCAAATAAATTAAGAAACTTAAGTCTTACAAAATATTTACATTTATAAACTACATAACAATTTTTTATTTTAATTAATATAATAAGTTAATATTAATTTTAGCTAGATTATTAAATGTTTAAGCTACTTAATGTTCAGTATTGGGTTTTTATAGCTATTTTCAATATTTGACAATAATCAAAAATAAGTATTCAATTTTTTTGTTAAAATATAGCTTACTTATTTTGAAATTAAGTGTATATATTTTTTAAGTTTTTTAGAGATATTTATCTCTTTAAATTAATAGTGTTTTGATTGTTTAATAATTTAGTTAATAGTTGTAAAACCACACCATGGGTGGGAAGAAATCGATCCAGAAGAATTAATGAATAGCATCGAAGATGTAATTCAGAAAGCATTGAAAGGTCTGTTTAAACTGGTTAATTCATCATTTATGTATATTTCTTTAAATAAAGTTATAATTAATTTAATTTTGAAAAATAAATCAATTTAATTAATAAATCAATTATTTTTGAGGAATATAAAGTTTACAAGGGAGTTTATATTTTAAATTTTATTATTTTAGAAAAGTTTATCAAAATATATTGTCAGTTAACATTTTTTATCTTCTAGTACTAGAAATATTTAGCGTCTGGGTGACTCAATTTTTATTTTTTCTCATAACTTTTTTTGGGTATCCAGATTTAAAAAAAAAAACCCAACACAATAGGTACTTGGCATAATTGGGTCTAGTATAATGATATCTGACAGTGATTAGATCATTATCATAAAAATAGCTTCAATGCAAATCTGTATAGTGTTAAATTTTAAAAAATTGATGGATTATTCCAAAAGCTATATGATCCCCTATTTCTTTATTTATACCCTGATAACAAGTTTTATGATTTATATGTGTAATATATGAATTAATATATATATATATATTTATAAGGGTTCCACTTATTAGCTTTGATGTGAAGTGAGAAGGTATTAATTTTACTATGATGTGTTCTTTTTTTTGTATCTATACCATTTTTTCTTAGCTCTCACCAAATCGATTTCTTTCAAAAATACGTAAAAAGATCACAAATCGTATCTTATTGAAGACATTACCCTTAAAAATTGAAAAAATTTCCCTCGTTCCCCTTAAATGGGGAAAATCTCCAAAAAAATTACAAATTTAAAAATTGCTAATTTTCGAAATTTTTCCAATTTTTTTTTACTAAAACTACCATAACTTTTTTAAAAATGACCAAATCAATATAATTTTTTTTTATAGATGCTTGATGGCTTTACCTATCAATTGGTATATTTTTTTTTATAAACCTGACCCTTTATCTGCTCATAGGGGGATTCTAAATGACAACTTTTTCAACCTAACTTTTGAAAGTTTTCCTGAAATACTGACACTTATATATACCTTAAATTAAAGCTTTTGTAATATGCTTTATTATGAAAAAAAAATTTCGGACTTTTTTTGTCTTTATTGTGAAAATGGCTACCGAATGCTATTTTTGTGTTATAATTTTCGATTTTATATTTTACATTTTTAACTTTATTATACTATAACTTTTTAAAAATTTATGGATCATTATAATTTTTTTAAGCTAAATACTATTTATATACCTCTTTCCTTTAACATACTTTTTTTTTTTAAATAAAACCATTTCCCTTTATATATTTATACATTATACATATATATTAGACTTATAAATCATAAAACTTATAATTATGATATAAATAAGGAAATAGGAGGTCATGTAGCTTTTGGAATAATCCACCAATTTTTTAAAATTAAATACTACAGATTTGCATCAAAACGTTTTTTTGATAGCGATTTTAATCACTGTCAGATATCATTATACTTGATCCAACAATGCCATGTCACCACTGTGCCGCTACCTCCCTGTGCTGGGTTTTTTTAAATTGTTATTATCTACTAATGAAAATAAAATAAATTTATTATAATCAATTTAGATGCTGGTATCAAATCAAATATGGTTAAAATTTTGGGATTGTCAACTCAAAGGAATACATTCATAACATGGAATAAAAGTACTCGACAGTGTTATCATAAATTCATTACTTGGAAAGATTCACGTTCTTCAATAATAATTGAAAAATTGAATAAATCAATACTTTTAAATGCATGTATCAAAGTATTTATTAAAGTTTGAATGCCTAATAGTTATAAGTATAATTAATTACAAAGGATAAAAAAGAAATCTGTATTAGCTTCGATGCGAAGCTGAGAAGGTATTGGTTTTACTAAGATGTGTTTTTTTTTTCTGTTACCACTTTTTCTCAGCTCTCACCAAACCGATTTCTTTCAATTATACGTCAAAAGATCACAAATCGTATCTAGTCGAAGACATTACCCTCAAAAATTGAAAAAAATTCCCTCGTTCCCTGTAAATGGGGGAAACCTCCAAAAAAATTACAAATTTAAAAAACGCTAATTTTCGAAATTTTTAAAAAAAATTTTTACTTAAAATTGCCATAACTTTTTT